TTACTAACTTGGGCCAGTTAAACACTCTGATAATTAAGTGGAAATCACAAAGTTCTGCAAGAGCTTATAGGTCATCATCATTGGGTGGAATATCCCGGAAGTTTGGAGCAGTGCTCCTCTGACTTCTAACTTGCACACTGACAGGCTAATTTGGTTATGATTGTGGTTGGAGTGAAAGGGTTTGGGGGTGCGATTCCCATTCCTGTGTCCCAGGGTGCTGAGTCTGAGATCGGTGTTCCTTCAAACGTTTTTTTCAGGCCCTCAGACTTTACAGCATCAATGTGAGCATCTGTTTTTAATGGGGTTGTTTAAGCTGAAACCCCACCAACAGATTTGTACGTTAAGGTTAGAGGTTGCTCCAGATTAATAGCCATCCAACAAATGGCTTGAGTTCTTTGTGTGCTTTTTTCTTGGTATATCCAACAAATAATGGCAAATATCTAACAAGGATGTGTGTAGAATTCTCTGGATAGGAAAATAATCCAAAGGACAAGATGGAAGGTGCTTAGTATACAGTGGTACCTTGGTTCTCAAACTTAATCCAAAGTGTTTCAAAACCAAGGTGAGCTTTCCCATAGAAAGTAATGCAAAATGGATTTATCCGTTCCAGACTTTTAAAAACAACCCCTAAAACAGCAATTTAACATGAATTTAACAGCAATTTAACATGAATTTTACTATCTAGTGAGACCATTGATCCATAAAATGAAAGCAATAATCAGTGTACTGCAATGTAAAATAAATAAGACAATACTGTAGATGATAAAAATTTAAATTAATATTTTTTCCTTACCTGCACTGATGATAGTAATTGTTTGGATGGGGGCTTTTATACATTTCCTCAGTCACACAATCAATCAGTAGCTGAACTGGGTTCCACACAGTCACAAAAACAAATGAACCGAAAAAATCCTCAAGAACAAAAACGCAAAATAAATAGCAAAAACAAAAGCGCCAAACTTAATCCATTCCGGAAGTCCGTTTGACTTCCGTAATGTTCGAAAAACAAGGCGCAGCTTCTGATAGGAGCAGGTGCCCCAGAAACAATAGCCAACAGTCATATCGGACGTTCGGCTTCTGAAAAACTTTCAAAGACCGGAACACTTCCGGGTTTTCAGTGTTTGGGAACCAAGGCGTTTGAGTACCAAGGCGTTTGAGTACCAGGGTACCACTGTACAATGCTGTGGCAATAAACCCCAAAAGGCCAAAAGACATTTATGGTATACATAAAAACACATTTCTTTGAAGGCACAGGAGATAATGGCATTTCCCTACTCAACATGTAATGATCACACACAGCAATACGTTTGGAACCATGTTTGATGCTGTCAGCAAATTTTGTCAGTGCGATGTTTGAAATTCACCAGGCACTAGGCACCACCATCTGGAGGTGCTTGCCTGGGGATCTTGACTGTTTCTACACACTAACAACACCACCTGTAGGATTCTATCCATTATATTTTATCAGCGCGATCAGAACAAATTTCAGGGACCAAAAAAGTGTTGAAAAATACAACTTTTGAGCTGTCTTGCCCCAAAATGGCAACTAGACGTTCCATTTTGGCGACTGTAACCCTGGTATAGGGAGCCATTAGGTGGATTAGGATTCCCTGGTCCTGAATGGGGTAACTGTGCCCCTGAAGGACCAGGTGCGCAGCCTGGGAGTCATTCTGGACTCACAGCTGTCCATGGAGGGACAGGTCAAATCTGTGTCCAGGGCAGCTGTCTACCAGCTCCACCTGGTACGCAGGCTAAGACCCTACCTGCCCGCGAACTGTCTCGCCAGAGTGGTGCATGCTCTAGTTATCTCCCGCTTGGACTACTGCCATGCGCTCTACGTGGGGCTACCTTTGAAGGTGACCCGGAAACTGCAATTAATCCAGAATGCGGCAGCTAGACTGGTGACTGGGAGTGGCCGCCGGGACCACATAACACCAGTTCTGAGAGATCTGCATTGGCTCCCAGTACGTTTCCGAGCACAATTCAAAGTGTTGGTGCTGACCTTTAAAGCCCTAAACGGCCTCGGTCCTGTATACCTGAAGGAGCGCCTCCACCCCCATCGTTCAGCCTGGACACTGAGATCCAGCGCTGAGGGCCTTCTGGCGGTTCCCTCATTGTGAGAAGTGAGGCTACAGGGAATCAGACAGAGGGCCTTCTCGGTAGTGGCGCCCACCCTGTGGAACGCCCTCCCATTTGATGTCAAAGAGACAAAAAAACTACCTGACATTCAGAAGACATCTTAAGGCAGCCCTGTTCAGGGAAGTTTTTAATATGTAACGTTGTACTGTTTTTAACACTTGATTGGGAGCCGCCCAGAGTGGCTGGGGAAACTCAGCCAGATGGGCGGGGTATAAATAATAAATTATGATGATGATGATGATGATGCCTGGCTTATATATCTGAGTTCCTAACACTGCCACTGCCAATCGTTTGGTGGGTCTGATGTACCCCAGAGACCACAGGTTTGCCACATCTGGTTGAGGTACCTAATTGCAGTACTTGGGTGAATGGAGGTGTCTCTTGCCAACAGACAGCAGCTCCTTGAGCTAGCTGAAATCCATCTTTCTGCTGAATACACTTTTCCAGAATATTTGTGATATGGGGGACACAGGCCATGAGGAGTCTTTAGTCAAAGGGTTTCCTGTCCTCTGCACGATGAACATCCCAGTCCCATCAGGCTTTTGTTGACCTTCACCTTACCCCATTAGCACTGAGCTCTTTTCTTTTTTTTTGACTCCCGAAGCCAACCTAAACAGAAAAACTCTGTTGCAAAGTACTATTTAATGTTACCATTTCCATAACACCAGAAGGGCTTTTTTTTAAAAAAAAATGCCGCTTATGTGTGCAACTTGTCTGTCTAACTGAGAACTACTGAACATTAATAAACTGGGGCTTGAGTAATTCCTTTTTGATAAATGAAGCAGTGTGGCTTTTTTCCCCTGGTCCTGTTGGAAATGCAAGAGACTCCGAGATGAAGCAAACTTTTGGGGAAGGAGGCAGGACTGGCTGTGCTTGTTTTGGCTTCCTCAAATGGCTTTCAGCCTGAAATCAAATACTGGGAGCACGGGGAAAGCTGGCTTCTGAAGTCATGATTGTACTCTCAACCTCATCCTAAGGGTCCTGCTCTCTTAATAGAGCTCCTTTTCATGTGGAACTCTGGCGTCAGGCAACATGGAAGCCCATTTGTAAACACTCTCTTCATCATAGGGCATCACACAAAAGTTGGCTTCCTAGAGTACTCTTAGAAAGCTAGTTGAACTGTGGGCACTTCCTGGGTTGGCGTAATCTGGTTACGCTGTATGATGGCTATACGTCCGTTGAGAATGTCTCCAACTCAGAACTTGAATGTTCTACATGTTGCATTTGTTGCCCAAACTGTAATTAAAAACAAGACATCCACACATTTTTTGTGGCTCTTTATGACCCCTCCCCCAAGTACATGTAGGGTTCCAGCCTCATATAACCCTAAAGGTAAAGGGACCCCTGACCATTAGGTCCAGTCGTGACCGACTCTGGGGTTGTGGCGCTCATCTCGCTTTATTGGCTGAGGGAGCTGGCGTACAGCTTCCGGGTCATGTGGCCAGCATGACTAAGCCGCTTCTGGTGAACCAGAGCAGCACACGGAAATGCCGTTTACCTTCCCGCTGGAGCGGTACCTATTTATCTACTTGCACTTTGACATGCTTTCAAACTGCTAGGTTGGCAGGAGCAGGGACCGAACAACGGGAACTCACCCCGTCACGGGGATTCAAACTGCTGACCTTCCGATCAGCAAGTCCTAGGCTCTGTGGTTTAACCCACAGCACCACCCGCGTCCCTCATATAACCCTAACATGTCTAATTAGTGCCGGAAGGGGTTAAACCATAGAGTAAGCTGTCCTGCCAGGCTTAGCCTGTGACATCACTTCCCACCTTGAGAGGAAATGGGTCACCAAGCCTTTGTTAGGTCTTTTTCTCTCCATGTGGAATTCAGTATGCAAGGAGCTCTGAGCACATGCTTTAACCAACCTCTTTTTGTTTCAGACCAGAAAGGATTCTGAAACAAGTGTTTATTTCCCTACCAATAGTTTAAAAGCACTTATATTTCGTAACTAACCAATGTTTTGACTGCCTGTGGATCTTTTCTGACTGCTGTGTAGGAAAGAGTTTTGTGTATTGAGAGTTTTGTAAGGAAACAGTTTGTGTGGGTCTATCAATATGCTAGGGGAGTGGGATAGCTTGGAAAGAGCTTTTAAAAAGGGACATTTTGTGGCTCACTGGAAGGGCACGTTTTAAAGGTTTTACAGACTATATTCTCATGCTTTTCTTTGCTGCATGTTTTGGGGTGTTTCTGCTGGGGTTTGAACTTGCAACCTTGGCCTTTTCACTTGCACTCTCACCAACTGAGCTAAGGTTAAGCAGACAGAGTCTCTGCCTTGCTTCCCTTTTATCCATCCCAATCTTGATTGATGCAACTGAGCTTGTTCCAGCTGAGCAGCTGTGTCTCTCCACTTAACAAATGTGTGATCTTCACCAGCTGAGTGACCACAGGCCTCCTCCCAGACCTAACAAGCCCCATGATCTCTTCCTGGTCCACTAGTGAGCTGGGCTGTCTTCCCTTGCCTTCCTCAGTCTCCTGGAGTGCATTTTCCACTGTTCCCAGCACTTCAGAGCCCGCCATGCCCACGGAGACAGGGACACCTCTGGTTCTGGTGGTGTGCAACATCCTCTGATATCCTGTGAGTACCTCCTAAATCCCCGACCTCCCCTTCCCCATCTTCAGGTTGTCCCAGTGTGTACCAATCATGGCTACACCCCTCGCTGGGATCCTTTCCCCCTTCCTTGGTGTCCTGCCAGTTCCTGAGACCCATTGGGTTTTGGGAGACTGGAGCTCTTGACTAGTGTTGCAGCTGCGATCTACTTGGTTTTCCTTCCTGCCATGACGACAGGCAAGAACACTGGGGTATAGTTAGAATCATAGAATTGGAAGGCACCACCAGGGTCATCAATGCAGGAAAGTTTGCCCCAGGCGGGCCTTGAACCCACAAGCCTGGGATTGAGAGTCTCATGCTCCACCGACTGAGCTGTTCCTAGAAAGCAGATAGAAAGAATGAGTTTGCTCAGTTCAAAGAGTGGAGATATCACATCTTATTGAGCGATATGGGAAGTCCCAGAAAAATAAGAATGGTAATATATGATTATATTTTTTAAAAAAGATGTATTATGTGAAAACTTAATAAAAATATTTATATAAAAAAAGAATGAGTTGGCTCAGTCCGATTGCCATATTTATGATTGGCGATCGTGATTATCCAGCTAAGGTTGGTTAGTAGCGAGCACTTTTGCATCATGCAGCTTGGCTCGCTTTTTAAAGTGACCACCAACTATTTCCTTCCTTTAGTGCCCCTGACCAGGGTTAAAGTAAGATCCTCTTGCTAGTCCAGTACAGTGGTACCTCAGGTTACATACGCTTCAGGTTAAATACGCTTCAGGTTACAGACTCCGCTAGCCCAGAAATAGTGCTTCAGGTTAAGAACTTTGCTTCAGGATGAGAACAGAAATCGTGCTCCAGCGGTGCGGCAGCAGCAGGAGGCCCCATTAGCTAAAGTGGTGCTTCAGGTTAAGAACAGTTTCAGGTTAAGTACGGACCTCCGGAACGAATTAAGTACTTAACCCGAGGTACCACTGTACATGGAAAGGGGGTTCCATGTTGTCCTTTGCTCCAGGCAGCCCTGTGTCTTGGGTCGGCCCTGTGTGTTTGGGTCTGGGTTGATCCAAGCAGCTATTTTGTGCTCCTCTCTGGCGCCGGGAGAGAGCCAAGCAGTGGCTGGGCTTGTGAAGTCTTATTCTTTCTTGCAATTGGGGGGCTGGTGGCTTTTTGTGCCTTGAAGTGATTTCACGTGAAGTTTTATGGTCTCTTGAGTACTAAAAGAAAAGAAAAAAAAAAGAATTATTATTTAAGGCAAGCTTCAAGGAAGTGTGATTCATGTGTTTTCCCAGTGCAGTGTGGTTCCTTCTGACAGCGCCAGGTGGTTAAGAAAGCAGTATTAAGGGACACAGACCACTTGCTCTTCTGTACAATAACGCCATGTAAAGGTCTGTTTTTTGATTCAAGGAGGGGAAGCCTCGAAGCTTTCACATCCACGGTAAGAAACTCAGGGTAGAGCTGCCAACTTTTCTTCCTATTACGTCAAGGCATCACAGAGTTTAAAGCTTAGTAAAAATCCAAGGTCCCCTCTCCCCTCTCCTTTAATCCCAAGGTAAATGTTAGGCAGACAGCAACTCTGCTTTATGCATTAACAAACCTGGCTGGGTCTTTCTGAAAAGGCTTTTGCAAGGGCACTTAGGGGATTCTGAAAGTGCTGCTTGGCTGCGAGGGGAACTCCAGGAGCTGCCATTTTGCCGATGGGGTGCGAGGGGGTAGCGCCTTGGCCTCCCTCCATAAATTCGCAGCTATTGCAAATATCAGCTGGGTTACTGTTTTGTTATCTCTGGCAAAAAAAGCGCCTGGAAACGGGGAGGGGGCCGCTCACGTTAGGCAACGTTGTTTTGAACTCCGTGGGGTTTCTTTACCAAATCTTTCCGTGCGTGAACAGTAGCTGCTGAATGAAAACCTTGTCTCGAGACCCTGCGCAGGAAAACAACACACACACACACCGTTCCCTGCCGCTTTCCTTTCAAAACTCTGATCATTAGCACCTTGGACTCGGTTTGAACCTTGGACACTTGGTGGTCTCCAACGAGGAAACCCTGCTTCAAAATCAGGTTCTCTTTATATGGATGTAATGTTTTATTATGTGTTGACGAGCATGATATTACGTGCTCCCCATTTCTCTGAGCAGTGAGGAGTTCCAGGAGAAATGCTGTGGGGTTGAATGTCCTTGAGAGAGAGAGAACTGGAGACTTTGGAATGTTTCTGTTCTTTACAAGTATCTAAGGAAAATCTTTAGCAAAGACAAAGGGGAACTCCTACAAGGCAGAAGATTCACACATCAGAGAGAGGGGGGCTATCCCAGTCATTTTAGGTAAAGGTAAAGGTAGCACCCTGAACATTGGGTCCAGTCGTGCCCGACTCTGGGGTTCAGTGCTCATCTCACTTTATTGGCCGAGGGAGCCAGCATACAGCTTCCGGGTCATGTGGCCAGCATGACTAAGCCACTTCTGGTGAACCAGAGCAGCGCACGGAAACGCCGTTTACCTTCCCGCTGGAGGGGTACCTATTTATCTACTTGCACTTTGACGTGCTTTCGAACTGCTAGGTTGGCAGGAGCTGGGACCGAGCAACGGGAGTTCACTCCGTCACAGGGATTCGAACCGCCAACCTTCTGATCAGCAAGTCCTAGGCTCTGTGGTTTAACCCACAGCACCACCCGCGTCCCATCCTAGTCATTTTACCTTCACCCAACTCTTGAGTACAAGTGTTTTCTCTGTCTCAAGATGATGATGCTGAAAGCTGCCCAGTACTACTCCTTGAAAATCATAGATCTGTAGAGTTGGAAGGGACCCTGAGGATCATCTTGTCCAACCCCCTGAAATGCAGGAATATGGAGCTGTCTCATATGGAGATCAAACTTGCAACCTTGGCGTTATAAGCACCACACACTAACCAACTGAGCTATCACCTGTGTTGGATTATGCTATTTCATCAAAGGGCCTGCGGTCCATCAGGTGTTACTTTTCAAAAGGGATGCGGGTGGCACTGTGGTCTAAACCACTGAGCCTCTTGGGCTTGCTGATCATGAGGTCGGCAGTTCAAGTCTGTGCAATGGAGTTAGCACCCATTGCTCTGTCCCAGCTCCTGCCAACCTAGCAGCTTGAAAGCACACCAATGTAAGTAGATGAATAGGTACCACTATGGTGAGAAGGTAAACGGCATTTCCGTGCACTCAGGTTTCCATCACGGTGTTCTGTTGCACCAGAAGCAGTTTAGTCATGCTGGCCGCATGACCCAGAAAGCTGTCTGTGGACAAATGCCGGCTCCCTCAGCCTGAAAGCAAGACGAGCGCCTCAATCCCATAGTCGCCTTTGACTGGACTTTACCGTCCAGGGACCCTTTACCTTTTTAACTTTGTGATGGGGTGAGCTCCCATTGCTCGGTCCCTGCTCCTGCCAACCTAGCAGTTCGAAAGCACATCAAAGTGCAAGTAGATAAATAGCTACCACTCCGGCGGGAAGGTAAACGGCGTTTCCGTGCGCTGCTCTGGTTTGCCAGAAGGGGCTTAGTCATGCTGGCCACATGACCCAGAAGTTGTACACCGGCTCCCTTGGCCAATAAAGCGAGATAAGCGCAGCAACCCCAGAGTCGTCTGCGACTGGACCTAATGGTCAGGGGTCCCTTTACCTTCACCTTACTTTTCAAATGTGACAGCAAAGTGCACCATCAAACTGCACATGGCTGGCATTCCTTTGCTCTGTATACCTTTCATTGCACTGACATTCTAGGTAGGAAGAGGATGCAGAGGAAAGAATCCTACTTTCAAAACTACTTTTGATTCTTTTCCCTTACACTTCTCGGTTCAACACACTGCACATAAAAATGAGCCAAGTGTGCTGAGACCACCACACCAGTGGCATGCTGAGAGCAGGACAGTTATCTTCACTCATCACTCAAATTTACAACTTTGCAATATAACAAAAACAGCTGCTCAGCTGAGGCAGGAAATCAATGTAATCCTTTTGGATGCTCGGGGTAGAAAAAAGCTTGTAGCCGCGCATCCAGGAGGCGGTTTGCCTCTGAATGCCAGTTGCTGGGGAGCATCAGGTGGGAAATTGCTGTCCTTGGAATCACGTGGGTGTCCCATGGGAATCTTATTGGCCATTGTGAGAGCAGGATGCTGGCCTGGAAAGGCCTTTGGACTGGTCCAGCAGGGCTCTTTTATGATCCAGCCGGAAAAGGAGTGCAACAACTTCAACAGATATGTTACAGCAGCTTTCTAGCACCTGCAGTTTACTAAACAGGCAAAGGCTGTCCAGTTATGCGTCTGTCATTGTCTTTAACAGCTGGCAATCGATTTGTGCTTTGGATTTGTTTTCAAAATCTCCCAACAGAGGACTGGGGGGGGGGGATTATAACCTTTTACAACCTTAAGGATGTAAAAACAAGCTTGAAAGCTACCTTAGCTAAAACAAACATAACAAAGAGAGGACAAGGGTGCGCAAACACTGACTCTGGACACTTCTGGAAAGAAGAACAAGGTGACCTTTTTTCCTTGGTCAAAGACAGCAGGTTAAAGTGGCTCAGGGTCTCTTGTGTGCATTTTTGACATAGACTTCCAGAACTTGTGAGGCAATATTATGATGTGCTGTGTCTGCAGGGTTGGCCCACTCACAAGGCAAAGCGAGGTGACCCTGCTTCGGGCAGCAGGATCCACAGGGGCAGCAGATCTCAGTGTAGATGGTTTATTCCACCGCTTGTTGTAGATCTTCACTCACCCCTTCTTCCCTGGCGGGGAGGGAGGCACCATTTTGTGGTGCCAAAATATCTTGGGCCGGCCATGGGTATCTGACTGATAATTCCGGGTTTGCTGATGTATAGTACTTTGGCAGGATGCCTTTATTATTGGATAGAGGAGCAGGTGACATCCGGGGCGGAGGCAGGAGCGTGTGGTGGGGGCGGTTCGCCCTGGGTATCACCACTGAAGTGGGTGACAAATCACCGGGCAGCACTCACCCACTCTGTGGAGTCAAAATATACACCGTCATGTGATAGACAAAGATCCCATGACTGCAATCATGGAACAGGAATTCTGACATTTTCTGGGAGTGAGGCGGTGGCTTGGGTGCCCGGAGGCTCTGTGCTGCCCCAAACAGTCCACCCACTGCCTCCCCCAGCTGAATGGTAGGAAGCAGGCAGCTTCCTTGGAGGCCCCACGGAGTGTCCTGCCCCAGTTCGCCCCACCCCTGGGCTCAGGGCACACACGCCGCCCTAGGCGCCCAATCGGTTTTCACCGCCGCTGGTTAGATTCCCACAAGCCACCACCATGGCAGCGTCTAAATATTCCAGTAATTTCCCCTCCAAAACCAATTCTACTTGGCAAGGTAGACACACAGTTGCCCCTATTTCTATAGCCTTAAAGTGGAATGATCAAGATTTTTGAGCAGCGGGGTTGCTTTGCAACATGTAGTTTTTGCCCTTGGAGAATGAAACCCTGTAGAAAATGTGAGACCCACAGCCCTGGAGTTTAATCCCACAGAAGTCTTACCTGTTACATGCTTCCTGGCACAAACTATTCTTTATTTTAAAACAAACGCATAATATTTTGAAGAGCTATTTTTCTCCCACCAACTCCGCCAACCAGCTTTTCCTTACTGGGAGAGACAGAAGGGTGTTTTTTTGTTTTCTTGTTTTTAAAGCAATGTCCATGCACTTCAGTAAAAGTTGCTTTTTTGCAGCTGATTTATGATCTCTGGGGCTGTGAGGGAAGAGTTGCAATCCCAGCCCTCTGTGGTTCTGCTCCAGGAGTGCCCTAGAGAGGTAAGAGGCCCTAAAGAGGGAACGGCTGAAACAAACCAGGAAAACAAGTCAGAAACTCTGAATAGATTATGATGCAGCTACCACAGTACATGCACACAAACTCTGACATATTTATGGTGCTTCCAGTGGTAAGAAGCGCTGCTGCTGCTGTTGTTGTTACGACTGCTAAAGAAATAAACGACATTTTTCATAAGCCAACAAGAGCAGCACACAGTTGAGACTTTCTCTTGCTTTTGTTATAGATATCACTCTTTCCACCCCAATTACCCCAACGGGCCACTTTTGTCTGAAATAACCCGTGGTGGAAGGAAACACAACTGTAATTTGTCACCTTTGAAAGTGATAAGGAGCTGGGAGTTGAGAAGCTGCCTGGCCACCATGTCAAGGGGCAGGCAGGAGGGAGAGAAACCCGTTCACATTACATGTATTGATGCATAGAAAAGAAAAATATAGCCTGCTTTTAACTTTTGATGTCAGCACCTCCCATGCTGGTTTCAATGCATTACGGAATATTCTGAGTGAACACCTAATGTCAACTTGAGCAAGATATTGTTATAGATTTGGAAGGGTAAAAGGTAAAGGGACCCCTGACCACTAGGTCCAGTCATGAGCGACTCTGTGGTTGCGGCGCTCATCTCGCTTTACTGGCCGAAGGAGCCGGCATACAGCTTCTGGGTCATGTGGCCAGCATGACCAAGCTGCTTCTGGTGAACCAGAGCAGCACACGTAAACACCGTTTACCTTCCTGCCATTTATCTACTTGCACTTTGATGTGCTTTCGAACTGCTAGGTTGGCAGGAGCAGGGACCGAGCAACGGGAGCTCACCCCGTCGCGGAGATTAGAACTGCCAACCTTCTGATTGGCAGCGCCATCCCCCTAAATCCCAGAAGGGAGAAATATAAGCTGCAGAGGAATTTATGGGCTAGCCTATGCAAAACGACCTGGCCACCACGAAGAAACAATACAGAACCATTGGCAATGCAAGAGAACTGTCCTCCACCCTTGCCCTGAGGTGTGAGCAAAGGGGATTTCAAAGGTTAGCATGATACATGGGTGTGAAGTGACAGAAAAGGAGAGTTTTTAGCAGAGTGTTCTGGGAAGAAGGAAGAAGAAAGATGGATCCATCTTGGGCAGGTTGGCTGCATGCTGGCTGGGAGAGATGCCTTGGACAAGCCCCTCTTGAAATGACCATACTGTATAAGATCTGGACTCCACACTGTAATGAATCCACACTGTAATCTTGAAGGAATGGGGTAAATGTGACGTTTCAGCTTGGAGGACCACCCATGTTTTGGGGAGAGCATACATGATCTGGCAGCATATGCTTTCAGTTCATTGTCTAGATAAGGAGAGTCTACCATGTAGACAGGCTGCCTGTCTAACTCTTATTTATCAGCACACCCATTTATTAGGGTTTATTGCTATTTCTGGGCTATCCTGAGGCACAGGAAATATCACATGTGAAGCATTCTCGATCTGACAAATAGTGCTTGACTACAGCCTACGATGGCCCCATGAGCTCAAAGCATGTGCCTGTTTAAGGAGCAGTCTTCTTGGATGAGTTGCACCACGTTGCCCTACTGTGGTAAAGGCTGCTTTGAATTTTGACCACAGGAAGCACACTCAATGAAGAAACGTTTAATCAGAAGATCTTCACTGAAACATGACACACGTTTCAAGGTTTGCTTGTTTTTATAGCTGAGCGCTGACAACCAGCAAGGTCAGTTTATGATTAAGTCTCTGTGACACCGCCGGTCACTTGCACATAATTTGCATTTTTATTTGGAGATGGGGGTCCAAACAAATTCCGCTCCTCCCTCAGAACCTTGAATTATTTGACTTACTATTGGCTTTGCCAATAGCATTATCCCGAGCCTCTCAAAAGCTGGTTTGAAAAATGTTCATGAACTTCACCAGAGTTGTTCAAGGCGCAGCAAGGAAAGTGGCTGGGACTGGAATTAAGTGATGAGGCCATGGAATGCTTTCTTCCCTGTTCTCTCCAGGGCTTCAGCTGCCAACCTTCGAAAAACCCCAGTGGGAATGCAGCAGCTATTGAAATAAGATGGGTTCAGGTAGTCCAGGAAGTGGTGTGGATGATTCAGTGTGCGTGGTACATGCTTCTTTCTGGGTCACACTGAATAAACATCTTAGTCTGGTATTGAAGGCTATCGGAGACTTGAGACTGGGCTCATAATATTTATTCTGTCCTTTCCTCTGTGAATGTGTTGGAGAAGCAACTGACATAGCCAAAGGTATACACTGCAAACATGGATTGCCACATACTGCTTCAAAACAGTTTGTAGTTGTGATCTGGGAAAGGCAGGATATTAAACAAACATCTTTCCTTAAGGGAACTTGGGGAGCTGGACAGGATATATTCTGTTGTGTGGGTGTGCATTGGATTCAGAAAAAAAAGTGAACCCAAAGCTGGAAAAGGGTGCCTTGGAAGGATTTGGGGCAAATCAGGATCTGTATTCTGAAGGAAATCAGCCCTGAGTGCTCACTGGAAGGACAGATCCTGAAGCTGAGGCTCCAATACTTTGGCCACCTCATGAGAAGAGAAGACTCCCTGGAAAAGACCCTGATGCTGGGAAAGATGGAGGGCACAAGGAGAAGGGGACGACAGAGGACGAGATGGTTGGACAGTGTTCTCGAAGCTACCAGCATGAGTTTGACCAAACTGTGGGAGGCAGTGGAAGACAGGAGTGCCTGGCGTGCTCTGGTCCATGGGGTCACGAAGAGCCAGACACGACTAAACGACTAAACAACAACAAAGGATCTGTATGAGGCAGCGTGAATAGAACCTCTGAAGTAAACAGTGCAGATCAGATTGGGATGAATCCTGAGGGAATGAATGCAGGGTCCCTCAGAGGAATTTTTGGTTTGCCATAGGAGATGTGGGATCATTAGCACAGATCAAAGCAAGGAGTCTTCAAGTGCCTTATTGATCCAGACATTTCAATAATGTTTCAGACAAACTTCTGCTGAAAGGGAAATTAATGTCGCTGAGCTTCCAATGTAAAGAATCATTCTAGGGTGAGGAGACAGGGAAGAAAAAGCAGGTGCCACAGTGGGGAGAGGGTGGAAAGAAAACTCCATTGTGACTTTCAGGTCAAGCTTGTAATCAGAAATAATTATTTTACCTAAAAAGTGAAAACTTTTAGCTCCACCGCCCCCCACAATCAGCTTTAAAAGTTCTACCACAAAAGACTCCACACATATTTTCCCACAATTTGCCAGGTTTCTCACCCAGGGATACCTCTCTCCTGATAGCAATTTTCAGACCAGTTGTCCACATAATGCTAGAGGAGGTCAAGTGATTCCTTTCTATCCACCCCAAGAATTGTGATAGCTGCTGTTGTTGGGACTGCAACTGTCCTTCAGAAATTTGGCAGTATTTGTGTTGTTAGAGGAAGTGACATTGCCTGCAAATTTAATCCAATTCTGCTATACACGTAAAAAAGGTATAGGCATTTCCTTTTTTAAAAAAATCAAAATTAAATGTGCCCAGCACAATAGCCCCTGGACCTATCTGCTTGTAATTGCGCAGGCTTTATCTTCTCTGGAGGGTCTTCCATACCTGAAAACTTCATACACGTTTGTCAAAAGAGGGGAAAAGTTAGAGCCTACAAAGTGCCTTGGACTAAGGTGGGCTAAACCAAATCTTTTGGCCAGTGAAACCCCCTATCCTGTTGCTTTCCTGGAATTATGCATAGATGTGAGAAGGTTGTCTAGACCTCATGGCATCAGGAAGACCCTTTAAAAACCTTGGCTTTTATTGAATGAATGAAACCGAAACATTAAAGAAGAGATTCTCAAATTAAGGAGCTGCTTTCCCCCCACAGACAGATATTGCTCAACTAGAACTGTGTGTGTGTTTGAGTAACTTCTGATTAAGTCAAGGAATAAGATTTCCGGTATGTCTAATTCATGAACATTTTACAGAATGTTGCAAGATTATAAATCAAAGCACTTACATTAACCAGTGTATTTCTGTTACGAGAAAATGTACTTTCTATAAACTCAAGCAACCCTTGACAGCAAGTATGAGATTTCGTGTAATGTGACATAAAGACTAACATCAGACTTTCTGGACTCATACTGAGGAATCTCAGAAGACGTCTGGCGATGTGCTGTCTGACTAAGGCTGCAATCCTAAGAATGCTTATTTGGCAGTAAAGCCCATTGAAAACGAGACTTACAACTGAACCTGCGTAGGACTGGGTTGTTGGAATAACATGAATAGTCAGTGACAGAGAGAAGTCAGTGGGTGCAACCGCACATTTTGGAAAAGGAATGTGGAAACATTTGTCCTTGCTTTGGGTTTAGCCCTCAAAGACTTGCATTTTCTCTTCTTTGGAAAAAAAAACACAATTTGTGTATAGCTTCCCATTTTGAGGCTATTGTGATTTATATACATAGTTTAACATACATAGAGAGCCAGCGTGGTGTAGTGGTTAAGAGCAGTGGACTCATAATCTGGTGAACTGGGTTCGCTTCCCCGCTCCTCCACATGAAGCTGCTGGATAACCTTGGGCCAGTCACACTTCTCTGAAGTCTCTCAGCCCCACTCACCTCACAGAGTGTTTGTTGTGGGGGAGGAAGGGAAAGGAGATTGTTAGCCGCTTTGAGACTCCTTAAGGGGAGTGAAAGGCGGGTATCAAGTCCAAACTCCTCCACCTCCTCCTCCTCTTCTTCTTCATCTTCATGAATGAATTCACTCAACTGCAAAGAATTTCCAGAGAGGTAAATGGCTTCCATTTGCTTCATGTAATGTATATGGCTCCTAATAACACCTGAAATCTGTTGAATCATAATGGGATGGTTCAGATTGGTAAACTGTTGTGATCTGATGATATTGTTATATGTATATTTGGGATAAGTGAGAGAAGGACTTTTGTATTCACATGGAAACTGACCGATCATCTCTCAAGGATCCAATGTTTTATCCTGCCTGTGATTTAGTAATGAATCCAATGCAACGGGCTTTTACAGATGATCATGCTGTTTTGGTGAATCTTCACCTTATAATAGGAATGCTCCTATTTGATGTTAGATGCCCTGAGCTTGGTCTTGGCCGGGGAGGATGGGATACAAATAAAAGTTTGTTGTTGTTGTTGTTGTTATTCAGAGCTAATCAGCCATTCCTTTCTTCCAGATACTCCATTTCGTTTACCTTCGGCCCCATTTTTCTTTATCTTAAAAGCATATATTATACTGTATGGCCAAATTGTTTTCTGAAGTGCACAGGACATACAGCAACTGCTTGTGATTGGGCATGGGCATCTACTCATCAAAAAGAAAGAGAAAAAACTCATAGGTCGTATGCCTGGCCCACAGGACACACTTACAGCTCTTTGTATCCTGGACAATATCTGGAATATTTCTACTACTGTACAGGCTTGACTACTGTAATTCGCTCTATGCAGGGCTGCCCTTGAAGCTGTCCCAGAAACTCCAGTGGGCGCAGAATGCTGCAGCGAGGGGTCCTTGCCATGGGAGCATATTCACCCAGTGCTCTACCAGCTGCACTGGCTCCCGGTGGTTACAGGGTCAGATTTAAGGTGCTGGTTTTGACCTTTAAAGCCCTTCACAGCCTAGCACCCTCGTACCTACGGGACCACCTCTCCTGGTATGCCCCACGGAGAGCCTCAAGGTCCATAAATAGCAACACCCTAGAGGTCCTGGGCCCTAAGGAAGTTAGATTAGCTTCAACCAGAGCCAGGGCCTTTTCAACACTGGCTCCAGCCTGGTGGCCCTATGCAGCCTAGGACCCTCATACGTATGGGACTGCCTCTCCTAGTATGTCCCGAAGAGGACCTTAAGGTCCATGAATAGCTTAAAGGTCCCGGGTCCTAAGGAAGCCAGATTATCTTCCACCAGGACAGGGCTTTTTCAGTGATGGCTCCGACCTGGTGGAATGCTCTGTCTCATGAGACCAGGGCCCTGCAGGATCTGATTTCTTTCCGCAGGGCCTGTAAGACAGAGTTGTTCCACCTGGCCTTTGGCTTGGAGCCAATTTGATTCCCTCCCCCTCTTTCTTTTTTCTTTTCCTTTCTCCTCCTGCGATGAGGCTACATTTAAATATTTTAATGTTGTATTTTAATTTTGTTTTTAAGTTGTATTCATTCAACTTGTTTTTATTATTGCTTGTTAGCCGCCCTGAGCCCAGCCTTGGCTGGGGAGGGCGGGGTATAAATAAAAATTATTATTATTATTATTATTATTATTATTATTATTATTATTACTAATGGCCCAAGTGTTTTATTCCCCAGTTTCATAGAAGTTCTATATCCATTAAGTTTACCAGAAATAAAGCAACCCTCAAATGTGATTTTGAGGATAAATATGTTATTGGCTGGTGCAGGTTTGTTTTATGACATTGCCATGAGTGGTCGTTTTTCACACCTTCAACACTGTCCTGCAATTCTTTGAAAGGATTATTGAACTTCCCTCCGAGATCTCTAATCTTTGATGAAAGGGATATATTTGAAATGACCACTGATTTCACAGCTCGCTCAGTTTATTCATAAAAGGGGGAAAACGTTTTCCAAGGAAGCTTTCACAGACAAGTGTGTGTCAATGTTTAAATATAATATGCAATTGCTACTTTATTATAATGTATTCTTTAAGACCATACTTTTGTGTGTGTGATATATTTTATCTATCTCACAATTAACCCCACACAATAAATAATGGAGATGTCCTTTAATTTACCCCGTTACTAAGTGATACTGAAGAGTGGAGGTCCACTAATAATATGTAAAGTTCTATTATGGGAAGAACTCTTGTTCAAGAGAACTTCTGTGTTTGTCTTGAGTAATGTTCTTTTGTATTATTTTTGGCTTCCCCAATAATTTTCCTACATTATTTGGCCTAATTCAGCTGCGAGTTCTAGTCTGGTCAAACTAAGTTTCCAGACATAGGCTGTACAGGCCATTAGAGGCCCGTTGAGTGGATTATTAACAAATAAATGAAGATGGCTCCTCAATCCCTGACCACCACTAGTAAACAAATGTACTTTGTGTAATGTCACCATTTCCTCTGTTATAAAGCACAGATGAGTTTTCTCTTTTTCTTTAAGTTGTTTTCTCCTTTGGGTCTGCCATTTCCATCACACAGACAGGCTACCCAAGTGCAATAAATTGAGATTAATATGTGGCTGAGATTGAGCATTTACGTCCAGTTGGCCATTATGGAAAATGAATCAAGCAGCCCCCTTTCTGACTGGAGCCCAGTCTTTCCATTCTCCACAAACAAAAACTTTGTTATACATCCCCGTGCAGCTATTCAAAAACCATTTCGTGGGTTGGATCAAAAGGTATTCTTCTGCATGCAGAAGTCATCTTCTGAGGGGTTGTTTTATACCTTGTGCTATAGCACTGGATTGGAAAAGTGAAACTACATCCAAAGGCATTCAAGTGTTTCTGCAAGAGCTAGCGCAGCTCCATCTGGTATGCAGGCTGAGACCTTACCTGCCTGTGGACTGTCTTGCCAGAGCGGTGCTTGCTCTGGTTATCTCCCGCTTGGACTACTGCAATGCGCTCTACGTGGGGCTACCTTTGAAGGTGACCCAGAAACTACAACTAATCCAGAATGTGGCAGCTAGACTGGTGACTGGGTGTGCTTGCCGAGACCACATAACACCAGTCCTGAAAGACCTAAAATTTGCTCTCAGTACGTTTCTGGGCACAATTCAAAGTGTTGGTGCTGACCTTTAAAGCCCTAAATGGCCTCGGCCCAGTATACCTGAAGGAGCGTCTCCACCCCCATCGTTCTGCCCGGACAGTGAGGTCTAGCTCAGAGGGCCTTCTGGCGGTTCTCTCACTGCGAGAAGCAAAGTTACAGGGAACCAGGCAGAGGGCCTTCTCGGTGGTGGTGCCCGCCCTGTGGAACGTCCTCCCACCAGATGTCAAAGAAATAAACAACTAACTGACTTTTAGAAGACATCTGAAGGCAACCCTGTTTAGGGAAGCTTTTAATATTTGATGAATTACTGTATTTTAATATTTTGCTGGAAGCCGCCCAGAGTGGCTGGGGAAACCCAGCCAGATGGGCGGGGTATAAATTATTATTATTATTATTACTACGACTACTACTACTACTTATTTATTTACAGCACATGCAGCAAAACTCCTAGACTTTGCATGCTGGTGGCTTTCACCTCCAATAATCTAATCCAGTGTTCATTTGGTTGCAACAGAGCATGTTCAGAAATATTCTTCCCTCCTTACTCATACACTTACTTATCTGACTGGTGATTGCTCTTGAGTGGTTGTAGGTGATAGTTCCTGTTTCTTTCTGCCACTGTGTGTGTGTGTGTGTGTGTGTGTGTGTGTGAGAGAGAGAGAGAGAGAGAGAGAGAGAGAGAGAGAGATTGTACCTGCATATCTTCTGCTTCAGTAAAGGAAGGAGAGAGTAGACAATGTGGCCTCATGCTGATATTACTAGTCATTGTGACCTCATGCTGATGTCACTAGTCATTGTGACCTCATGCTGATATTACTAGTCATTGTGACCTCATACTGATGTTAACCACCTTATGAAAAGTGAGACATTGGTCACACGTTGTAGCCAGCTGATTTTCATGAGAAAGGTTCCTTCCTTCCTTCCTTCCTTGGTCACTGGCAGGTAGGCAGGCTCCATTATCCACTACTTATTTTAGACCATGGGATGACTGCCTTCTGTATCCTTCTGCCTGCCAGCGAAGAACATCTCTCTGTGCTATGTCCATCTGCTGCCTGCCACAGATTTCTGTAACCAAAGGAGATCCATGAAAAGGTAAGCAGCCATTCTCTGGAGCTCCCAACAGAAAGCCAGCACTGGAACGGTTGAAGTTATTCCCACTGAAACTAAATTAAAACCATAAACCTAAAGTATTTCCTCTTGAACACTCCTAAATAAGGGAATTCATGACCACAATGACTACCATCTTAAATGAGAGCATAAGAGGAGCAGACAAATGGATGGAGTTAGTAATGTGGAGCCTCCAAGTTCGGATATAGTATGTTTTTGAGTGCAGGTGCCACTCTTGGAAGGGAGAGAACAACAGAGGGATGCTTTTTGCCTTCATATCCAGCTTTGTGAGCTCAAAGGCATTGGTTTGGCTGCTGTTGAAGGCATGATGTCTCGATGGGACTTCATGTTGATACAGCAGGGCTCTTCTTAGCTTTGTCACTGAAAATGCTGGAGTATCCTAGACTTCCAACTCAATGAGTATACAACTTCTCTTCATATCGTTTGCCTCTCCATTCCACCCTTTGCTGCCTCAACCAAGTTACTAAAGGTCCCCATCTAAGCATCCTGGTTTAACCAAGGAAAGCCCTGCCCTTTGGAGGATAGCTCAGTCAGTACAGCACGAGACTCTTAATCTCAGGGTTGTGGGTTTGAGCACCACCAGGGGCAAAGAAATTCCTGCATTGCAAGGGATTGGACTGTGTGGTCCCTTCCAGCTCTACAACTCTATAATTCTATGATTCTAACTTGGATGGTGATTGAACTGATGGCACAACTTGTGTGAGTTAAAGGCTTTGCTTGGGAAGAGGGAACCACCGGTTCGCAATGCTATTTATCTTCATTAAAATAAGCCTTACCTATGGGCACTACTTTGTTGTTGTTGTTTAGTCGTTTAGTCATCCGACTCTTCATGACCCCATGGACCAGAGCACGCCAGGCACTCCTGTCTTCCACTGCCTCCCGCAGTTTGGTCAGACTCATGCTGGTAGCTTCAGGAACACCATCCAACCATCTTGTCCTCTGTCATCCCCTTCTCCTTGTGCCCTCCATCTTTTCCATCATCAGGGTCTTTTCCAGGGAGTCTTCTCTTCTCATGAGATGGCCAAAGTATTGGAGCCTCAGCTTCAGGATCTGTCCTTCCAGTGAGCACTCAGGGCTGGTTTCCTTCAGAATGGAGAGGTTTGATCTTCTTGCAGTCCATGGGACTCTCAAGAGTCTCCTCCAGCACCATAATTCAAAAGCATCCATTCTTCGGCGATCAGCCTTCTTTATGGTCCAGCTCTCACTTCCATACATCACTACTGGGAAAACCATAGCTTTAACTATACGGACCTTTGTTGGCAAGGTGATGTCTCTGGTTTTTAAGAATCTGTCTAGGCTAGCAATCCTCTTTCTGAAGCCTGCTATTCTGATAATTGAATCTGGAGTTCCAAGTCTGGTCTAAGTACACTGCATGCTCGCTTGTTTGTTTGGTGACCTGGCTTGGGAGACTAATTGTTTTCCGTTGCCTTGAGGAAAACAAATAGTGTTCTATATTCAGTCTAGTTCTAGCTCATGTTCCCGTGCTTCCTTTAATTTTCCATGATGCCCTATGAGAAAATGGAATATAGGCTTGCTCAGTATGAATGGAAGCAACTGCAGGTCTTCAAAATGATGGATGCCGTCATCCCGCCCCGTGGCGGGAGTTATATTTCTCAGTGACACAAGAGGAAAGAAACAAACTTTTTCAGAGGAGCAAGAACCCTCCAGTTCTTTAAAGATGCATTGGTATTTCCAGAGCTCAGATAATTTTTCTGCCAGAAGCAAATGTGACCTAACTTTAGATTTGGCCTTTGTACAGAATCCCCATTGTTAAAAGATGTGACTTTTAAGTATTGTAGCAAAGATGTGAATGGGTAGATCATCAAGCAAGGAGGTCAAAGTTTGTCTAAGTTAAAACAAGGCTTTGGACAGACAACTTGGATCCTGTTGCCTGTCTCTTGAGCCATCTGTTGTTATGTAGTTAGCAGCACATGTTTAAACATAACTTTTTACTGCTCCCTTGTATGGACTGCAATCCCACCTCCCCTTCATTCCAGTTGTCTTATTCTCCTTCTTGGTTACAACTGTTTGCTTACGAAAATGGTGCTTGTAGTATCTAGTGCAGGCATTGACAAGAAAAGTCTGTTGCATTTAGAACATTTTCAGAAGTGACTTATCAGAAGACGTTCTCCACCAAGAATGCATTCATTTGGTAAACAAGCGTCTGTGTTTATTGCCTCAGCTGTAAAGCACTCTCATGTGTATTTAAATGTATGTATAAATCTCACGTTCGCCCTTGAAAAATACTTGCCACTGGGCTCCTGGTACTTTCCTGTTGGCTGTCTGTGGGTATTTTGATGGGGAAAGCCAAGTTCATGCAAGCATGCATCTTTCAGTCCTCTTATTGGCCACATCTAGGTACAAAGTAGAGACATCACCTTGCCAACAAAGGTCCGTATAGTAAAAGCTATGGTTTTCCCAGTAGTGATGTATGGAAGTGAAAGCTGGACCATAAAGAAGGCTGATCGCCGAAGAATTGATGCTTTTGAATTATGGTGCTGGAGGAGACTCTTGAGTCCCATGGACTGCAAGAAGATCAAACCTATCCATTCTGAAGGAAATCAGCCCTGAGTGCTCACTGGAAGGACAGATCGTGAAGCTGAGGCTCCAATACTTTGGCCACCTCATGAGAAGAGAAGACTCCCTGGAAAAGACCCTGATGTTGGGAAAGATGGAGGGCACAAGGAGAAGGGGACGACAGAGGACGAGATAGTTGGATGGTATTCTCGAAGCTACAGACATGAGTTTGACCAAACTGCGGGAGGCAGTGGAAGACAGAAGTGCCTGGCGTGCTCTGATCCATGGGGTCACGAAGAGTCGGACACGACTAAACGACTAAACACCACCAACAACAAAGGTACAAATGTGGAAGTGATATTGTAGACCTGTTGCTGCCTATGTTTTTCTGCCTTGCCATGTTTGTTGGTCAAACTGTTGTGATAGTGTTTTATGTAGCAGCAAGGGGGAAAATGGAAATGAGCACCTAACAGTATAACCACCATCGGTGCAATAGATGAGTGCTACATGAATCTACAGGACCTATTGGATAATACCTGTGTGATCTCTGAAGATGTGTTGCACTCTGTTCTCATGCACACCTCAGCTATGTCTGGTGGATTCTATTTTGTTTATTTTAGTATTGTATAAGATTTGGGCATGTGTGGACGAGCACTTTCCAGGCATGGAACAAGTGGAAGTGTGACTGAGCCCTGAGACCCTGGCAAACCTCTGTCTGATCCTGGTCTACTGGATCAGATACACCCAATGATTTGACCTAGAAGAAGACAGCTCCGTATGTTTGTAGGAACTCAACCCCGGCCCCGTTCTTTTCTGCTTTGGAATGCAGGCAGGAAATACGAAACTGATTCCTACAATTTCATTTGTTTAAGCAATTTCAAGATCCCCATGACAGGGAACGCATCGTGGTCAGCAGAGTATGTGGAGTGTAATGTACCAGCAGGGCAGAAAGGCTAACTTGAGAGTGGGATTAAAATTCACAGTTCAATTTACAGTGGCACGTACAGTTGAAACCCACTGCCGAGTGTGTATCCCACTCAAGACTTAAAGAGTTCTCTTTGTGAAGCCTACTGTGATTTTTGGCTGTGGAAGGGAAGTGGGTATGCAAAACAAAGCTCTTTTTACTAGTCAAACGTTTACAGTGCAAACAAATTCAACTATGCATTACTTCAAATTGAAAATTAACTGACCAAAAAATTCTATTCAAGTGTCCTTATTGTTTGCTTTCTTGTTTCCAGAGGAGATTGGAATTTTGCAAGGGAAACACTAAAGGAAGAAAGGTGATCAGTACAGGAAGGTAGCAAAATTTGCAGAATTAGATTCCTAGTCACTTAATTCCATTTCCAACACAAGAGATTTGTTTTAAATGGAAGCTGCAGTGCAGGTTTATTTTATGTCTCCAGAGTTACAGGGAGGCATGTACTATGGAATGCGGCATTCATAATGAAATGCTGAAGAAGCTTGTTCTGTTGCGTTTGAAGAACGGGAGTCATAAGGCTGTATACTCACCTACCTGCGAGTAAGCCTTATTAAGCTCAATGAGCTTTTAGTTCTGAATAGATATGCATAGGATTGTGCTGTCAGGGACCACCATTATCTTTAAAAAATATATTAAAGGGGGATAACAAAAGGTAGCGGTGATGCAGCGGCAGTTATGTAGTGCTTAAGAATGTCCAAAAAGCTTCACAGAGATTGCATCAATAATCCTTGTGACAAAGACAGAGAACGTGCTGTTCTCCAGATGTTGGACTCTTAGTTCCCATCAGTCCCAGCCAGCATAGCCAGCAGTGAAGGATGATGGGAATTGACCTCCCACAACATCTGGATGGCCCCAGGTGCCTCACCTCTGATTTCAACAAGCCTATACAGTAGGACAGTGTCAGTACTCCTCTGCAGGAGATGATGGTTAAGGCTGAAAGGTTGTGAGTTGCATAAGACCACTTACAATGACAGAGGTGAGAGTTAGGGTATGTTCACATTAGCAGCATAAAATGTACTGAGGTTGTTGTCCATCCGTCCGGGCTGCGTTTCAAGCCACATTTGGACAAAATGAAGCCTGAAGGAAAAAGTAAATAAAGAAGGAAGGTAGGGAGCAGCCAAAATCCATTTACGATTGGTAGTCACAAAGGATGAAGTTCTCAAGGCAGATGCTCAAAGGATACTGGGATCGTGAGACAGAACTTTGCATTCCTGACCTAGGTTGGAGGTAAGTATAGTTCAGCCATCCCCATCCCAGTACCCTTAGAAGCTCTCATCAATACCAGCCAGCAGAGTCAATAGTGAGTTGTAACTTATATATCTGGAGTGCACCAGGTTGGAGGAGGCGGGAGTGCTCTGGTCCATGGGGTCACAAAGAGATGGACAAAGCTAAGCGACTAAACAACAACAGATGCCTTACACAAGATTTGAAGATAAAACTTTACTTGTTCAGCTGTGCTAGCCTGACAAGTATTATTCTTATATGTATTAATGAGTGCAATACATTTCTCTCCCTTGAGCCCAAGAGAGGGTTTAGTCCTTTTGTTTTCAAAACTCCTTCATATCAGTGCATAAGTTGTTAATCCATAACTTGCCCATCCTCACAAGCACCTTTAGTCAGTGTCTGCTCAAAGTCACCACACTCCCACGTTCTTGGTCAAAGGATCAACTAACAGAATAACCAACCAGCTCCCAACTGCCAACTGCCACCTCCTTTCCCCAATACCATTTATTCGTTGTGAAATACATTTACAATGCAAACACAATACAGATACTAGCAACATACCCTTGCCTTCTGTGGGAGGGCTTTGGCAGTAGACCCCATGCTTTTGCATGCAGAAGGTCCCAGATCAATCCCCAGTGCCTTCAGGTAAGGTTGTCTGAAACCCTGGAAAACTGTTGTCAATCATGTACAATAGACAACGCTGAGCTAGATGGACCAATCGTCTGATTTGACATGTTTACATCTTTCTATTTTCTCATTTGGGGAGATGATCAGGTTTCAAGTATACTTGGAGTAATTCTGAATGCACTTGCATGCTTATGTTACCTCGATATATCTTTAGAGCTTCTACAAACGAATTTTGAATTCTGCACCTTAGCTGAGCATTGTTCGGATTTGCAAGAGGGGAGGTACAACTTGTGGATGGATGCACTCTGTGAGTCGTCAGTTATTCACATTTCTTTTGCCTTGGTAAAGTCTGCCTTAAGATGTCATCTTTCATCAGCCATCTGTTAATAAGATACTACTCATGGTGACTGTTAGTTGAGAAGCTATATTTCAAGGCTGACTGTCGCCTGGTAACTACTGCAAACCGTAGTACTGCGAAGCTGAAGAAATACTTAAAATTGTCGGAGAGAGTGTTAAAACACCAAGGATTAGCAACTGTACAAACAAGTCCTGTCTCTAGCTGAAGTCAATTAATGGTGAAATAGTTACAGAGTTTACGTCTTGTGCCAAAGGACTGAGATTTGGGCCCAGATGCATTGGCTTTAATCACTTGTTCGTTTAAGTGCACGGGGGCAGGGGGGCCGCTCTAGCAATTAAGTTTTGAGTTTTGGCAGAGCCTTCAGAACTTCCATTAGTTAGGCAAATTATGGGATAGATTGTACTTGGAACAGCTGTCCTTGTTAAAAAAAAACCCTCTCTTAAAAAGTAAACAATGGGTTGTGTTATAAAAAGAGAGAGAGAGAGAGAGAGAGAGAGAGAGAGAGAGAAGAAGCTTCATCTGTGTCCCACATCAACATGTTTATTAAGGAAACAAGTTAACCAAAAAAATGCAGGGTTCTCTTCCACTCCCCCCTCTCTGAAGACATCTAGAAGAACTAGCATGAAATTATTATTATTAAGAATCAAGGGCCGCAATCCAAAGAACTTCCTAACAATTCCTAAGCATTCCTAGAAGGACCTTGGAATGGTTGAGCTTTGTAAAGTGCTCTCTTCTGTGGGCCCAGCCACCCCAGAGGCATGTATGTCTTGTAAAGAAATATATAGAGGCTGAGGAAAAATGGATGGAAAGGATGAACAGTGGTCATTTACACAACACCAAGAAAGACCTGTGGATGGGCAACTTCTAGGCCTCTGCTCTCCCCACTTATTATGGGCCTTTAAACTGGACTTGGGCCACATTCATGCCATACATTAAAAGTGCAGTGATACCACTTTAAACACTTCCCCCCAAAGAATCCTGAGGCCTATACTTTGTTAAGGGAGCTGGGAGTTATAGGAGACTCCCCGTCACCCCACGCTACAATTCCCAAAGCAGTTTAGCAATAAAAACCTTCTTCCCAGAAAGCTCTGGGAATTGTAGCGGGGTGGGGGGAACTGGGAGTCTCTGAATAACTCTCAGGTCCCTTGACAAATGATAGTCCCCAGGATTCTTTGGTGGAGGGAGCCACGACCAGTAAGGGGGATCACGGCACTTTTAATATATGCTGCAAATGTGACTTCAAACATGGTCACCCTCATGGAGAAGATGTTTAACTCTTTCCCCTTTCTGCTGATCCAGCCCTATATATGCTCCCACCAGGCTCAGAAATGCTTTCTCTCCCCCCCCCCCCGTCAGACTTTGAAATCGGAAGTGAACCTGGCTGTGGGGAAAATATCCATGGGGAGAAGTGGTGTTTGCACATCTTGGCTGTACGTCCTGGAAGACCTGCTCCCTGCCTTGCATGCCTTTTCCCACTTGGCCTGGGAGGACCTATCTGACTCCAGTGGCAAAAGCTGAGGCTGCTGAATAGACTGTTGGGTTGGGATATTGTTTGGGAGGGAGGGTGTTGCTGTCATTCACACACACACCTCTTTTTAAAACAGGACGCTGTGGGTTAAACCACAGAGCCTAGGACTTGCTGATCAGAAGGTCGGCGGCTCGAATCCCCGCCACGGGGTGAGCTCCCATTGCTTGCTCCCTGCTCCTGCCAACCTAGTAGTTCGAAAGCACGTCAAAGTGCAAGTAGATAAATAGGTGGGAAGGTAAACGGCGTTTCCGCGTGCTGCTCTGGTTCGCCAGAAGCGGCTTAGTCATGCTGGCCACATGACCCGGAAACTGTATGCCGGCTCCCTCGGCCAGTAAAGCGAGATGAGCGCCGTAACCCCAGAGTCGGCCACGACTAGACCTAATGGTCAGGGGTCCCTTTACCTTATCTTTTTAAAACTTATTATGAATTATGTAGAAATGGTTGCAATTTGGTTGCATACTTTCTGATGTGTTTTATCTTTGTGGTTACTTTTGTTGTATTTGTGTTTTTTCATGCTGTTTTAACCATGGAAAGATAGCATACAAATAAATGGATGCATGTATGTACGAAAGAGGATTAAGCACCTGTCCTCATCCGGTGATCTTCCTCTCTAAGCACACTTTGGCCTTGCAGGCTCCACAATGATCTCAGTAGTATAAAATGTAGGGTTGGATTCAGGTGGTTTCTAAGATTAACTTGGTTTTCAGTCTTGAGCCGTGTAGACAGCTATTCCTTTGGGGCACTCTCTAGATGGTTTGCCTTTGATATTTGCAGTGTGTCTTGACAGAGCTTCTTGACCCCGTGAAAAATGCAAACTTGTGCATTGAAGCAGCAATTAGTATTTTGGTCACCGAAGCCAAATTATGGTGGTAGACCCAAGCTATGTAAAAAAGCTTTCAAGAAGACATTAACACATTTATAGTGTGTTGTGTTCTCAAGGTTCAAGAGCCTATGGCTATAAACCAACTATCCCAAAGTTTTATAATAGATGTGGGAGAGATTGAGAAGAAAGATGTGCATCGTAAAACTTTCTAATTGAACAACACGTACTCATTACCCTGATGTTTTGGGCCCTGTATGAGGAATTTCAGATAACAGGTAAAGTATGTTTACAAGCCCACAACTGGAGAGGAAACATAATTACAATTCAAAATTTAAAAACGATTTTACAGTGCGCTCCTATGCTGATCTTCTCGGAAATCTAAGTCCTATTCAGTTCATTGAGGTTCACTTCCAAGAAGGTCATCGGTCATTGGAGCTGTAGTCATTTGAAAGCTGTACATTCAGAGCACACAAACTCAAGTTTTGTTTTATGATGCATGAGTGTGTCTGTCTGTCTGTCTGTCTGTCTGTCTGTCTCTAGGAAAGCTGAATGTCACCATCTTCATTATTTAGGGATGTGATGTCCTGTTACTGCTGCAGATTTAGCAGTCATGGCAAAATTTGGAGGCGGGATTCAACTAAGTTGTTGTGCACGTGGAACAAAGTTTGCTTGTGCAATGGGTCTTTCCTCTGTTCTCTCTTTGTTTGTCCCCCATGCTCCCACATCTGTTCTGGATAGTTGTGGGGGTTGGAAAACCCAGAACTGATTTAGAGGTGGCGTGGTGAGGAGGAGGTTTGTCTAGAAGAGACAAAACCATGAGCCCAGGTTCAGGCAACATACTAAACCAAACCATGACTTAGCTCGCAACAGTGCAGCAGTGGGAAGAACGGAGGAGGGGCAAAGCAGCCACAACCTCTCCACTCGCCTGCATGGTTTGGATTAGTGTTGACATGTAAACTGAGCCATTAGGTTCCAAAGACCTAAAGGAATGAGCAAGTTTTGATCTGTCCCCTAAGTATGGGTAGCAAGAGAGACAGCCTAGTTCCAGAACAGGGGTGCCACTACGGAGAGGAAATTCTTTGGCAATCACTCATAGCCAAGTAAGATTGTCTTCCATAAACATGGTTTTAACAGTGAGTCCGTAAGTGACTGTGGAGGCCAATTCTGGATCCACACATCCTTCCACAGTATGGACATATGTTTCTGAGTGGGAGTTGATCATGGTGAGGGTTTGCCAAGCGTGCCTTCCTCTTAGCACTTTCCCCCTTTTCATCCTGAGTTTGAGCATCTTCAAAGCCTTTGGTGGAAATCACAAGCCCAGCTGCTGCTTGTCTAGTTGTTTAACAACCCCAGTGCTGGAAAGGGAGGCTATGTGTCAGGGTGTGTGTGTGAGAGAGAGAGGGGGGGTGATGGATCATTGGTGTGCATGATTGTGCATGTGATTATGTATGAGAGAATGAATGTATGATGAAAGAAAGGGAACTCACCACCATCCTGTGCCCTTAAGTCTGAGGAAACATAGGATTGCTTTCTTCCACATGTACCTACTATTTGTTGCTTAAGATCTACCTCAGATGCCCCACTCTGGCTTCCTCCAGTGTCTATTGTTTCATGCCAGCCCAATCTCTGAGCTGTGCGAGATTTCAGGGGTTCCGGGCATTTACCCAGGCTTCGTGTTTTCTTTGGAATGAGGCACAGCGAAGACCGTGGTGTCTTTATGATAAAAGGTTTATTTACACATATATGCACTGTTCACAGCATGAACGCTCCAAAAGGGTCTTGCTTCTCCCATAGCTTGTGGCACAGGATTCAAGCAGAAACCAGGCATCATTCTGTTTCTCTGGCTTCCCAGTCTGTGCTTCCAGCTTCTAGCTCACATTATTCAACTCTCATTTCTCATCTTTGTCTGTCTGTCTTTTTTATATATTAGTTTTTATTAGTTTTCCAAATTATTACAAATCCATCCAAATTACTTAAATTTAATACGGTTTCTTAAAAATCAAGTTTCCCGCTCCTGTTGCAAACATATGTCCATCTCATCCTCCTATTGCCACATCTTCTGTTCTTAAATTTCCATTTCATCCATTACTAGTTGTTGTCCAATCTAACAGCAAGCCATATATTCCTCCACACAAGCAGCACCTCTCTGTTATATAAATATAAAATCCATTTCATGTGTGTAAAGGTAAAGGGACCCCTGACCATTAGGTCCAGTCGTGGCTGACTCTGGGGTTGCAGCGCTCATCTCGCTTTATTGGCCGAGGGAGCCGGCGTACAGCTTCCGGGTCATGTGGCCAGCATGACTAAGCTGCTTCTGGCGAACCAGAACAGCGCACGGAAATGCCGTTTGCCTTCCCGCCGGAGCAGTACCTATTTATCTACTTGCAGTTTGATGTGCTTTCAAACTGCTAGGTTGGCAGGAGCAGGGACCGAGCAACGGGAGCTCACTCTGTCGCGGGGATTCGAACCACCAACCTTCTGATCGGCAAGTCCTAGGCTCTGTGGTTTAACCCACACCACCACCCACATCCCCTTCATAATTTCCACCTTTGTCTTTCTAACTACCAGCTAGTTGAGGGAGGGGGCGCACCCATTTGCCCTCTGGCACTGAACCATTTCCTTTGTTCCATTAAATGCCCATTGCCTAGGCTATCGCCTCACCGGGAAGCTAGCCTGGAATTTAAAGGGTCAACCTACAACCCTCCCTCCAGCACATAATAGTCTAGTGAGGTGTGGTTAGGGCCTTTGTGACAGTAACACCAAAGCTCTGAAACTCCCTCTCAGATGACGTCTGACCTGCTCCATTGTGGTCGACCTTCCTGTGACAAGCAACAGTTGTCTAGTTTTGAAGCAAAAAAAAATAAAAAAAAATGCTATCATTTGTAACGGCACCTCTCCTGCTTATTTTTGCTGTTCCTACTTATTGCATCTCGTTTTAATATCTTTAGCTGCCTTGTTGATTCAAAAAGCAAGATACAAATGTTCAAAATAAAATAAAATGAAATAAAGAAAGGCAGACGACTTCCCACTCCAGGGACCATCTTTAAAATTAGGTCTTTTAGAAGATGATGATGAACACACCCACACCCCACCTCAAGTGGACCCAACAAACATGAAGCAAGATACTGATATGTAAACACATACTGAAGGGCGTTTTGCTCTCAGGGCATAACGAGAAATAAAAGCCCGAAAATGCAAATTTCTTTAGTCTTATAAAGTTCCTGGGTGGTCCTGATCACGAACATTTGCTAAGTATTATGGAAGTCCCTTGGCAAAGGATTAGCACTTGTTGGCAGCACTGCAGTAAAAGATTAGTCCCAAGAAGCTGTTACATCCTCTTCTGTTAAATGTTCCTTCACTTAAAGAGAGTGGAGCCTCAAAGTGACATGAACCTAATGGTACTTATTAGGAGAAAGCTGTGTGCGTCTTAAAATCAAGTCTCACATCCCATGCCTTTCCAACAGGCAGCAGAAGGTAAAAAAGAAAGAGTTGTCTTTTCAGAATAGGCAGCTGCTTATCCTTTTCATTTTTTACGAATCCATTTTTTAAAGATGTGACGCTTATCAGCTTAGGAAGGAATCCGTGCCATTATGGAAGCTCAAACTCTAGCATCCCAGAGTAAAGTTAGAAAGCAATGACAATTTTTATACTGCCTTTCATCATACCAGATTTCAGGATAGAGCGAAGCAAAAATGACTGTGAATAACTTAGAGACTCAAAAGCATTATACCAATGCTGAGAATTTATAAAATAACCGGAACAGACACTTTTCAAAGGCATCTCCATGTAAAGTGAATTACTGTAGTCTAATCTAATAAGGCAGCCAGAACTTGGATATTGCTGATTTTTTAAGCCATGAGGAAAGCTGAAAACAGATTTGTAGGAAAACTGTGCATATATATATATATATATATATATATATATATATATATATATATGCATGCATTCAGAATGTATTTCAGATATATTGTTGATAACTTCCAAATGTTGTACATACAGAGCTAGCATAGGATGTGAGAGTTAGCCTTTGGGTATTTTGTTTGAACCATTTTGGCTGATTTATTGTCTGGCCAAATTCTCCAACAAAGCCTCAAAAGACAACAAATTCCCTTAACCCTGCTTCTGTGGTTTGCGGTAACTCACAAAAGTTTACTTTTGTGAAACTTATTAAGATTTCCATTTTGCAAACCTGTGTGTAAAACAAATATAATAGTCGTACTTTTTCCAAACTGATGATGTTCTTCCTAAATTGGGGTCTCATTTCTGTTTTCACATGCTATGAGTTTCCATGAGCAACTCATATTCATTACCATGACAGGGACTTGGGTGTGGGTATTAAAATAACTTTGCCCTTCAAGGAGCATTTAATGAAATCTATAAAATAGCAGGACCTGAGATTGTGTAGATATATAATTCTCTGGTATGGCTTTGTTTCTAGAGTCTTGCCATGAGTTTTTGGGTGTCAGTTTTTGAGTTCTCAAATAAGTGCATGTAGTACAAACAGCTAAATCTCCATATTGCTTACATTTGAGTGCTGTAATATGCTCTAAGCTTTACTGCATTTTAGCAGGTTGAACCTATTGCAGACACACTGATTATCCTCTGTAGGAATGGGGGATTAATCTAGCAATAGAGGAGAAATTCTATTTAGTGGACATTTAAAGACAAACCTATCTAATTTGCAATTTCCGAAACAATACACAGACTAAAACACTTTGAGATTTGCATTTGCCTGAATTTTGCAGTGCAGTTATCCAGCCAATTAATGCTCACGGATATGCAGTCATTCGCCCATCTCCCCTCTGCACTACCCAGGTATAAGATGACCCCCTCAATTTATACTTTATTTTGGAGTAAAAAACCCTTGTCTAATACAAGGGTAATTCATTGACAGAACTCTGCATCCAGAAGGTCTCATGTTCATTCTGCACCCTGACCATTTAAAATAACATGGAGGGATAGGATGTGAAAAAATTGGCCTGCCTCAAGTCTTGGAGATCCTCTGTTCACAGAAGAGACAATGCTTGAAAGGCCATTGGTTTGCTTCCGTATAAGACAGCTTCTTGTGTTCATATGATCTGGTCAATATATGTGTCAGCAGCCTTGAGGGATCTGGAGGAAGGGGAGCTCTTTCAACATTTGCAACAGTAAATACTGATAGTCAAAAACTGCCTTGTGTTTGGCATCCAAACATGGGTTTCAATCTTTGATGTTGACTTTGTTATCTATGCTTTATGCTTCTCCTTTTCAATCTGCAGGTTCAGTCCTCTGCTGCACCATACCCCTCCACCCTCCTTTGTTGACAAGAAGCAAGAGGGGTGTGATCACCCATTCACGTGGAAAATGTAAGTATTTTGATGCCTTCAACACAATGGACTGTGCATGGAATGTTAATGATCTTCTTCTTCTTTGGTGATCACTCGTTGCCAAGTAAGATTGTCTTCCATGAACACGGTTTTGATAGTGAGTCCATAAGTGACTGTGGAGGCCAATTCTGGATCCACACGTCCTCCCACAGTGAGGACATAGGTTTCCGGGCGGGAGTTGATCATGGTGAGGGTTTGCCAAGCGTACCTTCCTCTTAGCATGTTTCTCCCTTTCATCCTGAGTTCGAGCATCTTCAAAGCCCATGACACCTTTGGTAAAGGTTGTTCCCCAATTGGAGCGCTCACAGGCCAGTGTTTCCCAGTTGTCGGTGTTTATGCTACATTTTTAAAGATTTGCCTTGAGAGAATCTTTAAACCTCTTTTGTTGACCACCAGCATTACGCTTTCCATTTTTAAGTTCGGAATAGAGTAGTTGCTTTGGAAGATGATAATCAGGCATCCGCACAACATGACCAGTCCAACAAAGTTGATGTTGAAGAATCACTGATTTGACATTGGTGATCTTTGCTTCTTCCAGTACACTTGCATTCTGTCTTCCCAAGTGATGTGTAACATTTTTTGGAGACTCTATTGCTGGAATCTTTCGAGGAGCTGGAGATTGCGTTGATAAGTGGTCCATGTTTCACAAGCATACAGTAAGGTTGATAGTACAATAGCTTTGTAAACAAGCATTTGGGTTTCCCTGCGAATGTCCTGGTCCTCAAACACTCTGCGCTTCAATCAGAAGAAAGCTGCACTCGCAGAACTCAGGGGATGTTGGATTTCGCCATCAATGCTGGCCCTTGTGGAAAGATAACTGCCCAGGTAGGAGAGGTGATTGACACACACTGGGCTGTGAATGGAATGTTAAGGATAACAGCCCCTCTGCAGAAACCAGGCAGTGAAGTATTCACTTAGAGCAGAAATGTATGGGCAATGAAACCATAATACATGCAGGCCAAGCAATCCCAAAGATGGATGTGAGCCTGCCAAGGTCCTCCTAGTCCTTTTGCCCTGCCTGCCCAGTTCAATTCATCTTCCCGTTCAGGGCATGCTGGAATAAGCCCTGTAATTACCAGCTAAGCTGCGCTTGCTGCTGACAAGTGGTGATAGCAGTAAGGAACAGCAGCATGCTCTTATTACAGGCCTGGAATAAGTTTAGACGAGCATGGTCTGCCCCATTGCTGCTCAAATGCTTCTGGGAAGTGGCAGCAGCAGCTTCTTGGAAGGAGAGATAGTGGGACTTATGCATTAGACCAGAAAAGGCTTGAGGGGCGTCGTCGGCATCTTGTTACTACATGATAAAGCAAAATCCCAAACTCCACTCATTATTCTCGCATCCCAAGCAGCAAATGGTTAAAGAATGCTATAACAGACAATTTAAAATCCGAGACATTCCTGAATCCTTTGTGCATCAGACGTCCCCTCCGCCCCCAACCCCAAGATGAGGCAGTAGGGTTAACCACTAAAATGAGCTATTTTATTTGACGTGAACAAACAAGGTTTTGATGGGTTTGGTCAAAGTGGTTAACAAATACCGATGGGCTTGCCGCTTCATGATATTTTCTCAGGGTTAATGTATGTTGAGCCATGCCTGGAATTTTATATTACTTTCTAATGGGCGCTCTCCTGTGTGTTTTCAGAGCTTGGGGGGGGGGTCGGAGGTGTGTTTGAGATGGGGTGTTTGGGGATAGTGTGTGTGACACACAAATCTTGCGCATAAAGCGGTTACACAGACTTCAGCGTTCACAAACCATTTGAAAACCTTCCCACTGAGAGACGCCAGCAGTAAGCCATATGCGCTATTCAGATCTGAAAACACAATGAAAATGCTTTTGTGGTTCACAACTGGTTGCAAAGAGTAAATGAGGCATGCCAAAGAATTTCTTCTTTTGTAGAAACATACATGAGTGTGTTATTTTGGTGTTTTGACTTGAAAGCGTTTTCCCTCATTTTCCCTCCACTTTCTTTCTAAGCAAAAAGCAGCTGCATATTTTCATAGATCACAATTATCAGATGATGGCAATTTATAGCCTACGTTGTGGAGGGTTCCGGTGAACCACATCCCTACCAAACGTTCTGCCTAGTCAGCATAGTTTCCCCAGAAACAGGCGTTTTGCTCTGGCATAAGTATGTTTCTATAGAGGCCTTCAGAAACAAATCCAGCAAAACTCTTTCCTTAGTGAACGGCAAAGGTACCCTTGAGACTGAAGAGCTAATAATCTGTTCAATTATGTGGTCCTTTGGGCACCAATAACCCCCAAAATGGTTCTGGAAGTTGTTATAAGTTTCCTTTAAAAAAAGAGCTACATTCTTGTGCCTGAGTTGGCCCAAAACATTTTTCTTCTTCAAGTGGAACAGCAGGTGGTGGCCCCCAACCCCACAGGTCAAGATACAGAGTACCCAAAACTAGGGATGGGCTGCCCATACTGCTTTTTCTGTTTCCCATTTTCCCAATCTTAAGTTTAGTTCTCCGTGTTTCTACATCAGTATGCAATTTATTTTTCAAGTCCTCGAGAAATGTGATCAAGATTTCAATGCAAATTTCACCTAACGTACACGTTTGCATGCAACTTTGGCTAACGTATACATTTTTACGGCACTGCTTTCCCTCATGCAAAACATTTTTTTTGTAAGCTATATTTACTAATATATGCATTTACATGCACACTTTATATATTGGTATGTACATTTCTGGGCATGTTTCTCAGCTGGAGAACTGCTTCACGAAACTTTGGAGAAGTACAAAGTTTGAAGGATGGCTGTGTTTCAGTTTGTGTATTGGTTTCGAAAGTGTGGGTTAAGTAAGTTCTGCTTTATGTGCAAACTGAGTTTAATTTATGTCCCATCCCTATCCAGGGCCAGCCAAGCCGTTTTTGGCACTTGAAGCAGAAACTCCCACAAGCACTTCTCTTTCCTGCCGAAGAGTAAAATGTGACAATAATAAATTAAATAATTACTGGCTTCTCCCGACACTCCAAATCTGCCACCTGAGGCACCTGCCTCACCGACAGTAGGGTCGGCCTCGCTTTTGTCCCTGAGGAAGTTTACTGTCAAAATGCGTAGGACATCTCGGTTTTTATAAGGACGTTTGGTCAATTTAGAAACGTTCTGCAGTTCTGTTTCGAGGCCTTGCCTCAACTTTTGTGCCCTTGTGTTAGGTGTGCCCCATTAGGTTCTTCTTAGAGAACATCAATATTTGGTAGGGTTGTGGGACCGAAATAGGTTCGCCCAGCCAAGCATGGAGCAGGATGGCAGTACTCACCCAGACTTCCACTGGAGCTCTTATTTGCCAAGAAACATTCAGCCTCTGCTTTTATCAGCTCCCACAAATTCAAGGAAGGCATCAGATCAGAGGTTCCCAAATTGTGCTCCGCAAGCTTCATCCAGGTGCTCTGTGGCATTCCTGTGGGTTTTAAGTGGTCCCAAGAACCTCATCAATTTTCAAGCAGTCCTTGGGGGAAAGTTTGGGAGCCATTGCCTTAGAAAAATACCACAAGCAGGTTCGAACGCAATGCACTCCTAGGAAATTGTTTGTTAGGGGAGCGTTCACATAATGAGCTGATGGTTTCCATTATTTCCTATGGGAACATTTTTAATCCGTGATCTCTCCCTCTCTCCTGCCACAGTTCCTTAAATGGCTGCAGCCACAGGAAAGACTGATTTGTCCAATCTCCCTGGCTCCCTGATTGGTCTGATCTCTACCCCACTCCTTTTCTCCATGGTTCCTGCCCCAAATGGCTGCCATTGACCAGCAAAGCTCAAACAAGTAAGGAAGTGGGGAAACTTTGCCACTCGGATATCTGAAACAGCTGCACATGTAGTGAGATTTGGGCATATTTCTTACATTCAGATAAGCGGATTTTTTCCATAACGAGTGGGCGGATAGTAGGACCTGCATGTTTATGTAATATATCTCCTTTTGGCAAATGCAGCTTATCTTGAGGCACATTCTGTGGCCTCCAGTGCTACAGTTCAACAGAGGCAACCTTTGGCACAAACAGTGGACTGTTGCTTTTGATGTGATGAGTCCCAAACACCTCAGTTCTGGTCCCCCACCCCTCAAAACCATGCTGTATGCAGTTGTGATAGAACTTAAAGTTGTGGGGAGAGAGAGACTTTGCCCATGGCTAAGGAATGAATTTGTGCCTTGCTAAATGCAGCTTGGACTTTTTATCTGTTTTAGGTTTAGGGATGCAAGCAGCACAAGCCACAGGTTTCTGATTCTGATGGGAACTTTGTGTGGGAGCTGCTTGGAAGTACCTGTGTGTTTATCCAAAATAATAGCAAGTGACAAGTACACAATATACCTTCTTTGTTTCTGCTGCTTCATCCATGATCTCAACTTGCATTATAAATCACCTTTTATCTCCTAAGTTTGAAGATGCTGGACATCACTGAATATACAAATAAGTGCCCACAGAGTGGCAGTTTTGGAGAGTTGCAGAGGAGAGTCAAAGAACTGAGTCCAGACTCTAAAGAAAGCTGGGAGCATCTTGGGGTGATTATGGTTCCTTCTGGTGACCTGTTGTGGGTAGAAATGTGAAGGCACAGGGGAAAGCCCCAAGAAAAAAATTGGTAAAATCCCATTTCCCCCCAACCTAATTTTTCCAGTTGGAAAAAAAAAATGTTCTGCCTTTTTTTCTGGGCCTTCACATCTCTGAGTGGGGTGGAGTGAACTTTGGGTATCTGTCAAAGTGCTTCACCTGCATATTTACAAAAACACCTTGGAGGTCCCGGGCCACAGAGTGGTTAGGCTGGCCTCAACCAGAGCCAGGGCTTTTTCGGCTGTGGCTCCAATCTGGTGGAACGCACTGTCACAAGAGACTAGGGCCCTGCAGGACTTGACATCTTTCCGCAGGGCCTGCAAGACAGAGCTGTTCCACCAGGCCTTTGGCCAAGGCACAGCCTGACCCCCTCCTTTGGTAATCCTCACAGAACTCTAGCCCAATGGTCACCATTAATCTGAGTTGAACTGATTTTATAATGAAATGATTTTAGAATGTTGTATCATTTTACAGTGGTACCTCAGATTAAGTACTTAATTCATTCCGGAGGTCCGTTCTTAACCTGAAACTGTTCTTAACCTGAAGCACCACTTTAGCTAATGGGGCCTCCTGCTGCCGCTGCGCTGCCGGAGCATGATTTCTGTTCTCATCCTGAAGCAAAGTTCTTAACCTGAGGTAATATTTCTAGGTTAGTGGAGTATGTAACCTGAAGCATATGTAACCTGAAGTGTATGTAACCTGAGGTACCACTGTACTGTTGTTAGCCGCTCTGAGCCCGGCTTTGGCTGGGGAGGGTGGGATATAAATAAAATATTATTATTATTATTATTATTATTATTATTATTATTATTAAGACACAAATTCCAGTAAGCGTCCAGCAGAGTCCATACCTTGGAAATCACAATACCCCCTAAACATCTCACCACTTGGAGAACTGGGGCTTGAGTACCAGTAGATATATATACATATATATATCTCTGGTGAGGAGTGCTTTCTGATGACAGGGTAGTTTCTCCTCAAATTCTCTAAATATTTCTCATCTTTGTGACCATTAGTTTTGAAAGATACCCCCCTCATCCCTGAAAGGAAAAGCGAGACGTGGTTATTTCAATGCTGACATCTTGGCAACAATTATGGGGAAAGTTGTTTAAGTTGTTTCAGGGTCAAGCAAACATGACAAGTCAGACGATGCCTCCAGATGCCAAAGAAGTTAATAGTCTGTGTAATGCTAACTTCTCTAAATTCCTAGAATTGCTGTGGTCTCAAATATTTTTGGTATTTTTTTACTTTTGTAGATTCAGTAAAATGCTCTGCTAGTGCATATCTCAGCAAAAAGGTAACTCCCTGACACTGCATATACTTGAAGAAGTAAAATATCCCATATAAAATAGATTGGAGCTGCGCTGGCATTAAATATGATCTTGGATTCTATCCTTCAGTGTATTTATTTCTCGTGCACCAAACTTATCAGATTCAAGGTCTGATACCAAGAAAAATTCGGGCAAAGAGGGTGGCAGTGGTATGAGGAGAGGAGAGGACAGGACTTTTTGGAAACTCTATTCTTTGAGGGTTGAGTGAAGCCAATACCTTCATGGGCCAATAGTCTGACTCAGTAGAAGTCAACTTCCTATGTTCCTAGAATTCCTCTCCATGATATCCGAATGGTATAGTGCAGTGGTTCTCAACCTGTGGGTCCCCAGCTGTTGTTGGACTACAACTCCCATCATTCCTAGTCAGCATGACCAGTGGTCAAGGATGATGGGAGTTGTAGTCCAACAACATCTGGGGACCCACAGGTTGAGAACCACTGGTATAGTGGTTAGTGTTGGACTACAAGGGAGGCCTGTATTCTGATTCCCCTTTCGGTTCACCTTAGGCTATCTTGGACCATGTCTCAGCCTACTCCATCTCAAAGAGTTGTGAGGTTGAAAGGGAGAGCATGTATACACCTCGAACCCCTTGGAGGAAAGGTGGGATGTGAATGAAATAAAACGTTTTAGAAGGGTTGTAAGGCATAGTGAATGTCTATATGGAAGAGAGGTCCGTTTTGTGAATCCCCATCTGAAGTTGTGCAAAAAGTGGGTGAATTATGGGGGGGGGGGGGGAGGTAGCAAGCCTGAATGAAATCTACAAGCCCCGCCTCCTCCCAAGGGTCATGGTTGAGTGACAGAACATCCACTTTGCACGCAGAAGGTCCGTAGTTCAGTTCCCAGCATCCCTAGCTAGGGTTGGAAGAGCTCCTCTCTGAAACCCTGGAAAGTCATTGGCAGTCATTACTCAGTCATACTGAGCTAGACGGACCTGTAGTCTGGTTCAGTCTACAGCCGCTTTTTATGTTCCTAATTGTAGTCTTTAAACACAGTAGGAAGAGGACAAACGCAACAAGCAAGTAGCCTAGACTTTTAGAGGTCTCTGCATCTCAGAAACAATTGGTGATGTGATCAACCTGTGACTCCACTGTACCCATGGGACGTGGGTGGCACTGTGGGTTAAACCACAGAGCCTAGGACTTGCCGATCAGAAGGTCAGCGGTTCGAATCCCCATGACAGGGTGAGCTCCCGTAGCTCAGTCCCTGCTCCTGCCAACCTAGCAGTTCAAAAGCACGTCAAAGTGCAAGTAGATAAATAGGTACGGCTCTGGCGGGAAGGTAAACGGTGTTTCCATGTGCTGCTCTGGTTCGCCAGAAGCGGCTTAGTCATGCTGGCCACATGACCTGGAAGCTGTACGCCGACTCCCTTGGGCAATAAAGCGAGATGAGCACCACAACCCCAGAGTCGGTCACAACTGGACCTAATGGTCAGGGGTCCCTTTACCTTTTACAGTGGAGACACAGGTTGATCACATCATCAACTGTTTCTGAGATGCAGAGACCTTTAGATAGTGTTTTTATATATGATACCTTCAGAGGAGAGGCTGATGGGCTTGTCAAGCTGAGAAGCTTGCCCATCTAGAAGAAAGAAAACTCTGATTCTAAACCTCCACCAGCTTATGGCTACAGTGATACCTCGGTTTATGAACTTAATCTGTTCCGGAAGTCCGTTCTTAAACCAAAACAGTTCTTAAACCGAGGCACGCTTTCCCTAATGAGGCCTCTCGCCACCAGTGCCCTGCCACCGTTTGGATTCTGTTCTTAGACTGAGGTAAAGTTCGCAAACCGCGACACTATTTCCAGTTTTGCGGAGTTTGTAAACTGAATCGTTCTTAAACAGGACTGTTCTTAAACCAAGGTACCACTGTGTACTCATTTCAGAGAACGGCTTTGGGAGTAAACCCTGAGGAAAAATCCATAGCCGCTGCCTTGTGGGACATTTTCAGGAAAAGAAAAGGCCAAGGAGTAAATGCAAATCTGGAGTCCCTAAGACAGTTGGATGGTGTTTTGTGCACATCCTTTCTGCAACTCCTGCAGCCAAGCTGGTGCCAAGTGTATTGGTCTACTTTCCTTTGAACCACATTAGCAAGGCCAAGAGGCAGCGGGGTGTGTGGATCTTGTCATCTGGGCAACCCAGGACCTCCATGCACACTGCCCAGGCTTGCGCCCCAGAGACATCACTTTGGTGCTGCTAATGCGGCAAAAACAGTGCGGGAGGCAGCAGTTATGACTTACCGTTCTCTACAGCCACAGCAGGCGCTGTGATTCTCCAGCAGTTTGACTTCACCCCTGGAGGTGCACTCCGTTGTCTCTCAAGATGGACAGATGCCAACAACAACTTACAGAGGCATGTGGGTGAATGCATTACGAAAAGTTATTATCAGAAGTCCAGACTTCTGTGGCAATGCTTAGTACATTTTACCTCTGTAGGAACTCTTTGCATCACAATAATGGTGTCATTTGGAAATGTTATATCGAGATACCACGTGCCAAGATGGGCAACTCTCATTCCTAGCTCCTCCATTATGCCCAAATGATACCCTCTGGTTTAATACGTGACATTTAAACTCCGTGGCAAGGAAGGGACGTGGGTGGCACTGTGGGTTAAACCACAGAGCCTAGGACTTGCCGATCAGAAGGTCGGCGGTTCGAATCCCCGCGATGGGGTGAGCTCCTGTTGTTCGGTCCCTGCTCCTGCCAACCTAGCAGTTCGAAAGCACGTCAAAGTGCAAGTAGATAAATAGGTACCGCTCCGGCGGGAAGGTAAACAGCGTTTCCGTGCGCTGCTCTGGTTCGCCAGAAGCGGCTGTCATGCTGGCCACATGACCCGGAAGCTGCATGCCAGCTCCCTTGGCCAATAAAGCGAGATGAGCACCGCAACCCCAGAGTCGGTCACGACTGGACCTAATGGTCAGGGGTCCCTTTACCTAAGATGACAAGGACTCAGGGCATCAGTCTGCTTTGAAGCAAGGTGTCGGCCAAACTGCACCTGAAGCAAAAATCAGGTTGATCCTCCTCCCACCCACACTTTGCCAAGAACAGAGGCTGAATCTTCTTTGCAAGTCTCAGAGCGTCAACTTGAGTGGACCCTTAAACAAACAAATTCTGATTAGGGGCTGAATGAAGGGCTCGTCTGACAGTTATGTGGTCGGTACACTCACTGGTCCCAACCAGAATGAATCACAAGTTCAGAAAAACAACATGTGGGAGGATTTTTATGTATGTATATTTGGTGTTTGTTCAGACTTGTGTGTACTCTGCTCTCTAAATGGGCTACTCTGTGCTGGTAGCCAGCTACTGACTACTTTAAATACTGCCATGCCCGTTCACAGATTGTAGATAAAAGATAATGGCAGTACCTTTGGAGTGCTGCAAAATACCTTCCCAGTTGCTCAACCAAACTGTGGGGCTGTGAAAACTTCTTGATAAATTTCCTTTCTGTTATCTCCCCCTCAAAGATTTGTGCATGCTAAAGTTAGGTAGCTTAGCTTACAAGTGGGACTTACTTCTAGGTAAGTGGTAAGTGTGCTTAGCATTGCCAGGGCCTCCATTCTCCAGGGCCCAGCCTTACTGCAGATTCGTTTTCTTCTTGAGAAACTGCATGATGCATAGTTCAGTTCAAATTGGACGCTATAAACAATGCCTACCAAAAACGATTCTGGAGACGAGCCATGTGATCTGTAGCCTTTGGCTGCTGTTTGGTTCATTGTAATCTGGAACTAGTTAGCAGTGACCAAAAAGCCGAATAACCATCTGATGGGTTTCCGGTTGATTCTCTTCAGTTTCTCCTCAAACATATGTCTCCCATAGAACCCGTAATTAAAACAGGACCTCTCAGAAGTAGCTATGCATTTGTGGTTTTAACTCTTTGTATTACAGATGCCTCTGCCTTTTGAGGACAGTGCAGATGATAGATGGGTTTAGGCAGCTTCTGTTGTGTGTCCTAATTTGTCACTAGATTGATGCCTTGTTTAGTGTCTTGGGGCAAGAAACCAACTGGCAAGGTCATGTCTTGGGCTAATTCACAGACAATTTGGCTGTGAAAACCTATCAAGGCTATGGATTAGGCATCTCATAGGAAGAAAATTATCTTGTGGTCCAGGTCGTATTGGTTTTGCAAATGAAAAGGATGGTCCGGTTGTTACAGCTGTAATGCAGCAGCTGAAAAGCACTGGAATCAACAAACGATGAAATTAATTATCGAGAGAGGATACAAAATTGGAATCAGGTTGTGTAACGTACAAGGACCTAATATAGAGGATTGTTAAAAGTAAAATTTAAAAATCAATTGTATTACAAAAGCTGTATTAGAAGAGCTGTGATCCTAACCCTAATTACCCAGGTGGGAGTAAGTCCCACTGAATTCAATGGGACTTTCTTCTGAGTGTACATGATTAGGTTTGTGCTGTAAATAGGGGTGAGCAGATCTGTCTATTCCCACCCCTCTCGTTTTCTCATTTTTCCAGTTTTCACTTCATTTCTTCACATTTCCACATCTCTCTCTCTCTCTCTCTCTCTCTCTCTCTCTCTCTGTGTGTGTGTCTGTGTGTGCGTAAATTCTCATGAAAATTAATTAGCCTTTGAGTGCAAATTTCTCCTAATCGCTTCTATGCAATTTTGCACTATAGACACAATATCCCCTAATACCATGCATTTTGCACTTTATTTTCACCTGATGTATCCATTCTATGCATACTTTACCCTGATATATACATATTTGTATGTATTACTTTGCTGAAGAACTTCATTACAAAATTCAAAGAAGCGTGAATTTTGAAGAATTTCTTCGGTCGCTCAGTGTTTCAAGAGCTTGAAGGATTATGGAAGGATGGACGTAGCTTAGTGACAGAGCAACTGCTTTGCATGCAGAAGGTCCCAGGTTCAATCCCCAGTGTCTCCAGGTAAGGTAAAAGGTAAAGGACCCCTGGACCATTAAGTCCAGTCAAAGGTGACTATGGGGTTGCGGCGCTCATCTCGCTTTTCAGGTTGAGGGAGCGGTGTTTGTCCACAGACAGTTTTCTGGGTCATGTGGCCAGCATGACTAAACTGCTTCTGGTGCAATGGGACACCGTGATGGAAACCAGAGTGCAAGGAAATGGCGTTTACCTTCCCGCCCCAGCGATACCTATTTATCTACTTGCACTGGTGTGCTTTCGAACTGCTAGGTTGGCAGGAGCTGGGACAGAGCAACGGGAGCTCACTCTGTCATGGGGATTCGAACCGCCGACCTTCTGATCGGAAAGCCCAAGAGGCTCAGTGGTTTAGACCACAGCACCACTTGCATTTCCCCCCAGTAGGGCTGGGAGAGACCCCTGCCTGAAAACCTAGCAAGCTTCTGCCAATCAGTGTACACAAGATTGAGCTCAATAAACCAGTGTTCTGAAACAGTATAAAGCAGTTCCCTGTGTTGAATTTGCAGAGAGTCTGCTGACATCCTCAATTTTGACTTTTAGGCATCTCTTGAAGACTTAAAAAAAAGGCCTATGCAGTTGTTGATTTTTTTTTATATAAATAAGTTTAATAGAAATACATACATAAACAGAAATTAAACCTATACAAATAATTTTCTCAGTAATGTATCAGTTACATTCATATTAAATTAAAAGAAGGAAAAACGATGTCTATTTTAATACTAAGTCCCACTCCACCAAAGGTGCCCTTCCCATATTTCTTCTATTGGTATAGTAAATAAGGTAATACCAGGTTCTAACATAAGTAGCTCATTTACCTTGGCCTCTTAGTGTTTTCATATTGTTTGTATTTTCCCCCGGAAGTGCTGCTTGCTAGACCTTTTGATACGAATATTCCAATGTAGCAACAATGAAGTTCTTTCAATGCCCGGCCCTTATGTGACTCTCTTTTCTGCTGATTTTTACTTATAATCTTTCAGCTGAATATAGAACCACAGGAATCTATGTTGCTAAGTTTTATCTGGTTCATTGTTTAAATTTCACTCTTTTGTAAGGTTTTTTAAAAAAATTTATAAATAAAACATATAGCTAAAGCACATTGGGCCACTAGGATCTTGTAAATACACGCCTTTTTGTTTTTAATTTAAGTGTGTGTGTGTCTAGTTTGCATGCTTGCAGTGATGTGAAAAAATTACCATTTTAATAACAATGGGACAACCAGAAACCAACAATGTTTGAAAATGTCTCAAGCTTTTAACAATTATTTTTGGGAGATGGAACAAAAAAATTCCTTAAATCCTTACAAGGTGAGGTTGCTTTCTCTTTCTAGTACCCAATATCATCACAGAACGCTTACAAAATGTCAACAACTTGTGATTTGTCTGACAACTTTATGTTTCAAATTAAATTGACATATAATCAAATAGGGCAAGCATATCAAGCTTGCTACTAAATTGTCTAAGTTGGTCAACCATTGGCCCACTGCCCACTCTTCATAAGGAATGTGCCTGGAAGATCCTGTGTGTGTGTGTTGTGGTTGTGGTTTTATTTACAAGCCAGTCTGAGCAGGTTGTATGGCAGTTTGTGGCTTGGAAATTTCCAGAGTGACTATCAAAGTGTGTAACCTCTTCCAGGTGGTAGCAGATGGGTGTGAGAGGGTTTATGTTGATGTGGAAATGAAGTGAAGTCACTGTGGTTTATCTAGGGTGAATGGAATGGAAATTCATGTTCATTCTTCCTTCCACCAGCCAATGATTGATATTCCTGTCAAGCAAATTGTAATGATTGTATTAGTGATAGCTGGCAGAACCATCTTTTCCAATGGGTCGGATCCTACTCCCAGAAAAAAAACAAGGTTGAAAGTGGTAAATGATGAGGTGTTCTGGTATGCTTTGCGACATAAGCCCAAACCAATCTGGTTGCCAATACAAGAACTGGCTAAACATTGTTGCTTATAATGGGGGGATTCTTGGGTCATCAGAGTTGGGGGGGGGGGTTGCTTTAAATTTCATCTGATCTCTTTGACCCAAACACATCTACCTTGCAAACCACTTTGAGGGGTTTTTTCTACAACCATTAGGCATATAAATGCTGTGAAATAAAATAGAAAAATAAATAAATAAATACAAGTCATGTTGAGCCACTGAAATTTTCAAGAGCAATTGTAATTTATGCCAGCTAAGAAAATAAGGCATCCGTGGTGTGTCTATATAGAGCAGGGGTCAGCAAACTTTTTCAGCAGGGGGCCGGTCCACTGTCCCTCAGAACTTGGGGGGGGGGGGGCGGACTATATTTTTTGGGGGGAAATGAACGAATTCCTATGCCCCACAAATAACCCAGAGATGCATTTTAAATAAAAGCACACATTCTACTCATGTAAAAACACACTGATTCCCAGACTGTCTGTGGGCTCAATTTAGAAGGTGATTGGGCTGGATCCGGCCCCTGGGCCTTAGTTTGCCTACCCATGATATAGAGAGAAGAGCAATGCCGCTGTGAAAAGGGAGATTGAGAACTAGCAATGTTAAGTTAGTAGGTGACCCAAGAACACTTTTTGGCATTACTTGGTAAACTAAAAAGGTGATAATAAATAAATGTGATAATTACGGTAGACGTTCATGAGAGTGACACATCTTTTGCTCTGTACCAGCTATTCTGGACTGCCTATTTACAATACGCCACCAAATTTGGCGCTGATTGTACAGTCCAATGAAGTTAGTGTTTCTGTTTTGTGATAGCACCACCAGGACCTTAGTAGTTCTACACCTTCCCAAGCCAAACTACTGAGCTTGATGACTGATTACTTGGAAAGCATGTGACAAATGAATTAATGCTTCTGTAGATTATGGCACTATTTTAACTGAGGTCTAAAGCCAAAACTACAAAACATGACTCAACATTCTGCCCACCCCCCTGCTTATATTTAAATTCTTCTTCTTCTTGTTGTTGTTTAGTCATGACCCCATGGACCAGAGCACGCCAGGCACTCCTGTCTTCCACTGCCTCCCGCAGTTTGGTCAAACTCATGCTGGTAGCTTCGAGAACACTATCCAACCATCTCGTCCTCTGTCGTCCCCTTCTCCTTGTGCCCTCCATCTCTCCCAACATCAGGGTCTTTTCCAGGGAGTCTTCTCTTCTCATGAGGTGGCCAAAGTATTGGAGCCTCAGCTTCACGATCTGTCCTTCCAGTGAGCACTCAGGGCTGATTTCCTTCAGAATGGATAGGTTTGATCTTCTTGCAGTCCATGGGACTCTCAAGAGTCTCCTTCAGCACATATTTAAATTAGCTTCTTCTTTTTCTGAGCTTTCTAGAAGAACGCACAGAAAATATTCAGATTCATTACTGAAAATTAGTCAAGGGAGTCTCAACAACCTACAGAGGATGGTTCCCCATCTCTCCTTTAGCTGTACTCATGATATAATTATATTTATATGTTTATAACGTGAGAGGCTTTCTGTTCTCAGATTTGTTAAAGCCCACCGCCACTGCTTAAGATTATCGTGCGAAGATGACTTTAAGTCTTGGCACTCTGAGGTGATGTAGCTTCTCTTGGTACAAGTTAACGTGCTTTGAGAGGTCACTTGTAAACACTTCCCTGCTACAGGCTGTTTCTTCAAGTCAGATTGTTATAGGTCAACTAATTTAAGATGTTTCTCTTTTTGGAAGATGTTTTTACGTGCAAAAAGAGAATGAACTCCTTGCATGGGAAAAGGTCAAACAAATGGAAAGAGTTTTGATATGGTACCATTGTTATAGTTGCCCCTTCGGTGCATCATAAACCTATGTAATCCTTACAAAATCTACATTAACAAGGTGACACATTACTTTGTTTCCAGATCACTTCTACCTCCCACAGATAGTATTGTTCTGTTTTCCATCATAGTAGAGAACCTGAAGGCTTTACAGAGTTGTTGAATCATTGCTTATTACACAAAGATTTTTTCCATGTGTTCGTTTGTTTTCTTGCTTAATGCTCATCATGTGCCTTGTTTAGTCATCTCTCCCACATGCCAAAGAATGGCCTCCTTCCTGTACCATAGACAGTAAGCAGGACTAATGCTGGTGCTCTTTGGGGTTCCCCACAAGTAGCAATAGCGACAGGAGACCCACAAGGCAGGGGGCTTCATTTATTAAGTCATAGTTGAAAGTGACATTCTCCCAGTAAGGTTTGGTAGGAGAAAATGGATTTCTTCTGTCCCATTTTATAATTCTTTCCATGGTTTGGCTGTGCGTCATGGTTTGTTCCATCTACTTTTTTTTTTTTTAACATGGAGATCTTCTAAAGTGAAGAGTGTGATTTTACATTTTTGTCACTAGGTGGATCTGAAATAGATGCATCTGGGTGGAGTCAGGAGTTTCTTGATAACCAAGTTGGTTAAGAAAGACAGTAACATTCTCTGCAAGTTCCTAACTTGGTGATTTTAGCATGTCACCTCTTGTTTCATCCATTAAACATGCCACTAAGGTAGTTAAAAATTATTTCAAAATTAAGGAAGTTAAGTTATGAATCTGCAATGCTTGTTAGAAATTGCTTTCAGATGGTCATGTAATTATTCTCTCTTAGATCAGGTGTGGTTATCATAAGGTGAAATTGATTAAATTAATGTATCTAAGAATGAAAGAGAGGAGACTATCTTTATTATTTCAGTGACAAAAAAGTCCCTTTTCATTTCTTCTACGGTTTAGGATTAATCCAAGGGTAGCCAATGTGATATTCTCCTATATGTTTTGGACTGCCACTTCCACAATCCCTTACTATTCCTAGGCTGGCTGGGGCTGTTGGGTTGTAGTCCACAAGTTTAGGAGGGCACCACATTGGCTTCCCCTGGTTTAGCTACACAGAACAGAATCCAAAGTTGTATTTTTTATATTGATGTATAATAGCAGTTTGTTGTTAGCATTTTAAGCTATATCAATTTTTATCTGTTCTTTATATTGTTGTCAATATGAGAGCTTTGATGCTCAGGGCCTGAATGGCTAATTCCCATTTGAACAAAGTAGGTGGGGCAAAGCTCTGTCATAGAATCATAGAACTGTAAAGTTGGAAGGTACCTCAAGGGTCATTGAGTCCAAGGACCCCTGCAATGCAAGAATCTCAGCTAAAGCATCCATGACAGATGGCCATCCAATCTCTGCCATCTGCAACCTCCCATGAAGGAGAGTGCACAACCTCCTGAGGGAGACCGTCCCACTGTTGAACAGCTTTTACTATCAGAAAGTTCATCCTGATGTTTAGTCAGAAACTCCTTTCTCACAACTTGAAGTCATTGGTTTGAGTCCTGCTCTCCAGAGCAGGAGGAAACAGGCTTGCTCCACCTTCCATGTGACAGCCCTTGAGATATTGGAAAGTGGCTATCATATCTCCTCTCAGTCTTCTCTTTTCCAAGCTAAACATACCCAGCTCCTTCGAGCGCTCCTCATAAGGCTTAGTTTCCAGACCCTTGATCATCTTGGTTGCCCTCCTCTGCATGTGTTCCAGCTTGTCAAAGTCCTTCTTAAATTGTGGTGCGGGCACAGTATTCCAGTTGTGGTCTGACCAAGGCAGAATATAGCTGTACTATTACTTCCCTTAATCGGGAGTCAACACTATACTTCTGTTGATGCAGCCTAGAATAGCGTTAGCTTGCTTTTTTTTGCTGCTGCTGCTGCATCACACTGCTGATTCATGTTAAGTTTGTCATACTCTAAGACTCCTAGATCCTTTTCACATGTACTACTGTCACCTTAGGACTCCTTTTGTTGTTGTTTAGTCGTTTAGTTGTGTCCGACTCTTCATCACCCCATGGACCAGAGCACGTCAGGCACTCCTGTCTTCCACTGCCTCCTGCAGTTTGGTCAAACTCATGTTAGTAGTTTTGAGAACACTATCCAACCATCTCGTCCTCTGTCATCCCCTTCTCCTTGTGCCCTCCATCTTTCCCAACATCAGGGTCTTTTCCAGGGAGTCTTCTCTTCTCATGAGGTGGCCAAAGTACTGGAGCCTCAGCTTCAGGATCTGTCCTTCCAGTGAGCACTCAGGGATGATTTCCTTCAGAATGGAGAGGTTTGATCTTCTTGCAGTCCATGGGACTCTCAGGAGTCTCCTCCAGCACCATAACTCCTAGAGTTCGATTTTAATTAAACTGGATTGCAGCAACAGCAGCACCATGGCCATCATTTGGGGAGTGAAAAGGAGAGAGGCAAGAGGACAAATCCAGATAGAAGTGGAGGTTAACATTTGATCCTGAGTGTGCAAGGACTGGAGGACACTAACTCTTTGCTGGAGCTATCTTTCCCTCTTCCTGATAGGCTGAACTAGAGGAAGGATGCTAACTATACTGTTCTTGAATATAGTTCACCTGGGGGGGTTTTAGGTAACAATGAAAAAAAATGCACGTGGACCATGTCATTCAGTAGGAGTTCCTGAATTGCAGAATTTAGGTGGTCTTGTACCCAGAGGCCGCTTTCGACATCCCCCATCCAGATGCCTGTAAGGAACTTCTATGGTGGCCCCAGCTGTTCTGTGACCACAAGAATCTCCAGACAATTCAGGTCATTGAATGTGGACTATATAAAAAAGGTGGAGCTAAAGAGAAGAGGAACTGAAACAAGATGCCATTCACCTCTGCTTCACTTTGTATCTGACACATCCGTGCTTAAAACTGGTAGTTTTACTGGAGTGATTGTGTGGCTTTCAGAACGTTCACAGTTGGTTAACGAAGTTCCTTGAAATATTTGGGCAGGATGCATTTAATTGTACATAACATATGGCTTTTCTTTTTGCAGCGCTGTAGAGACATTAAAAAAAAAAAAGCTGCTCCTTCTCTTTTCGCCTCTACTGTGCAGCTGTGAAAACCACATGCTTGCTTTCCAGGTTGGGCGGTAGCAACATAATCACTGTGCCTAATGTATTAGAATTAGTAGTCTGGGGAGGAAAGCACCATTCCATTGGTAGATAAAGCAGTGTAAGAGAAACTTATCAGTGATCATATAAGGATGTGGATTTCATTATACCTCACAGATATGAGATAGGAGTTTTGCGACTTGCTAAATGTCCGTATTTGGATTAAATACGGAAGCTTGTTGAATACTAAACATAACCTGCAACCAAAGCCAACAAACATGACATCTGACATTTTTTGGTCACATTAGAAAGGCAAGCCTACAGCTTTTGGGAAATTTTAATTAAGTGGTATATCAATGTCCTACTGGTCCAGCAGGTCGATAGAAGTTTGAGAACCACTATGCTAGATAGTAAAAGGTAAAGGGACCCCTGACTGTTAAGTCCAGTCACGAACAACTCTGGGGTTGCGGCACTCATCTTGCTTTAGTGGCCAAGGGAGCCGGCGTACAGCTTCTGGGTCATGTGGCCAGCATGTGGTGAACCAGAGCAGTGTACGGAAATGCCTTATACCTTCACGCTGGAGTGGTACCTATTTATCTACTTGCACTTTGACGTGCTTTTGAACTGCTAGGTTGGCAGAGGCAGAGACCGAGCAACGGGAGCTCACCCTGTCGCGGGGATTCGAACCGCCAACCTTCCGATCGGCAAGCCCTAGGCTCTGTGGTTTAGACCACAGCGCCACCCATGTCCCATGCTAGATAGTAAGACTCATCAAATATAGTGGAACTTACCTTTCGAATGACTTGCACAGAATTGTACTGTTGGGCTGCCAACTTATATACACAGTTATCTGAGATTAAATTCTATTGAACTCATTGGACTTACTTTTAAGTACACCTATGTGTGATTGCACAGTTAATGAACATTGGGATAGGAGGATTTCCCCATAATAAACTATCAATGTATATCCCTTATTCAAATGATGCAATAACGCATATGGACTTCCTGAGTAAGGAATTTTTGTGTAGATCTTTTATAAAGTTACCACTTTATAAAATATTTTCAATTGATTTTGACTTTTACCATCTTATTAGTACACATTTTGCACATATGGTAGAATCCTAGTCAGTGACACGAAATGGAAAGAATTATGTTTTGAATCACTTGGAAGGAAGGAAGCCATGATGTCATTCTCTGTTCAGTGTGGTTCCTTTTTTAACAAACTGAAACAATTCGGTACATGCGTTTTGTATTTTGTGTACAAATGTAATTATGGAAGTCCATTGTCCACGAGAAGTGTCCATTTCCTGTTCCTGTTTTCTCACTGGATGCAATTTGCAAATTTAGCTGTTATGGCTTTGCTCCATAGCTTTCATGGCATCTCGCACTGAAAAAAAGTTCTGTAACCCTTCATATACAGACAGCCACAACAGGCGAATTCTTTTACATATTGCCTTTAGCTTATGGGAAACGGTGGCAAAGAAACCAGTGTTTGATGTGTCCACCCATATATTTGTTTTAGCTGATGACATGATTGTAATATTCATAGTGGCTTTCTGCTAGATCATCTCTGCCCGCAGAAGGATTCCTGGATGTGATATATCAGAATGTACTTGTTGGCATGGTGCATATTGTGTAAATAGCACTTTCTGTGGTCCATTGTGGAATTGGAACAGATTTGTGTTTTGGCCAGTCTTCCTGGCTTGAATAGCACTTTTGTGCTGACATTGCTGTTGCCCGGTATTGCGGGTTTCAGGAGGCTAATGCAAATGACTATAGCAATTTGGCGTGCCTGTTCACTGCTTTATGGTGAAATCGGAAGGGGATATAATAAACACATCCAGGACATGTGAATATTTGTGAATGCCACAAATGTAAAGTGTCGTGTTTACCAATGGCATATGATGCCAATTATATGTTTGCTTTAACTTGTCCTCCGAGGATTTCAGGCACACAAAAGCCATTGAAATGATACTAGAGGCTTGCAACCAGCATTTTGTCTGGTAAATTCCAATATGCCATCCTCTCCTTGTCACTCTGGAGACCTGACCAGCAGACCGTGGGCGACTCTCTTCTGTGTCTACCGCACACATATCCCTATTGCAGCCTCTTTCTGGTGCTCTCATCCCCAGCACATAGCTTATATGCACAGGGGGATCATGGGGACATGTGTGCCAACCCGACTGCCAACATCTCCACTGGCTCCAACCTGACCTTCTAGCATTGAGTGGGAAGGTCTAGAGGAGATTGTTTGCATGCCCTTCCTGTGACTGGGGACCCTGATTGCACTTTCAGTCATGGGGAGGATTCTAAACACATTCAGCTGAATGCATGAAGGATCTCCAGACCTTCAGTCTCCACGTGTAAAGGTTAGGTGGAGCCAATGGTGATGTGGAAGTTGGGTGTGCTTCTGTTGCAGCACGATCCTCTTTGCATGTTTACTTAGAATTAAGTCTCAGTAAATCCAGTAACTCTTACTGCATCCTATGTAACAATGTGAGCCAAACTCTTACCTTACAAGGCCTCTGACTGCCAGTCCATCCTCAATCTGGTCTCCTGCCACTGCCCTCTTGATCCTCGATCTGATTTGGTTGATTTCTGACTACAATTCCATCCCTGATTATGTGTCTAGCCTCTGGCCGTTTGTTTTCCTTAGAACCTGATATTGACCTGTTTAGAGTGGATCATGTCATTTGTGTATTTACCTGCTCAGCCCTTCTACAGAAGAACAAGTCTGGCTGAAGAACAGCCAGCATGGCTTCCACAGAGGTCTATCGTACTAACCTTTTTTAGAGGGTCAGTAAGTATGTGAATATTGGTTGTTAGAGGGGAGTGCAATTGCACCCACAATCTATTTGAGAGCTTCTCACTGGTTTATGGTTCCCCACTGTGACAACAGGATGTTGCATTAGATGGGTCTTTGGTCTGATCCAGCAGCTCCCATCTCTACATCCTTGGAAATCTTTTATTAAATGACACTTGATCAATTATTTTAATGATGTACATCACCACGTTTCCTGTGCTCCTACATCGGTTTGTGCTGCTTGAGTCGTCTTTTCTCATTCCTGGATTAGGTCGTATTCGTTCCATCTGTTAAACATTTTAGCTCCAAGCTTCTTCCTGTCTAGTTAAACCACATCTTCTTATCCATGTGTATTTGTTGTTGGGCTGTGTCATGCAGCAGGTTCCTTTCCTTGGGCCAAGTGATGTTCATGTGTTGATCAGAGGAAGTTTATAAAAAAAAAAAAATCAAGAGAGAAGGAAAATGTGGTTGAACCACAAGAGATTTGAGGCAGAAGATCAAAAATAGAGATGCTGGAGCATGGAAAACCAAAATAGCCAAACCATCTGGGAAGAGGCTGCTGGGCAAATGGAATTGAAAGCTTCTGTGACCACGATCATGGAAGTCTTTCCGTTATCAGACACACACTTTTAAAAATAAGGTCCTAATTTGGTGAGTAGCAAATGTTATACCCCATTTTCTAAAGGGCTGTTGCTTAGCAGCTGTTAATTGATTTAATCAGTAAAATAAAGGTCAGTTACCAGAGGCACTGCCGTGTTAGATTCTTGTGGCACCTTAAAGACCAACACATTTATTATGACATGGTTGGTGAGTACAGCATCAGTTAAAACTGGTATTTTCCCATAGCCAGCCCAGCATAAAAAGCTTAAGGGATGCAGAGGTTCAATTCAGCCAATGACACCTTAGTTTTTTTAAACACAATGGTGCATAGTTCTTTCTATGACATGAGACTTTCTTGGATTTGAATACATATGTGAATACATATGAGCCAGTGTGGTGTATTGGTTAAGAGTGGTAGACTCGTAATCTGGTGAACTGGGTTCGATTCCCCGCTCCTCCACATGCAGCTGCTGGGTGACCTTGGGCCAGTCACACTTCTCTGAAGTCTCTCAGCCCCACTCACCTCACAGAGTGTTTGTTGTGGGGGAGGAAGGGAAAGGTGATTATTAGCCGCTTTGAGACTCCTTAAGGGGAGTGAAAGGCAGGGTATCAAGTCCAAACTCTTCTTCCAAACATATGTTGTAGTCCGCTGCTTTTGCCATACACAAAAAAAATTCTAACTAGGGACAGGACATTAGGTGTAGAATTATTAATTTCCAGCTTCATCAGGGTAAGTAATATGGGCAATAATCACCTAACTCAGACTCAGAAAAGGCTCACTTAAATAAGTGTTCTTGGTCTATTTGGTCTTAGGTTTCAGTGACTCCGGTCTGAGTTTGACTAGTGTTGGCTATATAACCCTATCTTGTCTTGCCCTGTTTGTTTAAAAAGGTAAAGGGACCCCTGACCGTTAGGTCCAGTCGTGGACGACTCTGGGGTTGCGGCGCTCATCTCACTTTACTGGCCGAGGGAGCCGGCATACAGATTCTGGGTCATGTGGCCAGATTAAGTGCTTCTGACGAACCAGAGCAGCGCACGGAAACGCCGTTTACCTTCCTGCCGGAGCGGTACCTATTTATCTACTTGCACTTTTTGGGGTGCTTTCGAACTGCTGGGTTGGCAGGAGCTGGGATCAAGCAGTGGGACCTCACCCCTCCATGGGGATTTGAACCGCCGACCTTCTGATCGGCAAGCCCTAAGCTCTGTGGTTTAGACCACAGCGCCATCCGCGTCCCTGTTTGTTGACCATTCCTCAAATGTAGGCAAACAGAAATAAACAATCGGATTACAAATGCCCAATTTAAAGCTGGTTTCATGACAACGTTTACCTGTGCATTGTTCTGTACTGCAGAATGAGAGCAATGGAATATCCCATTACAGGGACCCACAGGAGATGCTTCTGTCCAGATGTCCAGGCAGGGGCAGGGGGCCACAGCACTCCCAATGTGCAGTCCAGTGGGGGATTTACTCCTTGATGTAGGTTAGGGACTCCCTCATTTTTGGTTGATCCCAAAACCTAAGTTCATTCAGCAGGCAGGCCAGAAAGGGCAGGGTCTACCCAATGCCTATGCAAAACTGCTTACATTGGTAGTCAATAAAGTTGTGGCCTGATTTCACCCAAATATTTGTTGTCATGCCTCTTATTCTTGGGAGGACCGAAGGATGGGGGGAGGGGATGCAGAGCACACCCTTTATTTGGTATTTTCCCCTGGTGGTGAGGCTGGTCTCTAGAAATTGGGAGGGTGATATTCTGTGACCATCATGAGCCACTCAGCACTTTCAGGTTTAGATTGGAAATGAAGTGTCTTTTTTTTGGCGTTTTTGGAAGAAGAAGAAGAAGAGGAGGAGGAGGAGGAGGAAGAAGAAGAAGAAGAAGAAGCAGCAGCAGCAGCAGCAGCAGCAGCTCAACAAAGCAGTTCCTGACTTTATAAGAACTTGTCCTTGTTGTATTGTTGGATGAGCATTTTGGAAGTGTGCGTTGAACATTGTTTTGAATTTGCCTTTTAATTTATTTTATCAGTTTGTATTGCATTTTTCTTAAGTTGCTTTGAGACATCTGTTTTTTGTGCAAAGCAACTAACATGATGATGATGATTGATAATTCCCATGTTGTTGATTTCACACTTAGTGAAATGTTGGGCTAGGGTAATCGTTGCAGACAACCAAATTGAATGGGAGGCTGAAGAAAATGTGAGGCATTCAAGATGTTAAGTCGGAATGTATTAGTCTTGTTATGCTTGTAATATGTTGGCCGCCATCAAAATCTAAGAGGATTTGCAAGCAGTGAAATAAATGTCAGCCTGCCCTATTGGCAAGCAGGTATTTTTTTTCCAGTTTGGTGGATTCTTTTTTTATAATGTCACTTGGCAAATTGTGTGCGCTTTCGGGGACTACATCAATCATAATAACTAAGAATGTCACCTTTGCAAGGAGAGAAGCGGCCCAGCTGCTTCCTTGAAATCTGTATGTCATCCTCAGAGACTAAATGAAATAATTGAAGTAATTGAAATTTATTTTATCCTACCTGCCGCCACCATTTCATGTAACATATATTATTTAAGGGAGTTGGCACATATTTAAATTTGTGGATTGAACAATTTGTGATATTCAGGGGTGTAAAACTTAAGTGCACTGTGGTGTTTGCCCTCCTAGGTGGGTCATAAGGAAAGGGTTAAATGAGTGTGAAGTGATTGGCCAGTGGGAACCCAAGGGGAGGAGTTAGAGTTGGAGTTGTTGGGACGTCAGTTGGGAGTTGGAGAAGGAAGAGGGAGGATAAGTCTGTGGGTTGGTCTAGTTTTGATGTGTAAGAGTGAGAGAATCTGTTAGGAGGAGTCAGAGAGACAGTTGGCATAATCAGTTCGAAGTTATTAGGAAGGTATAGGCCGGTAAAGAAACTAAGATTAAGTAACTGACAAGAAAAATTATCTGAAACCATAAACTTGTTAATGCTTATAAAATAAACTTGCTTATTTGTTTTAATGTTAACAACTGTCTGGACTCTGTGTGTACCCGAGAGAAACGGGTTGGTGGCAGCGGGGAAGCAATCACAGTGGTGGCACAGGGATCAATAGACCGTCAAACGTCCGGGGACCCTGTGTGATCACCACATGCACGTTACTTAATCTAGATGTGGGTGACGAGGCTTCCTCGCTAGGGCTTTGTTGAGTGTATAATTTGGGGGTGGGGAGAGCAATAAAAGCAGAGTTTTCTTGCTAATGAAGCATGAAGGCAGTGAAGGAAATGGGGAAATAAACAATTGCGCATTAATTGGGGCCACAGGCTGTTAGTGTCTCATCAGGCTCTTTGCCAGCTTAGTAAAACAAATCTCTTTCCTAAAGGAGTCCTAAAGTAATACAGTTTTTCAACCCCTGCTGTCTTACTAAAAGTCCCTGGAACATGCTGGGGATTTTTGAGAACTGGTGGCTACTGCTGTCCAAGTGAAAAGAAAAGGGTAGCTGTGCAGCTCTCTTGAGGTGAAGCGAATGGCTTGCAACATTAAATCAATTCTAAATGCATCCTCTTGCACTGTTGGCTTTCTCCTGAAGGCTGTGATACAAAGATATTTGCTTGAGTCTTATTTCATTCCTCTGTTTCATTCCACCAACTCTCCTCTCCATCTGCAGCTCCCCTTCTCCCCAAATCTTTCACCATTGCATGGGTTGTTCGGTTCCCAACACACAGGAGGCTGCAGGGGAAAAGGGAGAGATAGGAAAGTCTTGCTCTGTTCATGTCAGCTGTCTTCTGTTCATGGAATGGAAGTGGGGATCCAAGCCGCTGAGCAGAGCCTGCGTTTCACAACATGTTGACAGCAATGCAACTTGACAAATAGAATGACATCATCGGGGGGAAAGGACTATGATACTGAAGGTAGTTTCTGGGAATTTGCTGGTGTTTGGGGTGATGTTTGGCTCACCAGGAGGCAGGTGTGTGTGTATCATGTCTGGTTTTGAGTTTGTTTTTATTAAAAGGAAACTACAAACCTCATGTAATAATAGGCAAAGGCACATGCTTGTTATTCATTGACATGAAGTCACCCTGTCGTGCGATGTAACTGGGGGACCAGGCCAGAGGACATTTTGTGTAATTTTCCTTTCAAGTAGACTGCCATCATCTCCCTTCTGCTCCCTAGCACTGAAGTGAGAGGCACCTCAATACTAGGGGGATTTACCTAACCGTAGGTAAATGTGTAAATGTGGAGAACTGAATGGAAAAATGAGAAACTGAGATTGACAGAGTAGCTTCATCATTGTTATTTTATTTGTATGCTTCATTCACTCAATATGACTTACAATGCGGAACGATTTACATAATTACCGTATTTTTCGCTCTATAAGACGCACTTTTCCCCTCCTAAAAAGTAAGAGGAAATGTGTGTGCGTCTTATGGGGCGAATGCAGGCTGCGCAGCTTTCGCTGAAGCCAGGAGAGCAAGAGGGATCGGTGCACAGGAGGAGAAATGGAAGGGGCTCCATTTCTCCTGCTGCTTCGCTGAAGGGGCGCTGCGCAGAGAGGGAAAGCTGCGCAGTGCCCCTTCAGCGCAGCAGCAGGAGAAACGGAGCCCCTTCCATTTCTCCTCCCACTTTGCTGGAGAAGCGCTGAGCAGAGAGGGAGAGAATTTTTTTTTTTTCTTGTTCTCCTCTAAAACTAAAACTGCATCTTATGGTCGGGTGCGTCTTATAGAGCGGACAATACGGTATGTACATAACAAAAGTAACCCTAAACAATAAATGAAACACATCAAAAAGTACTGCAAAATTTGAACAATTTTCACATAAATTATAACAAGATCTAAAAATAAAGATGCTGAAAATTAATATCGATAGTAGCAACAAAAACGTGATTCTACTTGCTACTTAAGGGTGCTTGTCCTACATTGGTTCAGATATTAATTTGTTACATTTCATATTCTGCCTTTCTTCAACCATGGCAGTGAAAATGGGGGTCCTAAGTGGTCTCTCATCCAATCACTCGCCAGACCTCAACCTACCTAGCTTCACCAAGGCTGCTGCATCATGTACCTTCAGATCATATTATATTTTGTACCGTTAGTAATATAATCTATTTGATTGGTGTAGGTCAGTTCAGTTTTGAGTGTGTTGCTAAAACAAAACAACAACTAGATTACTTAATGGGCAGAACAGTTTAATGAAATTGGCAGCTCACTCACATTCCTCCCCAGTCCAGGAAAGGTTTTGCAGAAGCATGAGACGGCTGATTATTATATTTTTATAAATTTTATTTACAACGTAACATAAACCCCCCACCCCCAATATACAAATCCACCCTCATTAAACATGAACATAACATACAGTGAGCATAACATACAACAATACAAACAACCAAATAAAATACTTCCTTTATCCTTTATGTGGCCTCCTTATTTACTACTTATAAACTGTTTCCTTTATGAATAATTATTAAGATTTTCCTAATTATAACTTAAATATCCACAAAGTCTCCTGCAGACATTAATCAAAACAAGTCCAGGTATGTATTTTAGGGCACTGTTTTGTGAAGTATTCTCTGCATTTCCCCCATGCTTTTTGAAACTCTTGTCTAGTGCGATCTCTAATTGCCTTTGTTAATCTAGCCAGTTTAATATACTCTATCAGTTTGTCTTGCCATTCCTTGAGACAACTGAAAAAACCGTCCTGTAACAGGACATCCCTAGCTTGCTAGATCAAAAGAAGGCCTCTCTAGCTCGCCTGGCCTTGAAAGTGATGTTTGATTCAACTCCCACATTTGCCCTTTGCAAAGCTTGCTCTCTTACTGACCAGCCTGCTCTTCCTAGACTCAGAACTGACCCTGAGTCAAGGAACGCCAGCCTCATACTCTGCAACACTGCATGAGAGGGTGAATAAGGTGTTGTTGGTTGTTGGTCTTTTCCCAAATATTGTCAAGGGGCACGAGAAAGTCCTTGTTTCCCTGCTCGCTTGCTTTTATCTGCTGACATGCATAAGGGAGCAGCCAAGCTGATCGGTTTCTAACATCCTGCCTCAGTTCTGGATTGCCCCAAGGGGGGCACAGGTGAAGGATTTGGAATGAGCGTTCCCACTGCACACAACAGAAGGTTTAAATTAGGAAATGGAAGGAATGTGTTGCTCCAAACAATTTTGCTATAGACCAGTTTCATGCAAAGCTGACAGTCTTACGCTGGGAGCTTCTTGCATTTAGTTAGCATTACCTTTGCTAGCATGTTCATGGAAGTCAATCTTACTCGGCTACGAGTGATCGCCAAAGAAGAAAAAAGGGCATTCTCAACTGGGCAGGTTGGAAGCCTGGTGTCTCATGTCTTTGTATCAAAGTTGAGCTTTAGAATGAGACGTTTTTGGAAGATACAGTGGTACCTTGGGTTAAGAACTTAATTTGTTCTGGAGGTCTGTTCTTAACCTGAAACTGTTCTGAACCTGAGGTACCACTTTAGCTAATGGGGTCTCCCGCTGCTGCCACGCCGCTGCCGCACAATTTCTGTTCTCAGCCTGAAGCAAAGTTCTTAACCCGAGGTACTATTTCTGGGTTAGTGGAGTCTGTAACCTGAAGCGTCTGTAACCTGAGGTACCACTGTAGAGTATTACAGTCCTGATCATGAAGGATCCAGTGAAGTTGTGGGGCTTAAAGCCATAACCCTATGCATGTTTACTCAGCTCTCTCACTGATTTCAATAGGATTCCTTAATAAACATGCATGGGATTGCACTCAGGCAAGGCAAACCAAAGCATCCACCATATGAGTTTATAGCTGTATAATGCCAGCATAGCATAGACAAGATCATATGTACTCCCAACAGACAAACTGAGGGGTGGGTGGGAAATGAATATAAAATGAATGCATATAAAATGAATACAATTTAAATGTGATTTGTGTGTGTGTGTGTGTTTTAATCTGCAATAAAGTGGGCCAAGATAAACTCTGACAGAACGCATGTGAAACTGACATGGAATCAAAGTAGATTGGTTCATCCATCCCTACCAAGAGTCGATGATTGCATAGGAGATAAGAAAAAGTTCTGCAATCATGCTTTGAGGCAAGGTGCTCCCCTTTCCTTTAACTTCAGTCGAATGGGGTGGTCATGGACCCCCAGTTTGGGAGATGAAGCAAAAGTTCCTCTTGGCTGGTTTAGAACTCTAAAGCAGAATGCCTATTTAAGTGGTAGCATTTATTCTCCCTATATTTGTTCTGAAGCCCTTTCCACGATAGTTTCCATCAGGGAAGTTCTTTCCATTTTCTCACAAGGTTGGTGGCATTAGGCCAGAGGAGTGATAAACAGTCCCTGCGATCCCTGTTGTCTTTTTTATGGCTACCCCATCAAGGTGTCATATTCTGGTACTTTGTGAATGGCTTCAGACTAACCACATTTATCCAATGCTGTGTTGTGGCTATGTGGGCAGGAGCTGGGATGGTGAAATATACTTGGAGTCGAGTGTTGATTTCATACTCTTTATTTCAGCTCATGGCAAACAGGGAGTGAGTCTTCCCAAAAACCTCTGGATATATATACCGTATTTTTTGCTCTATAAGACTCACTTTTTCCCTCCTAAAAAGTAAGGGGAAATGTGTGAGTGTCTTATGGAGTGAATGCAGGCTGCGCAGCTATCCCAGAAGCCAGAACAGCAAGAGGGATTGCTGCTTTCACTACGCAGCGATCCCTCTTGCTGTTTTGGCTTCTGAGATTCAGAATATTTTTTTCTTGTTTTCCTCCTCCAAAAACTAGGTGCGTCTTGTGGTCTGGTGCGTCTTACAGAGCGAAAAATACGGTACATTATTTACACAATGGGCCCCACGTGATTGGCTGAGTCAACTCCCCTCCTGGAGCCTGATTGGGCTGCTGCTGCAGGCCAATCAGGTTGCTGATTCACTTCCTATTGGAGCCAGATTGGGTGGCTCCTGCAGATCAATCAGGATGCTGTCTTCTAGGATCCTACTTGTCTATTGTTCTAGGATCCAAGCTCAGTACATAACACAGTGGTTCTCAACCTGTGGGACCCCAGATGTTGTTGGACTACAACTCCCATTATCTCTGACCACTGGTCATGCTGGCTAGGAATGATGGGAGTTGTAGTCCAACAACATCTGGGGGCCCACAGGTTGAGAAACACTGACATAACAGATGGGCATTGTGTCTGGGCTCCCTGTTGAGTTCAACGGAAGCATTTTGCTTTGCCCCGCTTCTTTTGCGAGCATGTTATGCCCCTGAAAGAAAGAAGAGTGGTCCGAGGAAACCAAATCTGCTGCTTCTTCCCAGATACACACTCAGTGCTGTGATGGGCATATGCTGGTCTAACCTTACACTGGCATATCCCTGAAGATCTGTCAACGCAGAATCCCTGAGGACATAGCCCAAATCCTAAAGTTCTCCAGCTGATCTAGCTTGGAAAATATGAGCGTTCAGCGAGTCACTCGGCAACTTGTTTTGAGTTGTAACTTGAATGTTTCCAGTTAAAAAACTGCTCCGAATGTGGATCAAAATCCCATGAAAATGCAGGAGCAACCAAAGTTAATGCCATGCGGACAAGATGTCAACAAGGCACACCCATCGTTCTGGGCTCAGTAGCTCAGATGTAATGAAAGCCAAAGCCAAACAGAAGACAGTCAAAAACCCTGTTCCCAAGTGGGTGTGACCATATATTATACATGTCTCGTTTGAAACAGGCCTCTTGCAACGGGTCATGTTACAAACCAAGTCTGCCAACTCATCAGGCCGATGGTAACAAATGAGTCAAAACATGAATTTTCCCTCCAATTCCACACATTCATGCATCTGGCGAATTGGGCTGTGGCGCATTACATCTCTGAGTCTTTTTAAGGTGTGTCACAGGATTCTGGATTTTTAAATTTTTTTTTGCTGCAACAGGCTGCCACAACTTCCCCCACTTCAGTATTCCACACACTGGAAATCTTTACAGTGAGTCAAGAGGCAAAAACTCATTTTTATAACACTTCTATGGGCAATTTAAAATGGGTGACTGCAGCTGGAAATGACCCACCCAAACCGCTCCCTTTGCTTGCAGTTGAGCTGCTTGCATTTTAAATGGTCTCTTAAACTGATCATTAGACCATAGCTAGAAAGTGAATCTAATGAATAGATGCCTATTTTAAAGTTCAGTAGCAGTCATCTTACTTTTACTTTGTGTGTACTACTTTGGTAAACCATTTTGCTTGATCTGATTTTTACGAACATGGCAGACCAGCTGAACTGAGGGCTAGGGGAGCTGTGGTTCTCCAGATGTTGCCGGACTCCAGCTCCTATCATCCCTAGCCAGTATGACTCAATGGTCAGAGACGATGGGAGTTGCTTCTACCACAACTGGTTGGAATAACAGCTGAGATTTACAGCATTTTCAGTTATAATGCAGCTCCATAAGGATGATTTTTAGGACTTTCAAGATCCAGGCTAGCATGGCCTAGTGATGTGACTGGATCCATTCACTAATTAGCATGTCAAAAATGGAGGGGGGCTTTAAATGTTAATGTTTGCTGAGCCTATGTCTTTTAAAAATATATATATATATAAATTAATTTGTAACATACAAAATTATAAAACGTACCACACAAAATTATCACAAATACAATCCTACTGGACTTCCATCAGCACCTCTGATAATCCTCCATCTTACATCACATCTTATGCATTTCCTAACTTAATACTGTCTTTATATCTCATATCCTGTCTTCTCTCCTTTTCCGTTTTAACAATATTTCCATTAATACTCGTCACAGAACTTCTTGCAAACCTACAAACGTCGACTGGTCATCACAAATACTCTTCAAATAGTCCGTAAATTTACTCCAGTCTTCGGTGAACTTCTGGTCCTGCCGGTTTCGGATCCTTCCTGTTAGTTTGTCAAGTTCTGCGTAGTCCATTAATTTCATCCTCCATTCTTCCACCGTTGGTATTCTTCTTCCTTCCATTTTTGGGCCAATAGTATTCTTGCTGCTGTTACTGCATATGAAAAAAGCTTACTTTCCTTTCTATTTATATCATTTCCAACCATACCCAAGAGAAATGCTTCTGGTTTCTTTATAAATGTATATTTCAACATTTTTTTCATCTCATTATATATCATCTCCCAGAAGCATTTCACCTTTTTTGCATTCCCACCACATGTGATAAAATGTTCCTTCTTTTTCCTTGCTGAGCCTATATCATTAGGTATGTGTTCATTGCCCTCTTCTCTCTCCTGACTCAACCTTACCCAGCAGCAGAGAGGACTTGCAGTATATCTTTTGTTGGATGCTATCGTAGCACACATGAGAGAGTACATTAGAGCATCATGAATGTGACTCAATCTGAGCTAGGTGAAGTTTCTCTCTCTCTCTGATCTGATTAGGTTGCCTAGGAGTACTCCAGGATCCAGTGTTGTTTTTTGAAGAGCAGACTAGAATAGTGGCCAGGAATGCCATTCCCCATATTTGACTCATTAGGACCCCGCCCCTTTGCTAGGCATGCTTTTGTAACTTTCAGGCTTGATTACTACAATGCCATCTTACATGGAGCTGCCCTTGAAGATGACTTTTCTGATTCAGGTGATGCAGAAAAATTCTGTATGCTTTCTGACAGGTGTTGGAATGCACAGTCCTATCCAGCCTGTTCCGTGGCAGCTGTGTTGGCTGCCAGTTTCCTTCTGGGCTCAAGGTATTGGTTTTAACAAAGCTTTGGAAACACTGGGACTCTCACACCTCAAGAACTATCTCTCTACTCACCTGTTAAGGTTCAGTCCAGTCAATGTTACTGGTGTGTCATCTTTAGGGCCAGTGCATAGTAGTGGGTAGGCATCAGCTGAGTTGACCAGACTAGTTTATTAGTGGCTATTGGTAATGGTGATGAAATGTCTTCTAAACAGATTTGGGGTCAGGTTTGGCCAAACGCTAAATGGGACGTGGTTGGCACTGTGGGTTAAACCACAGAGCCTAGGACTTGCTGATCAGAAGGTCGGCAGTTCAAATCCCCGTGACGAGGTGAGCTCCCGTTGCTCGGTCCCTGCTCCTGCCAACCTAGCATTTTGAAAGCACATCAAAGTGCAAGTAGATAAATAGGTACCGCTCTGACGGGAAGGTAAACGGCGTTTCCGTGCACTGCTCTGGTTCTCCAGAAGTGGGTTAGTCATGCTGGCCACCTGACCCGGATGCTGTACGCCAGCTCCCTTGGCCAATAAAGCAAGATGAGTGCTGCAACCCCAGAGTCGGCCACGATTGGACCTAATGGTCAGGATTCCCTTTAGTTGTCTTGAAGCTCTTCTTATCAGCTTCCTCACAGCATATGCCCACCGTTGTGGGACCAGATAAGTGTTTCGTCTGAACCAGCAAGGAATTTGGATTCTAAATGGGGAGTTTATTTCTCTGCACGTTTTCACAATTTCCTGGAAATCCCTCCCCCCCCCCCAACTCTTGTGATTTTCTTTCAGGAAAGCCTCTAAAAGAGAGTGCATATGTTTACAGGGAGAAAACACCCAGTCCTACAGGACAGGAAATGTTGCCCCAGGACTCACCACAACTTGGAAAACTAGGCAAAGATGGGAACAAGGCAAGCATGGAATGAAACTTACTTGTGTGTTGATGTAGCTTGGTATCTAAGTGCTTTGGGTAAAGGGTGGAACCTCATCGAAGAATGGCCTAAGTAGTAAAAATGTTCCCTCACCTTGTCAAATTACAGCGATACCTCTGGTTAAGTACTTAATTCGTTCCGGAGGTCTGTTCTTAACCTGAAACTGTTCTTAACCTGAAGCACCACTTTAGCTAATGGGGCCTCCTGTTGCTGCTGCGTCACCGGAGCACGATTTCTGTTCTCATCCTGAAGCAAAGTTCTTAACCCGAGATACTATTTCTGGGTTAGCAGAGTCTGTAACCTGAAGCGTATGTAACATGAAGCGTCTGTAACCCAAGGTAACATTGTAGCCTGCCCCTAAATGTACTGGCTAATTGTAAGTATGTGATCCTTCCCTCTTTTGTAGTATTCAGCACCATGGCCAGAGTATATATAATTGAAGATCTGTGAAATAGTAAACCATCATCTTGAACAGTAGTTGTGATGGTAGAATCACAGCATCAATGGAACCAGAGAATTGTAGAGTTGGAAGGGACCCCAAGAGTCGTCTAGTCCAACCCCCCGCAATGCAGGAATCTTTCACGCAGTGTAGGATTTGAACCCATGACCCATGTTCTGCTGACTGAGCTGTCTGTCTTAATTATTGTCTGCATGGTCCACGAGGCCAGTCCTAATAGCTGATGATAACCTGGTCTATGCCACTTTGTATGAGTTTGCTCAGAAGTTCATTCTGTACTGTGAATTTACATCTGTGAATTTAAAAAATCACATTTAGATCACCCTGAACGTATTTCCTATCCAGTCACATTTCTGTGTGAATTTTCTCTCAAAAAATGAAATTCTCAGTGTATTTTATTTTTAAACACACATTTAAAAACGTTTTTAAGAGCAAAGAACATTGCAACATTCAGAGAAGTGCAAAATATAACAATAGACTTTGTTCCGATTCAAAGAATATTCTAGGGTATGTGGAACAGGCAAGTCCCCATTGGAATTCAGAGGAATAAAATTCTTCAAGCATCCCCTACCTTCAGATTGTTTTCAAGTCTAAATTTTACGCCTCCCCTTTATGACATTTCAGGTAAACCCAATGACAGAAGTGCTATACAAGCAAATAGGACATAATTGTCACTAAAGATAGCATACAGTAGAAAACATAAATGTGTTATTGCAGAATAGTTGTCACCAACAGAATCAGAAGGAGGCATTTTGTTGCATTTATCCAACTTAAAACAGAAAAAAATAGTGTAGCTCCCTCAGTAGTGATTCTACCTGATTGTTTGAGGAAGTGGGGAGAGATTTACAGAGCTGCCTCTCTTCATTCTTCTCAATTCCTACTTGTATCCAGCCCAAAAACTGAGGTCCAGCTCTGAGGGCCTTCTGACAGTTCCCTCACTGTGAGAAGCAAGGTTACAGGGAACCAGGCAGAGGGCCTTCTCAGTAGTGGCTCCCACCCTGTAGAACGCCCTCTTATCAGATGTCAAGGAGATAAAGAACTACTGTACATGACTTTTCATAGAATCATAGAATCATAGAGTTGGAAGAGACCACAAGGGCCATCGAGTCCAACCCCCTGCCAAGCAGGAAACACCATCAGAGCACTCCTGACATATGGTTGTCAAGCCTCTGCTTAAAGACCTCCAAAGAAGGAGACTCCACCACACTCCTTGGCAGCAAATTCCACTGTCGAACAGCTCTTACTGTCAGGAAGTTCTTCCTAATGTTTAGGTGGAATCTTCTTTCTTGTAGTTTGGATCCATTGCTCCGTGTCCGCTTCTCTGGAGCAGCAGAAAACAACCTTTCTCCCTCCTCTATGTGACATCCTTTTATATATTTGAACATGGCTATCATATCACCCCTTAACCTCCTCTTCTCCAGGCTAAACATGCCCAGCTCCCTTAGCCGTTCCTCATAAGGCATCGTTTCCAGGCCTTTGACCATTTTGGTTGCCCTCCTCTGGACACGTTCCAGTTTGTCAGTGTCCTTCTTGAACTGTGGTGCCCAGAACTGGACACAGTACTCCAGGTGAGGTCTGACCAGAGCAGAATACAGTGGCACTATTACTTCCCTTGATCTAGATGCTATACTCCTATTGATGCAGCCCAGAATTGCATTGGCTTTTTAGCTGCCGCGTCACACTGTTGGCTCATGTCAAGTTTGTGGTCAACCAAGACTCCTAGATCCTTTTCACATGTACTGCTCTCAAGCCAGGTGTCCCCCATCTTGTATTTGTGCCTCTCATTTTTTTTGCCCAAGTGCAATACTTTACATTTCTCCCTGTTAAAATTCATCTTGTTTGTTTTGGCCCTTTTAGAAGACATCAGAAGGCAGCCCTGTACAGGGAAGTTTTTAATGGTTGATGTTTTTTATTGTGTTTTTAATATTTTGTTGGGAGCCGCCCAGGGTGGCTGGGGTAACCCAGTCAGATGGGTGGCATATTAATTATATATATATTCACAAAAGCATGGTGGATATTAATCATGGACTGGTCACTATTTAGGGACAATACATGTTGGACAGGCAATTATTCAGCATGAGAAATATCACGCCTGTGTTTCCTTAGATACTAGATATGTCCAAGTACACAAATCTTTCTTGATCTGACCAAGGTACAACTCTTATAAGAGTGGCTAACCAGATTCCTCTGTAAGCTCACAGAGCATTTAAGGCATGGATAGGCAAACTAAGGCCCAAAGGCCGGATCCAGCCCAATCGCCTTCTAAATCCTGCCCGCGGACGGTCCGGGAATCAGCGTGTTTTTACATGAGTAGAATGTATCCTTTTATTTAAAATGCATCTCTGGGTTATTTGTGGGGCATAGGAATTCGTTCATTTTTCCCCAAAAAATATATTCCGCCCCCCCCCCAAGGTCTGAGGGACAGTGGACCGGCCCTCTGCTGAAAAGGTTTGCTGACCCCTGATTTAAAGTGGTAGCTCTCCCTCCGGGGTTTGTTCTAAGCCAGGCATATTCAAACTCGGCCCTCCAGATGTTTTTGGCCTACAACTCCCATGATCCCTAGCTAGCAGGACCAGTGGTCAGGGATGATGGGAATTGTAGTCTCAAAACATCTGGAGGGCCGAGTTTGCCTATGCCTGTTCTAAGCACCTGTAACCAAATAAACTGTCCTGCCTAACAGATAAAAAGATATGGTAGACAAATCATTCAACCATTTGTCACATATGCTATTTCTTTGACTTTTCTCTATGCATTTGGCCATAGCCAAATTTTGCATGATGGTTTCTGATGTCAAAGAGCAGGTTTCCATCTACGCTTGAGTATGATTAGGCAGCATTTTGAATCAAGGTGGTGGATGGAATTTTTATAGGCAACAATGGTTTCAACCATTGATTTGAAAACTGAATATCAATACAACAACAACACGGAAGCCAGTGCAGATGGCGAGCAGAAAGTTTAGCATATCATCAGTATTCACGTTCATCAGTATGCCGATGACACCCAGCTCTACCTCTCCTTTAAATCAGAACCAGCGAAGGCGGTGAAGGTCCTGTATGAGTGCCTGGAGGTGGTTGGAGGATGGATGGCGGCTAACCAATTGAGGTTGAATCCTGACAAGACAGAAGTACTGTTTTGGGGGGACAGGAGGCGGGCGGGTGTGGAGGACTCCCTGGTCCTGAATGGGGTAACTGTGCCCCTGAAGGACCAGGTGCGCAGCCTGGGACTCACAGCTGTCCATGGAGGTGCAGGTTAATTCTGTGTCCAGGGCGGCTGTCTACCAGCTCCACCTGGTACGCAGGCTAAGACACTACCTGCCAGCAGACTGTCTCGCCCGAGTGGTGCATGCTCTAGTTATCTCCCGCTTGGACTACTGCAATGCACTCTACGTAGGGCTACCTTTGAAGGTGACCCGGAAACTGCAATTAATCCAGAATGCGGCAGCTAGACTGGTGACTGGGAGTGGCCGCCTGGACCATATAACACCGGTCCTGAGAGATCTGCATTGGCTTCCAGTATGCTTCCAAGCACAATTTAAAGTGTTGGTGCTGACCTTTAAAGCCCTAAATGGCCTCGATCCTGTATACCTGAAGGAGCGTCTCCATCCCCATCGTTCAGCCCAGACACTGAGATCCAGCGCCAAGGGCCTTCTGGCGGTTCCCTCATTGCAAGAAATGAGGTTACAGGGAACCAGACAGAGGGCCTTCTCGGTAGTGGCGCCCACCCTATGGAATGCCCTCCCTTCAGATGTGAAGGAAATAAGCATCTATCCTGTCTTTAAAAGACATCTGAAGGCAGTCCTGTTCAGGGAAGTTTTTAATATTTAATGCTGTACTGTTTTTAACACTTGATTGGGAGCCGCCCAGAGTGGCTGGGGAAACTCAGCCAGATGGGCGGGGTATAAATAAATTATTATTATTATTATTATTATTATTACTACTACTACTACTACTATTATTATCCCAAAAGCCTGGGGAAATAAAATGGTCTTACACTGTCTGCAAAAACTCAGGAATGAGGGCTACTGAATTATCTCCAGGGGAATGCACAAATTGGGCAACATCACAGAGAAGGCGATATCCCAGGTCACTGCGCAGTGGGCACTGGTGAGACTAATAATGCTGAGAATGCAACTCTGTAACTGTTTACTTAATGATGCCCCCTGAATATGCCCTAAGAAAATGTCTTCAGGGAAGAATGTGATCTCATCTACATCCTATTTTAACAAGCAGCAGCGATAGGCCATGCCAGATTTTTCTTGTCTTCTGTCAAGTAGACATGCAATTAATGAGTCTTAGGGCAGTAACCCAGCCAGGCTTTTTAACCCACAAGCAAAGAGGTCAGGCACTTAACATCATTTTAAAATTCTTGTTATGTGATAGGTGGGGTTTAAATAGCCAGAAGCTAATAGTTCTGGTTAGCTCGCTGGGTACCTCTAGTTGATGTGGGAATTAAAATAAAGGGGAAATAATGTGAGGCTTTGCTTAATCATACTTTCATGTTTCTGACAGGTCCCTTTCTCTACAAATACCATCCTATGCCCTTTTAAAATGTGGTTCTTTTGAGGGGGGTGTTATTGGGTTGTTGTTTTTATTTTGATTATATATATTGTGGTCATATACAGCGGTACCTCGGGTTAAGTACTTAATTCGTTCTGGAGGTCCGTTCTTAAACTGAAACTGTTCTTAACCTGAAGCACCACTTTAGCTAATGGGGCCTCCCGCTGCTGCCGCGCTGCCAGAGCATGATTTCTGTTCTCATCCTGAAGCAAAGTTCTTAACCCGAGGTACTATTTCTGGGTTAGCGGAGTCTGTAACCTGAAGCATCTATAACCCGAGGTACCACTGTATTTTGATTTTGTTCTGTGAACCACCCTGAGACCTCTGGCTATAGGGCGGTATATAAATTCAATCAATCAATCAATCAATCAATCAATAAGCAAGCAAGCAAATAAATCATCTAGCCCAAAGGCACAAGATTGTTCCGCCTATGGCGGTTAAGACAATGTTTGCTAACTTTCATGGGCAACTAAATAATAATAATCCCAAATTTTCAAAAAAATAAAATACCGTATTTTTTGCTCTACAAGACCCACTTTTTCCCTCCTAAAAAGTAAGGGGAAATGTGTGTGCGTCTTATGGAGCAAATGCAGGCTGCACAGCTATCCCAGAAGCCAGAACAGCAAGAGGGATTGCTGCTTTCACTGCTCAGTGATCCCTCTTGCTGTTCTGGCTTCTGAGATTCAGATTTTTTTCTTCTTGTTTTCCTCCTCCAAAAACTAGGTGCGTCTTGTGGTCTGGTGCGTCTTATTGAGCGAAAAATACGGTAATTCAAGTAGTCCTGCAGAATAATACGCTTGGGGAAATGACAACAGCATCCTCTTAAATGTTTGTGGAAAAGATATGTTGATAAGAGTCAGTGAAAGCTGAAACATAACCAGTGAATCCTGGAAGAGCTACCATTTAGATAGTATGAAATGTGCAAGAAATAGCTATGAAGATCTTGGCTTAGTCTGGAAAAGCCTAAGGTTAATTGGTTTTCCACAGGCTGCAATCTTTCTACCTGTTACTTCTTTTTTACTTGGTTCCATAGATCAGCTGGCCAAATGGTGCTGGCCAAATGTTGAAAACAATCGCTAGGGCAGTATTTACTATAGCAGAAAACAAAGTATTGATGGGTGTTATGTACTGAGTTGAATAGGATCCAAATTGCAGCAGTCTGGTTGGTCCTAGAGCAATAGGATCCTGAATGCAGCTGTCTGATTGGTCCACAGGAGCCACCCAATCCAACTGCAGGTGGAAGTGAATCTGCAACCTGATTGGCCTACAGGAGAGTCCCGGAACTAGCCAGTCACGTGGGGCCCATTGTGTAAATAATGTATATAAAGCAGACATCTCGGGGGAACTTCCATTCCTCACTACTATGAGCTGAATAAAGAGCATGCAATCCACACTCGACTCCGAGTATAGTTCAGCATCTTATGGTGTGTGGTTTTTTTAAAAAAAGAAAAACACCACCAGACAGGGTTCTAGATGAGTATTTGGAAGACGAACTGGGGAACGGTGGAAAGTCAGCAAAAACCACCCCCTTCCTTCTTGCCACTTCCCCCCTGTAAATAACCCCTCACCAACACATTTGAGCCAAGGAGCAGTGCCTGGGGTTTGGAAACCCAACTAGGTCACCTAATGTATAGCTTTTGGCCTGACTTGCGTTCAGAATTTTATTATTATATTAAGGGCTTGCTTTGCGATAGCCCAAGTTATGCTTTCTGCCCTGAAGAATGGAAACTTCTCTGAAATGAATGCAACTTCCAGCTTATTCGGGAGGGGGCTTGGCTTCTTTGAGGGCAACGAAAGCCTGTGTTATCCTGCGTTGTATCACTTTTTGCCCCTTTGACATTTAATATAGCGGGCCCCATGAAAAAGCAAACAGACACTATATTGTGGTATTGACTTTAGTGTGGTACTTCCTAAATTTAGACTGCACGCCACTCAGAAGTATTTGTACTGCACCACAGCAAATGTTTACTCTTCACTGATGCAGCCCTGTTGTACTTGTGCAGTGCAAATTGCCATTTCTGAGAGTTAAAAAATTGCAGATGGCTACAAATATCTTAAAATGATGAATTGAGCAGCATGCCTATATAGGGTTTTGGGTACTGTAATCATTGAGGCATTATCTAAAAATCATTTCTCTTTCCAATGAATCCCGTATTTTTCCGTGTATAAGACTAGGTTTTTCCTCCTAAAAAATAATGTCAAAAATTAGTGGGCGTCTTATTCACGGATACATCTTCCCCCATTTTCTTAAATCTGAGTCCCCCAAAATAGTCTTATACATGGGGGTGTCTTATAGACAAAAAAAATACGGTACAGTGGTATCTTTAGTTGCATTCCGCTCTTGTTACGGACGTTCAGCTTACGAATGCAGCAAACCCGGAAGTGTTTACTTCTGGGTTCGCTACGCACACATGCGCAGAAGCAATCTGCACGCTTTGCACATCCGCATAAGCGCTTGATCACGCCGTACACAGGTGTGGAAGAGGCACTCTAGTTGTGGACTTTTCAGGGTATGAATGGCGCCCTGAAACAGATTAAGTCTGCAGCTAGAGGTACCACTGTATATACAAATGCTAAGAGAAGCTGAAGGCATTAGGCAATTCATAGTCCAGTCCTATACATCCAGGATGAGGCCCTCCCATGGTCCTCCATATATTTCTGGACCCCAGCTTCCTTTAATCTCAACCAGCATGGACAATGATCAGGGATGATGGGAGCTGGGGGTCGAACAACGTATCTTGATCCTCTGTGTAGGGTTGCTATATTCCAAAAAGTAAAATCCCAGAAGTTGAGCTTTTTAAATGAACCCCCCAAAATTGTTGAGCTTTTTTTGAGACAAACCCCAAAGCTGTTGAGCTTTTCTTATGTAAAATAGCACCCCCCCAAAAAAACTTGACTAAGACCCAGGACAAAGCGCTGCCTTTCAGAAACACCCCACCCCACCTGCGACATCAATTCCACTTTTGAAATTCCGACAATGTCCAGGAAAATCCAGACTTATGGCAGCCCTATCTCACTGGGACTTATTCTACAATAAAATTGAACACTAAGGTCTCTTCCTTGTCCCTAGTTGTTTATCATCATTTTGCCGAATTATTAACACACTGCTCCCCAATAATGTGTTTGAGAAACTGTGGGTCACAGGGCAAGTATCCCAGGACATTCTGGAAGAGTTGGTTTCAGGCTATAAATCCCTACATACAGGGCCGAATTTAGGTTTGATGAGGCCCAAAGCTACTGAAGGTAATGGGGCCCTTTATATGTCCAGCTGTCCTTTGTCAACAAGGATGATGGACTCAAGGGCATCCTGATCAAATTTGCAGATGACACCAAATTGGGAGGGGTGGCTAACACCCCAGAGGACAGGATCACACTTCAAAACGACCTTGACAGATGAGAGAACTGGGCAAAAACAAACAAGATGAATTTTAACAGGGAGAAATGTAAAGTATTGCACTTGGGCAAAAAAAATGAGAGGCACAAATACAAGATGGGGGACACCTGGCTTGAGAGCAGTACATGTGAAAAAGATCTAGGAGTCCACAAGTTGACCACAAACTTGACATGAGCCAACAGTGTGACGCGGCAGCTAAAAAAGCCAATGCAATTCTGGGCTGCATCAATAGGAGTATAGCATCTAGATCAAGGGAAGTAATAGTGCCACTGTATTCTGCTCTGGTCAGACCTCACCTGGAGTACTGTGTCCAGTTCTGGGCACCACAGTTCAAGAAGGACACTGACAAACTGGAACGTGTCCAGAGGAGGGCAACCAAAATGGTCAAAGGCCTGGAAACGATGCCTTATGAGGAACGGCTAAGAGAGCTGGGCATGTTTAGCCTGGAGAAGAGGAGGTTAAGGGGTGATATGATAGCCATGTTCAAATATATAAAAGGATGTCACATAGAGGAGGGAGAAAGGTTGTTTTCTGCTGCTCCAGAGAAGCGGACACGGAGCAATGGATCCAAACTACAAGAAAGAAGATTCCACCTAAACATTAGGAAGAACTTCCTGACAGTAAGAGCTGTTCGACAGTGGAATTTGCTGCCAAGGAGTGTGGTGGAGTCTCCTTCTTTGGAGGTCTTTAAGCAGAGGCTTGACAACCATATGTCAGGAGTGCTCTGATGGTGTTTCCTGCTTGGCAGGGGGTTGGACTCGATGGCCCTTGTGGACTCTTCCAACTCTATGATTCTATGATTCTAGGAATTGCCTCTGTTTTATGTGTTGAATATATGCGATATGGTAATTTATGGACCTAATAGGTATCTGAAGCCATTTGCCCATGTTGCCATGCAGCCAGTCCATGCAGAATGTAGGCACCTTATATACAGAAATGAGCAAACCAGTGATATTTTAGGGAGCAGGCTAGGCCTATTACTTACATCATAGGAGCCTACACAACACAAAGCACTCTTGTATGTAGGTTTTATTTTATTTATTTATCTTATATTTTGGAAATGTACATCCAGGTTTTTTCCTTTAAATTTTTTTTGGGCCCCCAAGAGAGTGGGGCCCTAAGCTATAGCTTATTTAACTTATGCGTAAATCTGGCACTGCCTACATAGCTTGGGCACTGCAGATTATGGAAGCACCTCCTTCCCTCTGCCCTATTGGTCTCCACAGTCAACTGATTCCCTGGTGACAACTTTCATATAGTGATCGGATGAAGAACTGAACACTGGAGCCAGGCCAGGCTGCCTTAAATGCCCCAGGAGTGGATCTGAGGGAAGCCTATATGATTGGTCAGGCCTGCCACAAAAGCTAGCTCTGCCTCCAAGCCTACCTGCCATTGGCCAATCTGCAGGCAGGCTTGGATCCAGTTCCCAGCTGGCGAGGTGAGCCTTAAGGCTCCTTGGTGGTTGGGTAGCCCCAGAGTCCACAGGCTGCACTGGAATCTGGTGGGGGATGTGTCTCTGACCCACAATGCTGCAGAATCATATACAGTGGTGCCCCGCAAGACGAATGCCTCGCAAGACGGAAAACCCGCTAGACGAAAGGGTTTTCCGTTTTTGAGTTGCTTCGCAGGACGAATTTCCCTATGGGCTTGCTTCGCAAGACGAAAATGTCTTGTGAGTCTTGAGATTTTCTTTTCGCTCCCCCCCCTTTTCTAAGCCGCTAAACTGCTAATAGCCTTTTAGCAGCTAAGCCGCTAAGCCGCTAAGCCTTTAATAGCCGCTAAACCACTAATAGCGCTAATCCGCTAATCCGCTAATAGGGTTGCTTTGCAAGACGAAAAAACCGCTAGACGAAGACACTCGCGGAACGGATTAATTTCGTCTTGCGAGGCACCACTCTACAGTGGTGCCTCGCAAGACGAAATTAATTCGTTCCTCGCAAGACGAAATTAATTCGTTCCGCGAGTTTTTTCGTCTTGTGGTTTCTTTCGTCTTGCGAAGCACGGTGTCGGAAAAGTTTTGGAAAAGCTTCAAAAATCACCAAAGTCTTCAAAACCCTCAAAAAAGGCTACCACACCGCGTGCTATGAGTTGCTCCTCGATGTCAAGTCGCAACCGTATTGTTTTAAGAAAAAGGAAACAAACTTGCAAGACGTTTCCGTCTTGTGAAGCAAGCCCATAGGGAAAATCGTCTTGCGAAGCAACTCAAAAAACCAAAAACCCTTTCGTTTTGCGAGTTTTCCGTCTTGCGAGGCATTCGTCTTGCGAGGTACCACTGTAAGGGTAAGCGGATTTTCCTGAGAGTTGACTAGAAGTTGGTTGTTAGATTGGGAAAGGCTGTGGAAGAAAGCGGTTAAGTTTACTGCATGTACTGTATTAAAAGAAAACATTATGCAAATGATGTATAGATGGTACTTAAACCTGGTGAAATTAGCAAACATCTAGCATACAAATGTTGGAAATGCAAAGAAAAAGAAGGTACTTTTATTCATATGTGGTGGATGTGTCCCAAGGCGAAAGACTTCTGGGAAAAGATTTATAATGAGTTGGAAAAAATGTTGAAATATACTTTTATTAAGAAACCAGAAGCCTTTCTACTTGGAATACTAGGATTGGAATTGCCCAAAAAAGATGTTAGACTGTTTTTTGTCTGCCACTACAGCGGCAAGACTTTTATTAGCTAAAAACTGGAAATCGCAAGAAATACCAACAATAGAAGAATGGCAGATGAAGATGTTGAACTTTTTGGAGCTGGCAGACCTGACTGGAAGAATCCGCGACCAGAAAGAAGAGGAGATACAAGAGGATTGCAAGAAATTTAAAGAATATTTAGCTAAATATTGTGATATAAGATAAATGGAAAATTCTTGGAAGTAATAAATAGGCTTAGGGGTAGAATAAGAATACGTGGTAGTAAATATTAAGGATTAAAATCTTAATAAAGGAGAAGAGGTTAGTAAATGAAAAGAATCAATATAATTAGAAATATGAATTTGGAGAACTGTTATATAGGTGATATAATGAAATTCAGTTAGAGGGGATTTGAGGAAGTCAGTTATCAATGTAATGAGAGTTAGGTATTTGAAGAAATAATTTTTCTTTGTGTTTAGTTTATTGTTTTAATGTGTTTTTTCTTTGTTGTATGTTTTGTTACGTTATTTTTGTGATAAATGTTGAAAATCAATAAAAAAATAGAAGTTGGTTGTTGCTCTTAGTTCAGTGGGGGTGGGGTGGGAGAGTTCATCTGACAATGCAGTGCTTCTGTGCATCATTTTCTGCTTCAGAATGTTCAAAGGCTTGAGTACTCTTGTGGCTTGCAAGGAAGGGGCCTTGTGTGTGAAACATGGTTGGTAACCCATTCCAACCCCCATTCAGAGAGGAGAACAGCTTCCCAGGAAGGGAAGCAGCACACTATAGATGTGGTCATATGCCTGAAGGTGCTATATAAATAACAAGCAGACATGTTTGTATAATCTTCACTACCTTTCAAAAAAGAGAGTCCTGTATACTTACCGAAAATCTTTCATTTATTTTCATTTCAAAGATTGTGAGAGTTAAAATCTTGAAATATAAGTCACCACCTGCAACCAATTCATGATCTCTTCCAGTGAAATTGGGGTGTGGGGGGCATTATTTGGATGAGAGAGAGAGAGAGACAGACAGAGAGAGAGAGAGAGAGAGAGAGAGAAGTAGACTGGTGGAATAGCACATCTGTTTTTGTAAAAATAAAAAAAGCCCACCAAAAAGCCCAAACACAACCCAAAATACAAAACCATGGAACCTGGAGTCTCTCTTTTTTGAGTGTGGTATTTTACTACCACATGGCTTTAATCCTACATCTGGGCCTGTTGTTTTATGAAATATTTGCCACAGATGATGTCAATTATACTTTTTGTCCCGGTCATCAATTTATGGACTTTTGGAATAAGACAAAATGAAACAACCAGGAAAAGAACAACTTATGTGGTCTACTCCCTGACAAAATTATAGTGCTGTGATACACATCTAAAATCAATAACTCTGCTAATGATTAACAGAAAACGTTGCTTAGGTTATGAGCGGCAAAGTAGCCCACACTCAGCAGATGCCTGGCTCAGGGATGCATTTTTTGTCGGCTGCATGTTTACCAGCAGATGTTCAGACCTCTGTTTTATACTACTTGAATGAGCTAGTGGTTGGCCTGAAGTTGTGTGACAGCTATAAGCTATCTGCCAGCAATGCAGGTGAAATGTTCTTGCTTTTGCTGAACTGAAAAGGGAAAGGGCTTGTCAATGAAATCTAGGATATCGTGCCTAAGAGCTGCATGTCTAGTACCACAAAAAACACAAACACACGTCTGTTGATTGCTGTGAATATCTGAAACGAAACCATTAGCATTTGTTGCATGTCGAGACCCCGCAGCCACCCCCTCATTGGAAAGAACTCACACAAGGACACGGATATTAGGTTTATGTTGTTGGGCAAATTTGGGCCACAACTTTATTGAAATTACAGAATGTGAGCGGTATTGGCTTAGGCATTGATTGGACCTGACTATATCTGACTACTGCCCATTGGGCAGGAAGTCCAGTAAGCGTATGCCACTGGTAGGGGGAGCCCTGTCGATGTGAACCAACTCAAGATCCCCCTGGTGTTTCCGTCGTGCCAAGGCCCTAGCCCCCAGCCGGGCTTCAGACTAGATCCACACCCCCGGATTCCTTTAATGGAATACCCTTAAGCATGAAAGGGCACACCTCCCCTTCCCCCACACAAGGTCAAACAATGCCTAACCGCAACCCTAACAAAGTTGTGACGATTGCTACAAGGTAGGCAAAAACCAAGTGGCCAGTGCCAAGTGGAAAAATTCCTACCAGGCCCCTCAGACAACCAAGGCAACCAACCGAAGTCCATAGCAAGGCCATTGCCTAACCTGCAAAATAGGGAGGGTGATTGAGGAAGCGAGCCAAAGAGGAAGTCCTCTGGCTCGCTCCTCCATTGAAACGACTCCGGCCACGCCCCCCGGCCAGTGGATTGGCTGGCCAGGCTCTGACGTGGCCAGGATCCCCCAGGCAACGGGGGACAAGGTTCCTTGCCCCCGGTGGGGAGTGGGTGGCCACGCGGTCCACCGCAACTCCTCCCCACTGGGAAGTGGAGTGGATTTGGAAGTTTAGGTCCAAATTTAAGTGCATCAAATATTTCCCACTGCGGCCTGCTGCTTCTAATTATTTGATGGTAGGTGTTAGGCATTGCACATACAAAATTTGTAGATTAATTATAAACAGTATAAGCACAAACCATTGTACATGTACGTACACATACTTTTCAGAGCCTCTTGCTCTGAAGGGGTAAAATGGTAGGTCACCAACCAATCACATTCAAGGGAGACTTGTCACAAGCAGTGCTGTCATGAAAAAGCAGACAGAATTAGATGCAATGGTTTGGCATGAGCTTGATTTTCACAAAAATATTGTGAGAGTACCAAATGTACATTGCAGTGGTATGAATGTTCACCTTTGCTCTGAACATTTGCCAAGAAGTCAAGCCATTGTATATTTTGCTCTGGTTCCAGTTCAGCTCTGTTAAAAGTTCACTTTCGGGATGGGACTATAAAGGTGCACTTCTGCCAACCTAGCAGTTCGAAAGCACACCAGTGCAAGTAGATAAATAGGTACCGCTGTGGCGGGAAGGTAAACAGCATTTTCGTGTGCTCTAGTTTCCGTCACGGTATCCCGTTGCACCAGAAGCGGTTTAGTCATGCTGGCCACATGACCCAGAAAGCTGTCTGTGGACAAACGCAGGCTCCCTTGGCCTGAAAGCGAGATGAGCGCCACAACCCCATAGTCGTCTTTGACTGGACTTAACCGTCCAGGGGTCCTTTACCATTACCTGTCAAGGTGCAATAGCTGGTTCAGCATGATGCATCTCATGATAAGCCACTTGATCTCTGGTTCACTATGATGCTGATTTATAAAGAGGATGTGATAAGTTAACCATTCTTATTTTACTTTCAGCTCAGGGCTGAAAGTAGGGTCCCAAGGCTGGGACGCGGGTGGTGCTGTGGGTAAAACCTCAGTGCCTAGGACTTGCCAATCGTATGGTCGGCGGTTCGAATCCCCGCGGCGGGGTGAGCTCCCATCGTTCGGTCCCAGCTCCTGCCCACCTAGCAGTTCGAAAGCACTCTTAAGTGCAAGTAGATAAATAGGGACCGCTTTATAGCGGGAAGGTAAACGGCGTTTCCGTGTGCTGCGCTGGTGATGGCTCGCCAGATGCAGCTTCGCCACGCTGGCCACGTGACCCGGAAGTGTCTTCGGACAATGCCGGCTCACAGCTTCTAGAGCGAGATGAGCACGCAACCCCAGAGTCGGACACGACTGGCCCGTACGGGCAGGGGTACCTTTACCTTTACAGGGCTTTTCCAGACAAAATGCTTTGCACTGGGACTGAGTAGTGACCACCAAATAATTGTACAAGATTCAGATGCATCTCCAACAAGTGCATCTGTTAGTGCAGAGATGCATATTTCAACAGCCCTCAAGTTTGTAAGGTGGAATCTTGGGTACCTATCGGATGTCGCTATATATACGGTATTCTGCCCTGTAAGCACCAAAGCACTTTCTATTTTGTAATTTTGTTTATTGTCTTATGCAGATTGGAACAGAAATGGCGTGGAGAATTGGTTTTGTTCTGTTATCTTTATGTGCCGTCTTTCAGCCAAAGCAAGATTGTGTCTGTGTGGCTGGAAAATGAAGGGGTAGCCAAGGGGAAAGTGGTGAGATGGTGCCAAGCAATGAGACTGAAGTAATGTGGATGTAAGCATTTGCTACAAGGTCCACATTTTGAGGTGCTCCTGTACGTCAACTGTTGGGGGGGAAAGGGGAAATCCTACCATATAGTGGTACATCGGGTTACAAACACCTCAGATTACAAACACTTTGGGTTACAAACTCCGCTAACCCGGAAGTAGTACTTCAGGTTAAGAACTTTGCTTCAGAATGAGAACAGAATCATGTGGCGGTGGCACGGCGGCAGCAGGAGGCCCCATTAGCTAAAGTGGTGCTTCAGGTTAAGAACAGTTTCAGGTTAAGAACAGTTTCAGGTTAAGAACGGACCTCTGGAACAAATTAAGTTCGTAACCTGAGGTACCACTGTGCTTGATGTGGCTTTTCTCATCATTGCAGAGCTATGATTGGAAAATGCCCACCTGTCCACTAACTGGGCAGGAATATATTAATTAAATGTGTCTTTTGTAATTATGTTTAAAATGACCAAACTTATTTATAGTAAACACCATCTTTTCTTAGCACCGTGACTCAGACCTAGTGAATGTTAATATGTACCAAATGAGAATAAACCCCATGGATGAAGGTCCAAATGAATAAAGGTCACTGAAGAAAGAGATCATTTATTTAGTATTTATTGTGCTTGAGTCACTGGGCTAAGAAAAGATTATGTATGCTACAAATAAGTTTGGCATTTAACAACATTAAGCTACAAATGACTCTCTAAACATATTGTTGTCCCGTCTGCTCATGTCTTATAGGATATTAATTGATCATATATATGGTCCTGTCCACATCAGAGTATTATTTCTCTGTTATTCCATTTGCCCTGCATTTGAATTAGGCCAAAGTAGTCCACACCTACATATATTTGAATTTGTATATAAGGAGAAACGTCATTCTTCCCCATTCATACCAGTAAAGGTAAAGGTAAAGGTACACCTGCCCATACGGGCCAGTCTTGCCAGACTCTAGGGTTGTGTGCTCATCTCACTCTATAGGCCGGGAGCCAGCGCTGTCCACAGACACTTCCGGGTCACGTGGCCAGCGTGACAAGCTGTATCTGGCAAGCCAGCGCAGCACACGGAATGCTGTTTACCTTCCCGCTGGTAAGCGGTCCCTATTTATCTACTTGCACCCGGGGGTGCTTTCGAATTGCTAGGTTGGCAGGCACTGGGACTGAACGACGGGAGCGCACCCCGCCGCGGGGATTTGAACCGCCGACCATGCGATCGGCAAGTCCTGGGCGCTGCGGTTTTTACCTACAGCGCCACCCGCGTCCCATTATTCATACCAGTAGATGTTCCCTTTTGTGTTTGTCCCTGCCTTCTCATTTGTTGATTCTATTATGCCATTTTTCTTGGGAGAAAAGTGATGGCAAACCTAGACAGCATCTTAAAAAGCAGAGACATCACCTTGCCAACAAAGGTCCGTATAGTTAAAGCTATGGTTTTCCAAGTAGTGATGTATAGAAGTGAGAGTTGGGCCATAAAGAAGGCTGATCGCCGAAGAATTGATGCTTTTGAATTATGCTGTTGGAGGAGACTCTTGAGAGTCCCATGGACTGCAAGAAGATCAAACTTATCCATTCTTAAGGAAATCAGCCCTGAGTGCTCACTGGAAGGACAGGTCCTGAAGCTGAGGCTCCAATACTTTGGCCACTTGATGAGAAGAGAAGACTCCCTGGAAAAGACCCTGATGTTGGGAAAGATGGAGGGCACAAGGAGAAGGGGACAACAGAGGATGAGATGGTTGATCTTCTTGCAGTCCATGGGACTCTGACTCTCCTCTAATTTTACACATATCCGTGCAATTTTAAAGAAGTGTTAATTATAGCTTGTACAACACTGAATTAGAGCTCACCCCCCGTACTCCAGAATAACTTCTTTCCCCCCCAGAATTTTTTATTAATTTTCCAAATTTATAACAAACATAAAAGAAAAACAATACAATATAAAAAAGACAAACAAACATATATCCTAACTGCTAAAATCCCAATTTAATTATCATTGTTAAATGACTTCTGGTCTCTTAATAAATGTATATTTCAACATTTTTTTCAACTCATTATAAATCTTTTCCCAGAAGTCTTTCACCTTGGGACAGTCTGTACTGTTGGAGTTTCTCACGGGAAAGGGAGACTGGATGTGACGTACACTGGTTTCCTGTTTTTCACTGTGATTCTCTCCGAGCTGAGAGAGGAGAGAGGATGCATTTTTCTGCTCCGGCAGGGCAAGATGTCTTTCTGTAATATACCAGCTTTGAACTGTAAATAAAGCAATATAGAGTATGTAACACATTTTCCTCATCCTTCCGCTGGGCACGACAGACTCTGCTTTAAATCAACACGTGGTTATGGACTCCAGGAGTCGAATCGGAGTGCCGGCAGAGGATCGGAATGCAGGAGGACGGATCGGAAAGGAATCTGCTCTGCGCGTAGAAGTGATTGATGAGGTATGTGCTACTGCTCCGGGCAGCCTGCCAGCTTCAAGATAATGGCTTTATGGCTGGACTTTGAACTTTTAAAGCCGGTTTTGCCGGGAATAGGCAAAAGGCTCCCAGGCACAAGTCACTATGCTGGGGAAATCGAAAGTAACTTTTAAGTGCGCCTTTGGATAAGGCAGCTGCAGCAGTGACGCAGCAAGATTTAAAGCAGCATATGACGCTGAAGGCTAATGCCAGAGTCATGATGGCCCTTCAGGATGCTTGTAGGATTCCTAAGCTCAACAAGAAAAATTATAGCGACTGGGTTCAGTATGCAGAGGCAATTCTGCGGAAAGAGGGTTTGTTTGAGGTGATTACAGGAACCCCCCCAGTTCCAGGTACAGATGCATGGGAAGCTAAGTATTCCAAAGCAAGTGGAACTCTTACATTGATAGTATCCCCAGAAGAGCTCTGTCTATTGCGTGATAAGACCTCAGCCAGAGAAATTTGGGACGCTCTGAGAGAGGCTCACTTAAGGACAGAAGCTGGATCAACTATGTTTTATTTTAACAAGCTGCATAATATGGCTCTTGCTGAAGGTGGAGATGTGCGTTTACATCTGATGCAGATGCAAAATCTGAGACATGAGCTGCAACAGAGAGGACTCAACTTTCCAGAGGCTGTGTATTCTTTCATGATACTACAATCTTTGGGTTCAGGTTGGGAGTCTGTTGCAACCCAGATTGCTGTGCAACCAACTGCTCAGCTGACAGTGGACTTTGTTACTGCCGTGATTTTAAATGAAGCAGATCGCCGGGGTGCTAGCTGCATGGGCAAAGGGGAGTCTTCACAGACGTCATCCCATAGTGCAGTGGAACCACCAGATGGCGCCAAAGCCTTGAAGGCAGTGAAATGCCACTCGCGTGGACGTCTAGGCCATATGAAGAGGGAATGCAGACATCCCAGGGCCAAGACAGAGCAGCGCAGCGAAAGCTCATCGCGCGGAAAAGGCCGAGGCAAAGGCAAAGGTCCGGTGTCAAGGACAACGCAGCACAAGGCTATGGTTTCACGCTTCACTCCAAAGGTTGCAGAGGTCCAGAAGACGTCTAGATCTTTCTTCGTTATTGATTCAGCGGCCACCCACCACATGTGCAACGATAAGAAACTGTTTGTGTCTTTTACACCGCAGGAAGGTGCGATTCACCAGGCGGATGACCACACTATTCCCAGTAAAGGCTACGGAACTGTTGTTCTTCACAGTTTGGACTTATCGATACAGAATGTGCTTTACGTGCCAGACGCCAAACATAATCTGCTCAGCGTTGGACAGCTGAATGAGCGGAACATTGACGTTTCCTTCAAGAACAAGAAGTGCATCATCACAAAGAAAAATGATTATGTATTGCATGCAGAATATGTTGATCATTTGTTTGTTTTGTATTATGATGATGTGGTGCAGGATGACACTTGTTGCATTGCAGGTTCTAACAAAAGTTTGCATGCAGAATGTATTCACGATTTTCATCGCAAATTTGGTCATTTGCATTTTGAGGCAGTATCTAAAATGCCTGCCTTGGTTGAAGGTATGACTATTAAACCCTGCAGGTACCATATGAAGTGCAAAGCATGCGCAGCAAACAAGGTGAAAATGGCTGCGAAAGGTAAGGTGTCTAGTAGGAAAGCTACAGAACCATACCAGGTTGTTCATGCTGATTTGGTTGGACCACTATCGCCCTCTTTGGGTGGAAATAGATACTTCATGGTTCTCATTGATGCATTTTCTAGATATATTTTTGTGTACAATCTCAAGCAGAAGTCGGAGGCTTTTCCTAGGTTCAAGGAATTCTGTGCTTGGTTGGAAAATGTGCATGGTAAGAAGATAAAGACTCTTTTCAGTGATCGCGGGGGGGAATTCACTTCTCAGCAGTTTGAAGCTTTTCTGACTGAGAAAGGAATTCAACACGATTTGTCTAGTCCTCGCTCGCCATGGCAGAATGGACTTGCGGAACGGGCAAATCAGACATTGCTTCAAGGTCTAAAAACCTTGCTGCATGATGCCAATCTTCCAGAGAGTTATTGGGCCGAATCTCTCTCGTGTTTTGTTTACAGTTACAATCGCAGGCTATCTTCAGCGATTGGTTGTACCCCCTATGAGAAGATGTTTGGCAAGAAGCCATACATCAAACACATGAAGATTTTGGTTCTGACATGTGGGTTCGCTCACCACAAAACTCCAAGTTAGACAAGCGTGGATTGCATGGTATCTTTCTAGGTTATCAGAAAGGGTCTTACAGAATAATGATGACTGACTCTAAGACAATTAAGCTCACGAGAAGTGTTGAGTACAATGCAAAGTGGGGAGAATGTGGGAATTTTCCAATGTTATCCTGATGACGGTGATGAGACTGAGGATAGTCAAAAGCAACCACAACAGCCCACACCCACTGATGAAGGTTCTGAGTCTGAATCTGAAACTGAATCGGGTGATTCAGAGGATTTCAAGAGTGCGAAAGCCTCTATGCGACCCTCTGAAAGCTCTGATCAAGAATTGGAGGAACCATTGTTCACAATAGGTCGTTTTTCTCCTAAGAAGGAAGAGGAGAGTGTTGAAGACTTAAGGCTAATTCGTAGGTCACAGAGAGCCACAAAAGGCAAACCTCCAAAGAGATTTGCTGATGAGTTTGCTAAGATAGCAGTAACAGCTGTTAAAAGCTCCAAGAAGGTATTTGAACCTTCAAGTTTCCAAGAAATCCAGGGTTTGGATTCAAAGGAAGCTGAGCCATGGTTAAATGCCATGAAGGCTGAGCTTGATTCCTTAGAAAGGAACAAAACATGGGAGCTAGTTCCAGTAGTTCCAGGAATGAAACTGCTTGGAAGCAAATGGGTCTTCAAAGCGAAGACAGATCAAAATGGCAAGATAGTCAGACACAAAGCCAGATTGGTAGCCAGAGGTTTTGCACAGGTACCAGGTGAAGACTATCACGAGACCTATTCACCCACAGTGAGATATGAAAGCATTAGGCTTATGCTCAAGCTAGCTGCAGAGGAAAATCTACACATTAGTCACCATGATATTAATACAGCTTTTCTGTACGGATCTCTAGATGAATCACTTTATATGCTTCCACCTGATGGCGTACAGGTAAAACAGGGATTTGTTTATGCTCTGAAGAAATCCCTTTATGGTCTCAAACAAAGTGCACGGTGTTGGCACACAAAACTCACTGAAGTATTGTTTTCTCTAGGTTTTCAGCAAGGGAAAGCTGATCCATGTGTATTTGTCAAAGAGGAGGGGCAAAAGAAACTGTACTGTTTGTTTTATGTTGATGATTTATTATTCTTTTGGAAAGATGTCGCAATGTACAATAACGCCCTAGCTCAACTGAAAGAGCACTTTGACATGAAAGATCTTGGTGAGGTAAACAACTACCTATCTCTGGAAATAGAGAGAGATCAAGATGGTAACATTCTAGTACACCAGTCACGGAAAATTGCTGATGTGTTAAGCAAACTAAATCTGATGGATGCTAACCCTGTAGACACACCGATGACAACAGGTTATCAGGTAGATGACACTGAAGAAGCATTTTCTGACACTACACTGTACAGAAGTGTGCTAGGCAAGCTAAACTTCATTGCCAGATGTTCAAGACCAGACATTGCTGTTAGCTGTAATTTGCTAAGCAGACAAGTCAACAATCCTAGTGTCAAGGATTGAAAGCTCTGAAACGCATAGCGCGGTATTTGAAAGGCACTATGCATTACAGACTGAGATTTAACAATCAGAAGTCTGGTGGTCTTGAGATATTTGCAGATGCAAGTTTTGGAAGTGACGCTACAGACAGGAAAAGTACGTCTGGAGTTTGCTACATGTACAATCAGAGTCTGTTTGATTGGTCATGCAAGAAGCAAACAACAGTTAGCTTAAGTACTTGTGAAGCTGAACTGAATGCACTGTCTTATTCACTTAAGGATTGTGAATGGTTAGTACAATTGTGCAAAGATATGAAAATTCCTGTCAAATGTCCAATCCAGGTTTACCAGGACAACAAAGCATGTTTGGCTTTGCTGAAGTCTGAAGGTTGTAAGCAAAGCACAAAGCACTTGCAATTAAAGTTGCAGCATGCTAGGGAATGTATTCAGAAGGGACTCGTAACGGTGTCCTATATGCCAGGTAATGAAATTCCTGCTGATGTATTGTCCAAGATTGTATCAAGGGATCAACACTGTACCTATGTGCAGAAGTTGGGTTTGTACTGATATTGTACGAACACGCTGCCCAGTGATGTTCACAGAAAGGGGAGGATGTTGGTTTCTATTTCCTTCACTGAGCAGCAACTGCAGTCACAAGACAGGTGTTTACATTCCACAGTCTGTACTGTTGGAGTTTCTCACGGGAAAGGGAGACTGGATGTGACGTACACTGGTTTCCTGTTTTTCACTGTGATTCTCTCCGAGCTGAGAGAGGAGAGAGGATGCATTTTTCTGCTCCGGCAGGGCAAGATGTCTTTCTGTAATATACCAGCTTTGAACTGTAAATAAAGCAATATAGAGTATGTAACACATTTTCCTCATCCTTCCGCTGGGCACGACAGACTCTGCTTTAAATCAACAACGTCCACCACATATGATAAAAGGTACCTTCCTTTTCTTTACATTCCAGCATAAATTTTCACTCGTGTGATAAATCTTTGCTGGTTTTACTGGGGTTAAGTATCATCTATGCATCATTTTCTTTTAATACAGTACAAGCAGTAAACTTAACCCCTTTCTTCCACAACCTTTCCCAATCTTCCAACATTATATTGTGTCCAACATCTCTTGCCCAGTCTATCATCACAGATCTAACTTGTTCATCCTTTGTGTGCCACTCCAACAATAAATTCTACATTTCATAGAGAATAACTTCTTATGCCACCATCGCAAGCATAGTTGATCAACATTATTCTGCTTTCCCCTGTGGTCCAAGTCTGCAGTTCTGTCGCACACTTTATGCACTTAGGCCATTAAAATCAGCAAAACAAAATACATGAGTGGAGCACAGATTATAACTAAGACGTACATTTTCTGATTGATATGTCATCTATTTGCTGTAGACTTGAGACCTTGGTCATGGACACCAATAAAGCAGTTAAGTATTGAGAAGTTCAGTTACTGAAGTTTATTCTTTTTGCAATGCAAATACAATCTTTTCACTAAAAAGAATAAAGGTGGTCTCCCTACCTGCATCTCCACCCCACCCCCAGTGCTCTTCAGATGCTTCACAAAGATTATCCCGTGAACCACCCTGAGACCTGCTGGTATAAGGTGGTATAAAAAAAGAATATATTATTATTATTACAGTCATACCTCGGGTTACAGATGCTTTGGGTTGCGTGATTTCGGGTTGCGCATCGCGCTGAACTCAGAAGTACCGGAACTGGTTACTTCCGGGTTTCGGTGCTTGCGCATGCACAGAAATGCCGAATTGTGATCCGTGTGTGCGCACACACGGCGCTGCGGGTTGCGAACGCTGCAGGTTGTGAACATGCTTCCTGCACGGATCGATCACGTTCGCAACCCGAAAGTCCACTGTATTATTATTACTTATCCATTCTGCAGAAAATCAGTAGTGAAGAGGGAAATCAGGCAAAAGGAGATAATAGCAGTGTACTGCAAACGCCATTGCTCAGAGAGCACCAGGCGTTCCACCACCATGTGGGAAATGTCAACACTTGCCTCGTATTGTGACTTGTCTGGTAAGCAGTTATCTGCTGCACAAAGAAGCATCGCAGCAAGTACAGAAAATCTGCGTAAGTCAAGTGCTGTCTTGGGAATGTGCTCTCCACTTGTAAAACCTGATTCGGACAGAACAATAAAGTTAAAAAGAATTGTCGCATCATTAGGTTCCTTAAATGTCACAGCAATTTTTGTAAGTGCATCTTAGCAGAGGCAAGCTCACATCATTAGCTCCTTCCCTGGTTGCTTTTGGCTTCCTCCCCCCCCCCCTCCTTCCCTCCTTTTGGTTTGTTCCGCATGGCCTGACTTGACAGGACAACAAATAGACCTTCCATCCGCTCACATTTATTAGTGGATTTTACCATCTGAGATCAAGGGGGTGGGGCGGGAGAAGGCTGATCACCAGGTCTTCAAAGTCCACATCTGTGGATTTTACTGCCTCCCTTTTAAAACAAAGGCAACTAACGAAACACTTAGGAAGTTTACGGAGAAGGTCTCATTATAATAATTTGACATTTCAGATGGAGGTCATTTGCCGTTGGCATAAACAGTTCTCAAATATGTGTGGAGCACTCCTAAGGCTACGTGAGCAACTTCCATGGGAGATCTCTTGATTTTGGCGATTTTGGCATAGGGAAGGGAAACTTACATGTGAGAATGAGTGTCTGCAGCCAATATGAAATTGTACCATCTTTTGACACAGCCTCTCTCCTAACCTTCAGGCAGGCAGCATCAGCATGAGGTCACAGAGACTGAATGAGTTCATAGTGACCACTCTCTCCCCCCCCTTCAGTCAAGCCAGGATCAGCCTGAGGTCACAATCGCCAGTCTTACTCCTGTAGGCCAGAAACAGCAAGGCTTCACCTTTCAGTATGTGCCACACAGGCTTTGAGAAAGACTAGTTGAGTGCCAAGTCCCTGTGTGATGGAAGAGTTTGTTTTGCTGGGCAGGCTGGGTCCCCAATTGTTTTCTTTTTCTTTTTCCCTACCAGCAAAAGGTTAACGAATGGCAGCCTCTGACTGGCCGGGGTTCCAGGAGGGGGAGTTGAAAAGGAGAGGATTTGAAGAGACAGTTTGGAGTAGGTTGGGAGAATAGTTGGGAGATAGGTCGGGAGATAGGGAATGAGAGGAGAGAGAGTTGGTTCTGGGTAAAAACATCCACTCTGATGACTATAACACAAGCTAGAGAAAAGAGTCTCTGAGCTTAGTGTGAAGGACAGTGTGTGGTGTCCTGTAAGAGTAATTGGGCCAGGAATTAACTGGGAGGCTGAGGCTGAGCCAGGAGAAGTAGAAGCTGTGAAGAGACAGTCTACTTAGGACTCATTCCAGTCAGGAGGGGAGAGATTCTTCTATGACAAGAGAAGACTCCCAAACCAGTGATCCCTTGGGTCTGTTACCTGGAGTACCTCAGGAGTAGGGTTGTCTAAGAGGGGTGTGTAACTGACAAGAAGTACCACCTGGTTTAAGAACCAAAGTATGAAGCAGCAACAGCTGTGCAACATATGAGAAAGCAGTGGAGTGAAATAACATTATAATCTGAAGTATCCTATGTTTTACCCACTCCTGTCATAAAATTCCTTTGTTAAATAAAATATTTATTGTTTATTTGATCAAATCCTGCCTGAGACTCCAAATTATTACCGTATTTTTTGCTCTATAAGACTCACTTTTTCCCTCCTAAAAAGTAAGGGGAAATGTGTGTGCGTCTTATGGAGCGAATGCAGGCTGTGCAGCTATCCCAGAAGCCAGAACAGCGAGAGGAATTGCTGCTTTCACTGCGCAGCGATCCCTCTTGCTGTTCTGGCTTCTGAGTTTCAGAATATTTTTTTTCTTGTTTTCCTCCTCCAAAAACTAGGTGCGTCTTGTGGCCTGGTGCATCTTATAGAGCGAAAAATACAGTACGTTTTCCCTCACACAAGTCCCCCACAAGATAATCTGAGGTAGTTTGTGGGAATTTGAGGAAGTGGTGTTCTGTGAGGTGGGTGCACGGTATCGAAGTGAGGATGGGCCCAACAGCGCCAGGAGGAAAAGTGTCATTGCTCCATTGCACCCTGTGACCAAAAAAACCAGAGGAGAAGTGATGGGCTTGCCTGAATTTATTCTCCAGGGGCAGGACCCAAGCAAGGCCCGTTGGCTGGTGGGGCCTGACCCCCATTGGGGAATCCCCAGACCCAGACCTGCCTGCTGTATGCCAATTTGCAGGTCAACTGGCAGGGCTCCTGAGCCGGCTGTTGGATCGCTGACTAGGCCCGTGACCAGGCCGCAATGCTGGCTGACCATTTAAGGTAAGCGGACATAGCAAGAGGTGGGGAAGGGGGTAGAGGCTAACCTACCCAACTTACCCAACCTACTTATCTGACAGCCCAGATCTGGTGAGGCTTTGCTTGTAGTATGTGCCGGCTTAAAGAAGAGAGAGGGAGCAACTACTCTGAGCCTCTCACATGGTGGGAACAACTTCAGCAATGGTATTGTTATTGTTATTGTTATTGTTATTGTTATTGTTATACTTCCCTTCATCCAAGGATCACAGAGCAGTTTACAATATAAAAACACCAAAATACGTAGCATAGTAACAAACAAAAACAGTAACCCCCTCACACACGGGCATGGCCAAGCGGCGACAGGGGGGCAGTTGCCCCCCCCAACACTCAAAAATTACTGAAAAGCATTTAAAATACTCAATTCACTGAGGTTCTGTTCCCCCACAGCAGAAGCCTGCCCCCTAACAAAAGCCTGCCCTCCATAATGCCCTCTTTGCAGGAGGTTTTTACCCGTCATCTCCTCCAAAAAGTTCAACAACTTTTTGGGTGGCCCCTAACAAAATTCCTGTGCCCTCACCACACATACAGAGATGCTCTAGTTATCTCCTACTTGGACTACTGCAATGCGCTCTATGTGGGGCTACCTTTGAAGGTGACCCAGAATCTGCAATTAATCCACAATGCGGCAGCTAGACTGGTGACTGGGAGCGGCCGCCAGGATCGCATAACACTAGTCCCGAGAGATCTGCATTGGCTCCCAGTACGTTTCCGAGCACAATTCAAAGTGTTGGTGCTGACCTTTAAAGCCCTATTGGGCCTCGGTCCTGTATACCTGAAGTAGCGTCTCCACCCCCATCGTTCAGCCCGGACACTGAGATCCAGTGCCAAGGGCCTTCTGGCGCTTCTCTCACTGCAAGAAATGAGGTTACAGGGAACCAGGCAGAGGGCCTTCTCGGTAGTGGCTCCCACCCTGTGGAATGCCCTCCCGTCAGACATCAATGAAATAAGCAGCTATCTTATCTGAAGGCAGCCCTGTTTAGGGAAGTTTTTAAATATTTAATGCTGTATTGTTTTTAACACTTGATTGGGAGCTGCCCAGAGTGGCTGAGGAAACTCAGCCAGATGGGTCGGGTATAAATAATAATAATAATAATAATAATAATAATAATAATAATAGTCCATGGATTCTTTAATTAGCCAAAGGCCTGGGAGAAGAGGAATGTTTTTGCCTGGCGCTTAGAGACATGTAATGAAGGCACCGGGCAAGCATCTTTGGGGAGAGCGTACCACAAGCAGGGAGCCACCGCGGAAACTGCTAAACGGAAATTGCTGCCGAACATGGTTTCTATGCGATGTCTTTATGGTGCTTTGAAAAATGGAGCTGTAAAAAGAAGCAAAGACATTTCAAGCAGGAGGAGGAGGTAATACCCAAAACTTACATACACCCACACCCGGCAGAGCCTCCTTGTCTCATAAATTATCCCAACAGGCTTCAGAGAAGACTGAACAGTGTCATACATTGTGAGCATATCCAATATAGGTTTTAAAAAAAAAAAGTCTTTTGATTTCAGAGACATAAAACATTAAATTTACTGGTTCTGATGTCAAATATAGATGGAAAGGATTATAGGCATGCTTATTTTCTCCACCCAGCTGAGGAAGGGAAATGAAATTGGCACATGATGCAATAGGAATGAAGCTCCCCTCTCCTCTGGAACATTTGGCTCCCAGAGTCTTTTAAAAAGCCTGGGGTCAGGAGTAGTGATGTTAAATTCTCGAGAATAATCTTTTGGAGAATATTCTCACCTCACATCACTAGTCCCACCTAGTGATGTGGGGTCAGAATATTCTCAAGAATATTCTCCAAAAGATTTTTTTTGTTGTTTAGTCATTAAGTCGTGTCCGACTCTTCGTGACCCCATGGACCAGAGCACGCCAGGCACTCCTGTCTTCCACTGCCTCCCGCAGTTTGGTCAAACTCATGCTGGTAGCTTCGAGAACACTGTCCAACCATCTCATCCTCTGCCGTCCCCTTCTCCTTGTGCCCTCCATCTTTCCCAACATCAGGGTCTTTTCCAGGGAGTCTTCTCTTCTCATCAGGTGGCCAAAGTACTGGAGCCTCAGCTTCAGGATCTGTCCTTCCAGAGAGCACTCAGGGCTGATTTCCTTAAGAATGGATAGGTTTGATCTTCTTGCAGTCCATGGGACTCTCAAGAGTCTCCTCCAGCACCAGAATTCAAAAGCATCAATTCTTCAGCGATCAGCCTTCTTTATGGTCCAGCTCTCACTTCCATACATCACTACTGGGAAAACCATAGCTTTAACTATACAGACCTTTGTTGGCAAGGTGATGTCTCTGCTTTTTAAGATGCTGTCTTGAAAAAGATTATTCTCAAGAATTTAACATCACTAGTCAGGAGTAGAAATGTTGACACACACACACACCCCACCCAACAGAGGCTACATCTTTCCACCTACATGAAACTGCTGCATCCCAGCCTCATGGCAGGCAGTTATAAGAGAACCCTAAATCTATATCTGTAATTTGTTTTAGATAATACATTAACTAAAGAACATTAGGCGCCAGATCGGAACACCATGTAAAATGATGCCATAAACTTAATGGTATGTTCTTTTCTCTGTGGAAATTGTATTATATAAGACTTTTTTTAAAAAAAGTAAAAATCTATGGCCTTTTAATCTGGGGCAGGGGGTGTATTATTTCCGTTTGTTACTACAGTGGTGCCCCGCAAGACGAATGCCTCGCAAGACGGAAAACTCGCTAGATGAAAGGGTTTTCCGTTTTTTGAGCTGCTTCGCAAGACGAATTCCCCTATGGGCTTGCTTCGCAAGACGAAAACGTCTTGCAAGTTTGTTTCCTTTTTCTTAACACCGTTAATACAGTTGCGACTTGACTTCGAGGAGCAACTCATAGAACACAGTGTACATAGTAGCCTTTTTTGAGGTTTTTAAAGACTTTGGTGATTTTTGAAGCTTTTCCAAAACTTATTTTGCAGCCATTTGGTAAGTTTAGCTTTTAAAACTTTTGGGGGGGGGGTGGATTTTGGGTTAGGGTGTTTGGAATTCAAGGACTTGGTGTTGGGGAGGGGTTTGCAAGAATCTGGAAGCTTGTGTGTTCTTTTTCTGCATTTTTATGATTTTCTGTGACCATTGGGCCACTCTGCTGTTTTTTAAAAAAATTTCTGGATTTGAATTTCTGTGTGCTGGGTGGCTGGGGGAACAGTTGGGGAGGGGTTTGCAAGAATCTGGAAGCTTGTGTGTTTTTTCTGCATTTTTATGATTTTCTGTGACCATTGGGGCACTCTGCTGTTTTTTTAAAAAAATTCTGGATTTGAATTTCTGTGGGCTGGGTGGCTGGGGGAACAGTTGGGGAAGGATTTGCAAGAATCTGGAAGCTTGTGTGTTTTTTTCTGCATTTTTATGATTTTCTGTGACCATTGGGCCACTCTGCTGTTTTTTTAAAAAATTTCTGGATTTGAATTTCTGTGTGCTGGGTGGCTGGGGGAACAGTTGGGGAGGGGTTTGCAAGAATCTGGAAGCTTGTGTGTTTTTTTCTGCATTTTTATGATTTTCTGTGACCATTGGGCCACTCTGCTGTTTTTTAAAAAGAATTCTGGATTTGAATTTCTGTGTGCTGGGTGGCTGGGGAAGGTGGTGGGGAGGGGTTTGCAAGAATCTGGAAGCTTGTTTTTTTCTGCATTTTTATGATTTTCTGTGACCATTGGGCAACTCTGCTGTTTTTTAAAAAAATTTCTGGGTTTGAATTTTGAAATGCTCTTTACAGTATGTGTGACTTTAAAGAGCACTTAATAAACTCTTGTTGTACCAAATTTGGCTTTGTTTGGACTTTTTTTTGACCATAGGAACGCATTAATTGATTTTCAGTGCATTCCTATGGGATTTCGTGCTTCGCAAGACGAAAAATTCGCTAGACGAAAAAATTCGCCGAACGAATTAATTTCGTCTTGCGAGGCACCACTGTATGCTATATATTTTTGTGTTTTATGTTGTAAACTGTGTGAGATCCTCAGATGAAGGGTGGTACAGAAATTTTAATATTATTATTATTAGTAGTAGTAGTAGTAGTAGTAATCGGCTAACTGCTTTGTTGTTGTCTTAAACTGAATTCACAGCCCTAGTCAGGAATTTTCTTTTGGATTTTTAAGAGCAACTGCCATATTCTGCAACTTTCTCTAATCCAGATATGTTGATCAACAAACAGGAGACGACTCACTGAAATGTGTATCCTACCTCAGCTGTATTTCTCTTTTTCTAGGTACGTGTCAGCCCTCTCTACGTCGAATGCCAGTACTCAGTGAGATACTGTTTCATCTGTCTTCACTGAACTTGCAGCGGTGAGTAACTAACAATGGCTTTCTTCAGTTCTACAAAGTGATCTTTTTCAGTCATCTGATGACAGAGCTCAATGTAGTTGACAGCCCTCTGTGTAGTTTAATGCTTGGTTGCGTCCTAGATCAATATACATCCAGGGAACTAGTCTTGCAGCCATGTTAGCAAGATGCTCACCAGATAGTGATGATCTGTACTGAAGGATATGGCCTTGATGCTGTGAAGGCCTTGCATGCTGGAGACCGTGCCTTTGCTTCTTCAAGTCCTCTACTGTCACCCACTTTTGCTTTGTAGGCAGCTGGTCCTATCTCTGCATTAATTCTTAAGCCCTTTGTTTCCTGGCGGTCTTTACCCCTTTCCTTAAAATGGTGTACATTGGTTGCTGGATGTGTGAATAGGTCTGAGACAAGGAAAAGAGATTGCTGAAGTAATGCTGATGTCACAAAGGCTCTCTAAAGCAGAGGGAAGCAATTCTATTTCCTTGGCCATTTGGGGGGTGTTGTTGGGTGGGGAAAACACAACAGAGGGGCTCTGTACCCAGGATCTACCTTCTTCATCAGCTTCCCAAAGGCATTTGTCCTGGCAAAGCCGTTCAGGGAGAAGAAGGAAGGCCAGTGCGAAGTCATTTGTGGAGGTGTGGAATGATATTACAGAAGATGCTGTTCTTTTCATGGGGTACAACTTTAGTTCTAATTTTAAGTGACAGTCATTGTATAGCAAAAGAGCCAACAAAGTCTTAGTTTAGGTTTTGTGGTGGCTCTTTGAACACCATGAGAAACATTTTCTGGCTTTCTGGTGAGTTCCCCTGGCAGAGAGGCAGTTACAGCCTCAGCTAAAACAACTATTCTTTGTTGGAAATGTTAACACATTTGTCTGAATATAAATCCCCCTTGTGAAAGTGAAGAAGGCCCCCCTCTTCTTTTGGACACACATTTGTAGCTTTTGTAGCTTTCAGAGCGAATCATCACTCTGCTTCCAAGGATCTCCCAGTGTGAATGTTGCTTTTCTTGCAGAGTGCTGCTTCTCGTTTGGTGGAAAGGACTCCAGAAGAGATTGCGCCCATACGCGCCTTTCTCCCCATGCTCATTAACTTTATAAAAACTCTCAAATTTAGACCATCTGTCCAGTAGATGTCTCTGAACTGCCCCAAGATGGGAGAAGCTGTCTTTGTCTTTTTGATATAAGTGGCCAGAAAACCAAAGCAAAGTAATGTTTTCTAGTCAGACATGCTTCCCAGCCATGATGGATGAACTGTTATTTTTGATGTGACAAAGCATTCTGGGTTGTTTTTTTTTAATAAGATATTTATTAAGGTTTTTTAAAGTATTACAGTAGAAATGAAAAAGAAAAGAGAAAAATACAAAATAAAAACAGTTAAAAACACACATATTTTCACTTACTTATTTTCCTTTAGCTTGTTTCCCGGACCTCCTCGTACCTCCCTTTTTGTATTCCACTTCGATTTGTTGGTTCAGCAAATCCTTACCATTAGATTTTAACCCATTTATAACCCTTTTTTTTTTTCATATTCTCTTAAAGCATTACAGCTAGAAACCGCTTAATTACTATCCAACATCATTCTATCATTCATTAATTTTACAATATTTCTGTAAATAGTCTTTAAATTTCTTCCAATCTTCTTCCACCGACTCTTCCCCCTGGTCTCGGATTCTGCCAGTCATTTCTGCCAATTCCATATAGTCCACAAAGCATTCTGATGCCTAAGGAAGAACATGCCTCTTAGATATGCAGGCTTAAAAGCAAGTCAGTAATAGTGCCAAGCATTGCTGTGTGCAGGCAAGATGGAGAGGGGATACCATATGGTGCCCTGGGATTCGTAGAAAACCTGTTTATGCTATGATAATTCTCCTGCTTTTATTACAAAGGCACCATAGGTATGGAGCTTTCAAACCTGGCTTGAGATGTTCATATTCACATCATTAGTCAAAAGGTCATTGGAGACATTTCTTGTGTGAAGTCACCAGAGGCATACCTAGGCACCCTTGGACGGGAGCTGTATCACACACACCCCCCACCTCCCCCAAAAGATCACTTTAGCGCACAAGACTTGAGACTGGAGCTCATGTGGTACTGGGAAGGAAGAGCATAGCAGGCACATATGTTGGATTAATCACAACTAAAGCAGAATGTGGCATTTGGATTTGGGCACTAGGAAAGAATATTGGGGAGGATCTGAGGGAGGCGCTTCCAGAGTGGCTGGGGCAAGCCAGTCAGATGGACGAGGCACAAACAATAAAACTATTATTATTGATGATGTTGTTGTTGTTGTTGTTGTCAGTTTGCATTTTTTGGTACAGAAACTATTGATCTGATGTGCAGAGATCTTTCCTATTCTAATTAATTCAAGAGGGTTCTGGAAGCTTCTCTGTGTGAAAGAAACAAGCAGAAGGTTCATGATGTTTGGGTTATTCCTTCAGAGAAGCTGGCTTAAACTCGTTCTCTTATCTCTTCTGTCAAGGTCAGGCTCATGCTGACTGTAAAAGTAAGGCCTGACGGAGCCTGGGATTCACTTTCTCTTTCTATCTCATTTCCTTCTGGTTTGGTGTTCTGTACACGGTATGCTATAGTGTTAGGGCTTAGACTTATTATAAGTTATTGTAAATTTACCTTAAGTCTGCTGCAACTGGATTTCTTATGGACAATGCCAATCCTGAATGTATTGGATTTGTGACCATGATGCTCATTTGCCATCACTAGCATAAAGCTCTGCCGGATGAAATACAATTGCCTCTGGTCTATTGTTTGGGAATCCTGCAACTAACTATACACTGGAATCTGCTCTGGATCAATACTGAGTAGAATTTCAATGACAGTTGTTATTCCCAGAGAGCTGTGACAAGAAAGGGCCAAACCAGCACTGCTTTGGGGTTGAGGAAATAAGGAAAACGAGAAATAATGTCCCTTGACTTTAGAAGTAATATAATAGCAGAGTGTTTGCCTTCACAATGAGAAATGTAGTTGTTAGGACTTGGCTTGTCTGGACTGGACTGAGGCCTGTCTTTGTGTGTGGAGCAAGGCAGAGAATGAGAGAAAAATAGAGAGATACAGACAGGACAAACATTTCAGCAGTCCTTTTCTTACCAACGGCTTTCATCACGTGATACAATCTTGCATGGACACATGAAGAGGATCTGCAGAAGAAATAACTCAACTATCTATTTTTATATATAAAATCATAGACCTAGTACAATCCATGCTATGCACTGTCAGTGTGCTTCCTGCTTCACAGAGTATGTGCTGAGTAAACTGCTACATGAGATCAAGACAAAATTATAACCTAGAAAATAGAATATAAAACACACTCAAATGTACGCACATGAAAAGGTGTAACAAATTGCTTCTGGAGGAGAATATTTTTTTTTTTAATTGAAATGCTTTGGACAATTTACATGTATTAATGCATTTTATTTTATTTTTTAAAAAAGACATGGGACTCAGCTACATTGGCAAGGAAAAAGCACTTTATAAGCGTTATATATACATTATAACACTGTGGCACCAGATGGCGCTGTGGAGTCTCATTTTTGCCCAAATGATATCTCATACAAAGTTTACAATGCGTTTAACTGAAACACTTCTTTGATGTGTTGAGATCCAGCCATGGTGCCAGTCTTGGTCTTTGCCTCTCCTTTTGTTTTCTTGCTCTATTCTATTATTACCAGCATTATAATTAATTTGATTTATTGCTTGCTTTTCACCATAAGGTCCCAACGGAGGGCCATAGCAATTTAAAATGCAACATTTGAAACAATTTGCAACAAATGACATCATATTGAAAGCTACCCTCTTTACTTCTCTTTTTGGTTTCTGTAAAATGCCTGCCAGCTACCATTAATTCCAAGTTTAATTCTGGAGGAATTTCCATTTAGGACCTCCCCCCCCCCATTTATTTTTGTATGTTGCATCCTCCACATTCAGTTTACCGTTTACAAAGACTCTCAGCCTTTGGCTGAAAGGCCCCTAGATTTGTAAAACTTGCAAATATCAGATAGGCTTAGGATTTAAATATGTGATGTTAGAGAATAATATGTTTAAAGTCAAAATGAAAACAAATAAAGAAGTTTACTGATTAAGTTAATTTCATGAGAAAATTGGTTTTGGAAAACTGTTACAATGATATACACTGAAATTCAGCCAGGGAGATTTGAGGAAGTCACTTAACAATGTTACTAAGATTGGATCAAGTACAATTAAGATGTATGTTTGTTTTTGTGTTTAAAATTTTTTGGAAAACCAGTAAAAAAATTTGAAGAAGAAAAAATAGATTTGTAACATCAAATCAGTCGCTGCCACGTTTATTATTTTTCAAAAAAGTTGCTAGGCTGCTGGACATCTTGCCACTTAACATGTGTGCAAAAGTGCTTTCTTCGGCTGCATCAAAGACAGCTGTCTCCAGCAGAACAAAAATACAGTGGAAATAGGTCTGGGCATCACTTTGCTATACATACATGAATGGCCTCTGAGTATTCTATTTGCCAGAGTTTAAGTGTTATAGGTTGTTATGTTATCAGCTGTTGGCTGTGATAAAGCATAAGAAGTGTGCTATGGAAGCTGTTAGATTTTTGCACCAGAGTAGGGCCCCCTGCTGGCACAATGTTACATACTGATGTAGAATACAAAAGAATAGCATCAAACATTAAAGTTCCCTTTCTGTTATTTGGCGTTTCTTAGAAATGCTCTGTTTCAGCACATGTTGAAACTTGCATGTTAATCTTCGAGCCGTGTTGTTTTTTAAAGAAATATTTTTGGAGTATGATAAATGAACTAGCCTAATAGTGAGCAGGACAAAATAGCTCAGTCAGTAGAGCACGAGGCTCTTAATCTCAGGGTTGTGGGTTTGAGACCCACGTTGGGGAAAAAATAATAATCCTGCATTGCAGGGGGTTGGCCTAGATGACCTTTGTGGTACCTTCCAAGTCTGCAATTCTATGGGCAGATCCAGACCATACATTTAAATGACACTCAGCACACATTGAAAGCACAGTTTCTTAAGGACGCTGGAAGTCCCCCTGTGAGGGGGAAATTGCAGTTCTCGTGTTTCTTTAGGGGAAGTCATATGCTGCAAATATTCGTTGGATGAATTTTAAATGTATGGTGTGAATATTCTCTGAGACGTTTGTTCATAAATATCACTGCCGTGGGAGATTGACATTTTAGGTGTCCATGTACATATGATTCCTTCACATAGCTTTAAGCAGTTGAATTTACTGTCTAACTGATCAACTAAACTATAGAGCACATCCACCAGTCATCAGTTATTGATAAAGAAGGGTGGACTGGAATGTGTTTCAGAAAGAAACTCATAAGGGGCAGTGCAAAGGGAGAAATAAACCTAAAGAAACATTTTAGAAGCAAAGAACAATACACAGAGATGCTTTTTTGGCAATGAGACTTGAAGGAATGTTAAATTAAATGAATGTGATATTTGCAATGAATATTGATTCATAAAATAATAGTTGGAAGGGACCATGAGGGTCATCTAGTTCAGTGTTGCCCAAACTTGGGTCACCCGCTGTTTTGGGTTCTCATCATCCCTGATCACTGGTTCTGCTAGTTAGGGATGATGGGATTTGTAGCCCAAAAGCAGCTGGACACCCAAGTTTGCTAAACAGTGATCTAGTCCAACCCCCTGCAATGCAGGAATATTTTGCCCAACATGCAGCTCAAACCCACGACCTTGAGATTGTGAGTCTCATGCTCTACTGACTGAGCTAATGGTTGGTAATAGGGTGAAGAAAAGAATGCTGTTTTCTCATCTTCTGTGAAGAGCAGCCTGCGTTCCTTTATTTTTGTGGCAATTTCCCCCACTCTAGCAAAAATGGAAGGAAGCCGATGCCATTTTAGCCCTTGTGACGAATGGCCAAGGCTGAATTTGGATGGGTCACTTAACGATGCCTAAAAGCATTGCCATGTTAATCCAAGTGAAGCTTTTCCAAATGAAATTTCTGGCTGAAAACGCGAGGTTCAGATCCTGATGGACAGTCACGAACTCCAAATGTTTTCCTAACACACTTTCAAGCAACTCTACCTAAGGTCAATGTTTGCTTTGGGGAACTGGGTGTCGTGCTTAGATTATGAGATGCCTGTGGAATGCAGGAGACCAGCAGAGGCTTCTCATTGGCTGTCGGTGATGTCATATGGGCAACTTAGCGGGTAAAGCCCAGTAGCTACCTTAAACAGTTCTTACATTACCTCTTTTATTTTGCCAGTTTAATTCCATTTGAGACCACATTCCCCCCCCCTTTTCTTCTTCTTTTTTTGAAGCAGTACTTCATACTGAAACCGTTTTTTTACTAGAAAGTTCAGCAGTATTGCTGTGCTAAAGGTAAGGTGAATAACTCACTGTTTCCAAAAAGCTTCGCCAGACCATGTTTCCCTTACGTTCTAGTAGCTTCTTGTGTTGGAGCAAGTTAAAGGAGGCCTTAGATAAGCTGCTACTGAAGACCCCCCCCCCCAGTCATTACTCTCTTTCAACTTCAGCATAAGGCAAATATCTTTTCGTGTCCGTTTTACATAGCGTCTGCAAATTTTGATGATGAGGCAAGTCTCAATATCTACATCAGATATACCAGATATTTTAGCCTATGAAATGCAGGAGGTCAAACAGAACCTCCGTGTCCCTATTTTCCAGGGACAGTCCCTGATGTATGGAAGCTGTCCAGGTTTCTGATTTGATCCTGGAATGTTCCACTTTTCCTTAGGATGTCTCTATTTTCACTGGAGAATGTTGGAGAGTATTGAGTTATGCGACCTCCGAGCCAAGGAGATAAGTAACTAGAGAACCTTTAGAAGACATCTGAAGGCAGCCCTGTAGAGGGAAGTTTTTGGTTTTTTTTAAGTTTAATGTTTTATTTTATTTTTATATATGTTGGAAGCCACCCAGAGTGGCTGGGGCAATCCACTCAGATGTGCGGGGTATAAATGTTGGAGGGTAATTGTCAGGGAACTGCCATCAGAACAGGGGTGGGAATCAGAGGGGGAGTTGTGTTACAGGGAGCCTCCGAAAATCTTGCGAAGCAGTTCCTCCTCTGGTGATGAGGAAACCCCCATCTCCTGTGGGGAAGAGGTGAAAGGACCAGAGGATGCTGGTGGGAGCCTCAGCACCGCTCCTGGCCAAGTCGGCTGTGCTGGTCCCGGGGGGGTGCTTACCGTGAGGCATGGTCAAAGTCCGGTCCTGGGTCAAGGGTCTGGAGACTGTCCACCAAGGGCGAAGCAGGGTCCAAAGCAAGAAGCCGGGTGTGGTCGGGAACTCTGGAAAAACAGGTCTTGGTGCTGGCAAAAACAAGTTTCCAATGACGTTGCTCCCGCAACCTGGGACTGGGCTGACTGGCCTTTATCTCCTCTGGGGCCTAGGGCGGTCCCAGCCCACAGGTGACTCGCCTTTCCTTGCCTTAAGGAGAGCACTCCTCCTGAGAGAACTTAGTTCCCTCCGCCTCTCTGCTCTCAGCCTCTGCAGCTCAGGAGAGGCTGGAGGGTTACTGGACCCAGGAGCAGCTTCCCCTTCCCCTGACAGGGCTGGGAGAGGCGCACCTGCAGGCAATGGGTCCTCAATCACCTCCAGAGCCAGAGTGGATACATCTGGTGTCTGCTCCTGAGGACCCAGCACAGGTGCAGGCCCTTCAGATTCAAGCCCCTGCCCCGGCTCAGCCGGCCCTGGAGGCAGGGACTCCTGTGTAGGCTGGGACTCCTCAGATTCAGCTTCTGAATCAGATTCCCAGGCCATCACATCGGCCAGGAAGGAAGCACGCCCCTTCCGTCGCCCACCCTGCGCCGAAGTCTAAAGCGCAAAGAGGGAAGGAAGAGGCTGGGCGTAACGAGACTTTTATGTTGGGGGAGGTCCAGGAAACAAGCACTCCCGGATTCTGCTAGCGATTGAGGCAGACATGAACTTTGGGGTTCTGCACTGTAAATAGTTTTGCACCTAAATAAAACCTGTGAAAGACAGATCGGAGTCCTGCCTGGTTACTCGTGAGCAACCACCTAAGCCATCTGACAGTAGTGGTGTGGTTGTTTTTTTTAAGTTTCTAACCTTCATGTTTGCAGAGATTACTTTGCAAAATATGGCATCCAAATGTGTGAAATGTTCTAGAATAAAGTGAGTGAAAGGGTCCCACATCCAACAACAGCTTATATATTGCTAGGCTTGGCTGCCATATCGGAGAGGAGAGCGACAAATGCAACTACAGCGCAAGTCAGGTCTCCATGCGGAGAACATTCTGCCACTGGGATGCCACCACCAAGTAGTCCCTTTTCACTGTAGCCGCCTGCTGAACTTGAGATAACAGGGGCATCCGAAGAAGGGCCTCTTAGTTTATGGGCAGGCACATGTGGAGGCAAACGGTCCCTGGTCCCATTTCCTGGTCCCAAGGCACAAAGGGCTTTAATGGTCATTTTGAACTGAGTCCTGAAAAGAACCAGGAGTGCCCATCAGAACCAGCCAGCCTGGACAATGATCTGGGATGGTTGGAGTTGTAGCCCAGCAGTACCCGGAGGGCTATCAGTTTCCCACCCCTGTTGTGTGCCCTGCTGTGGGCATGATGGGATAATCTGCCTCAGGTTGGGATGGGAAGCAGAGAGGGCAGGACAGAGGGTTCTGGAAGGATCAGAGCTTTGCCTTCCATGCAGGGCACTGCTGTGGCTGAATCAGTTCATTCAAGCAATGGCAAGCTTCTATCTTTATAAAATTAAACTGACTAACTAACTGGGTGCTAGATCATATTTCACAAAGTCAAATATGCTCTCAATGCCTAACCTCCGTTTACAATTTGTAGCTGCATTTTGCACTATTTGCAGTTTCTGAACCTTATCTCTCTCTCTCTCTCTCTCTCTCTCTCTCTCTCTCTCACACACACACACACACACACACATTGTCCTCACATAGCTTCGAAACCTCAACTCTTTAGCCTTTCATCCCAGGGATCAATGACAGAGAATCATGATGATTCCCTTACCTTCACTCTCCTAAAATGCAAGTTGTCAGGTCCGGCTCTACCATTAGGCAGAAGCTGGGCCAGGGGTGGAACAGGAGCTGTGATAGTGAGGGAGGATATACCTTGAGTCTGCTATGCAGCCTATTCTGCACCCTCTAAGCTAGCCTCCAGCTGTTGGGTATGTTGGACAATGCTGTCCCATCACCAGCGCTGAAATAAGATTTAGCTGCCAGTCTAGCCAATGCTCTATACATGGATTGGGAGTTTGGGCCAACTTTCCCTTTGGCCTCAGGCAGCAAAATGTCTTTGGCTGGCCCTGCAGGGTGTCCTCACAGATGCCCTCCAGCGTGCCTCTCATCCCTAATCATGAGAACTAGAAACTTGCACTGCATCGGAAGCTACATTTGATCTCGTTTTCTCTTGTTGCTGTTGACTTGTTTGGCCAGCCTTGATGTTGTTCTGTGCCTGCACAGACCCAGAGATTTGTGAGAATCGTGGCCGTGTCTGCTAACACTTTGCACAGAAAAGCCAGGGCAGCAGCTTTTGATCGTGCTTTGTTTCTTCTTGGTTGAGAAACCTCCCTTTGAAAAGGAGGGCTGATGAGGAAACCCGGGCTCTTGCAGCACAAAGAATGTTCTGTATCTTTCACAGTAGTTCTCTTTCAGGGTGGCTTCCACCACTCCAAAGGCACATTTCATGGAACAATTCACAACATCAATGGAGCTCCTCAGCAAACGGGTGCTAAGCTCATACAACAGGCCCTGTAAGGGGACAGACATTTGTTTTCACTACATGTCAAGGCCTTTTAGTCCTAAACCAAGGCTGAGCGAACTTTTTTAGGCACACCAGGAAGAACTTGAGAGAGCTTCAACTAATGGTGCTCTCAAGACCATCATGCATATTGTAGGAACATCTATGAATGTTTTGCTTTATTTGATAAGGCATTTGATTTTTCTAATATTTGGCACCGAGTGTGCAATTTGAACAAGAGGGGTGAGCAACTTGAGATTTGATGCTGGTGAATATTTTCTTTTTTAAAATATATTTTTAATTAAAAATTTAAACAAAACATATTGTCTTAAAACATATCATCCTTAATTCCGCCCCCCATTTTCCCCTTCCCCCTCCCTCCCATAAAATAACCCACCCTCCCCACGTCCCCTGACTTCCCTCAGTTCCAATCTCTGGTTTCTCTATGAATGCTATTCTCTGCAAGTTACAGATTTGTATAGATCCTTAATTTGTCTAGCTGTTTGTTATCAATAAAAAGTTTGTGGTTGTTTATTCAAAACCCGCCAAGGAGTCCAATTCACTTTGTTGCGTCTTTAAGTACTTTGTAAAAGGTTCCCATTCATCTTTAAAGTCATAGTTATCCTTGTCCCGTAGTTCAATTTTGCCAATTCTGCATAGTCCATCAGTTTCTCTTGCCATACTTCTTTCATCGGAGTTTCCTCAGTCGGAATTTCCTCAGTGGTGCTGGTGAATATTTTCAATAGTAATCTGTCTTTTCCTTGCTGCGTATTTCAGCAAAAGTTGCAAAAAGAGGAGGCAGATAATTCTGTTTTAAACAGTTTAAACTTGCAGCGGAGGAATCCCGTTTTAAAAATGAGTGGGGACTTGAAAACTACAAATCTATGGTGTAACACTGTAAGTGCACTTAGAATACTGTTTGCAGTTCTGGTCTCCTTGCCTCAAAAATGCTATTGTAGTGTTGGAAAGGGTTCTGAAAAGAGCGACCAAAGTGGTCAAGGAAAGGCTGCAGTTCACCTCTTTAATTTGTATTAATAATTTGCCACAAAGAGATCCTTGCTGGATCAGATCAAAGGCCCATTGAGTCCACCTTCCTGTTCTCGCATAGATGCCTCTGAGAGGCCTGTAAGCGGGACATGAGTCAAACAACAGCACTCTCTTCGCTGTTCTCTGCTGATGTTTTAAGCATCTCCATTTAAAATCCAAAAGGTACTTTATCAAGCTGTTTTCTGAGGAACAAGTATACAGTCATACCTCGGGTTAAAGTAGCTTCAAGTTAAGTATTTTTGGGTTGCACTCCGTGGCGACCTGGAAGTAACGGAGCACGTTACTTCCGTGTTTCGCTGCTCGCGCATGCGTAGACACTAAAAATGACATCACGTGCATGTGCAGAAGTGACGAAATGCGACCCGCGCACGCGCAGATGCACAAACGCATGTTACGTTTACTTCAGGATGCGAACGGGGCGCCGGAACGGATCCCGTTCATATCCAAAGGTACCACAGTACTGAAGCAACTGTATCCTGGTTCACACAACTACTGACTGATGTTGTGGCTGTGTTTGGTAGTAATGACGAGCCAGGTTTTCTAGTTTATTTTGAATTATCTTGGATTGTTTTGCAATTTGTTGGTTGCACACAGCTCTGTCATTCCCACTTCGCTCCTTGCCTGGAAAGAGTAGGAGGAACAATCAAGGAAACTGAAGTTAAGCCTAGTTGGTTGTGATATCTGAACTCGGGACACTGGTTTCTTGCTTCCAAACATGCTAGGATTCATAAATTGACAACAAACCGTGGTTTGAGGCTGTCTTGTTAGGGAGACACAAGCCAGGATCCCACCGGTGAATCCATATGACTTCATGATTTGTTTCTCCCTCTTGTTGTGGGCAGCCTGTGCTTGCTTGTTCATAGAAAATTATGATAAACTAGCATCCGTTGCTTGTTGTGATGTGAGTATGGCCACTGTGTGATACTAGGCGATTACCTGGGAATTTTTGCCTTGAAGTCCTAAGCATGCAAGGAAAGGTCATATCTCTTTAAATATATATATATATATATATATATATATATATATATATATATTACTTTTCCAACAATTTAAACACTACAAAAACAATACAATACAATACAAAAACACTACATAACACTAACACATTAAACTAACAAAACAAAGAAAAAACAGTTTAAAACACATCAAACAATTTCAGTATCTTATCTTTCATTCACTTATTTCCACGACTTCCTCACACCTCCCTTTTTGTATTCCACTTCTGTTAATTGTTAATTGTTTCAGCAATTCCTTTCCATCTTCCTCTGTTTTCTATCCTATAATTATCTTAACACATTCTAACCTTATTTTTTCCTTTAATACTCTATTAATCTATTTATACTTAATTCCTTATAACATTTCTACTAAAGCCATATAACTTCATTCCAACATTTTTCTAACATTCATTAATTTTACAGTATTTCTGTAAATAGTCTTTAAACTTTTTCCAGTCTTCTTCCACCGACTCTTCTCCCTGGTCATATCTCAATGTGTCATGTAGAAGACACTAGGATCCATTCCTTTCATATTGACTCTAGGGCAGAGTTACCCAAACGTGGGTCTCCAGCTGTTTTGGGACTACAGTTCCCATCATCCCTGACCACTGGTCCTGCTACCTAGAGGTGATGGGAGCTGTAGTCCAAAAACAGCTGGAGATCCAAGTTTGGGAAATCCTGCTCTAGGATGGGAGATAGCTCAGTGGTAGGGCAGGTGCCCCTCATGCAGAATGCCCCAGGTTCGAACCCAGGGAAGGACTTCCTGTTTAAAGGATCTGTGACAGCAGATCGCTGCCTGAGGCCCCAGAAAGCTACCTTTGGTCAGGGCAGACAACACTGGGTAGATGGAGTAATAGTCTGACTCAGGGCTCATCCAGACTTGCTCTTGCTCCACCGCTTTTCCCTGGAGATACATGATTTTTTCCACTGAATTGGAGCAAACAACCAAGATTTGTCCCGATCGTTATTTGCTCCAATTTATTGGAGTGGGGAGTGGCCGCCAAGACAATATAACACTGGTCCTGAAAGACCTACATTTGCTCCCAGTACATTTCCGAGCACAATTCAATGGGTTGGTGCTGACCTTCAAAGCCCCAAACGGCCTTGGCCCAGTGTACCTGAAGGAGCATCTCCATCCCCATTGTTCAGCCCGCACACTGAGGTCCAGCTCCGAGGGCCTTCTGGCGGTTCCCTCACTGTGAGAAGTGAGGTTACAGGGAACCAGGCCTTCTCGGTGGTGACGCCTGCCCTGTGGAACGCCCTCCCATCACATGTCAAGGAAATAAACAACTATCTGACTTTTAGAAGACATCTGAAGGCAGCCCTGTTTAGGGAAGTTTTTAATTTCTGATGTTTTATCATGTTTTTAATATTTTGTTGGGAGCTGCCCAAAGTGGCTGGGGAAACCCAGACAGATGGGTGGGGTATAAATTATAAAATATTATTATAAGGAATGTGTTTCCCAGGGGAGAGCTTCCTAAGCATGGGGAAAGCACACATCTAGATGAGTTTAAGAATGCTTCATATGTTCAGTGTTTCAGTCCTTCACCACAGAAGTCCTTAAAGAGAGGTAGCGTAAAAATAAGTCTGCGGGTGAAATTTGAGCTCTGGTTTTGGGGAAACTGAGGAACTTCCTGGGCAATTGTTCTATTTTTGGGAGGAAAGCAATGCAGTGCACAGTTTGTGTGTGTGTACTGCAGGCATGTGTGATGTTAATGTCTGCTTTACATTTAACATAATGTAATGAGATTAGCTTTCAGTTGCCTCTGAAATGTGCAGCGCTACAGTCTGCTTGCATGTGATTTTTTTTCTTTCTTTCCGTAAGCTGACCAAATATATATGGGGCTAATGAACACCCCAGGACTCATTAGTGGACACCTTCCTGATTTATAATGATGCTTTTTTAGAACGTTATTGAAGAATAACATTTACTTTATGACAGACCACCCTAACACTCTGACTTCTGTTGGCTTGCTTTGGTAGGGCAGGTGGTTAGAGACAGTAAAATCATGGTGCTATGAAAATCAAAGCAGACTGCCAAATTTGTTACAGAGGAATCCAGGAATGGAAATAATTTTTATTCCATAGGATATAATTTATGTACCTTGGGTTTATGAAGCCTTCTATAGAACTGAGTAATCTGCTTTGAAAGGGGGAAAAAGTTTTAGTTTTACAAAGATCTGTGACTTTTACTAACAATTAAGATGGCTTTCCCCCCAACCAACCTTCTTAGTAGGTAGGGCAGTGTGAACATGAGCATATTTACTTTTGTTTAGGCCAGAGGTGGATTGTGCTGAGACAGGGCAGGTATTTAGTAACTTCTTACCTACTGCATCTGGCATAAGAAGACATGAAATACTCTAATGGTCTTTTGGCAAGTTCTTTCTGCAGACATGACGCTTGTGGAAAAGTAATTAAAATAAGGAAGAAAATGTTGTTTTAATGTGAAAACGTTGTCCAGTGTCATCATTCTCTCCCAGCCCCTCCAAATCTCAAAAGTATTTCATCATGCAAAGATAGAAGAGTTTGGATTTGATATCCCACTTTATCACTACCCGAAGGAGTCTCAAAGCAGCTAACATTCTCCTTTCCCTTCCTCCCCCACAACAAACACTCTGTGAGGTGAGTGGGGCTGAGAGACTTCAGAGAAGTGTGACTGGCCCAAGGTCACCCAGCAGCTGCATATGGAGGAGCGGAGACGCGAACCCGGTTCCCCAGATTACGAGACTACCACTCTTAACCACTACACCACATTGGCTCTTCTATAGAAGAGACTCACCTTCACACACACACACATTGCTGCATTTGGTGATGTGAACATCTTTGTCTTCATATAACTCGAGAAACCTTTTTTTAGATGATTTATAAATCAAAACAGAGGACAGGAGACAGTACCAGGTAAACTGTTCACTCAGATTTTATGCCAATAGAGATGGCATTGTCATTCATCACTTTGATTATGTGGTTATACCTTTCTTAGACTTATTATGTAGGGTGTAAATTAAAGCTGTTCCGTATTAGGGAAGATTATCTGAAGTGGGGTAACCTTTTTGCCTATCCAATGAATCTGGCCGTGACAAAACAAACTCCCCCCTCCCCGTACAATCTGCCTTTGTCTAGTTTGGAAAATGCTTTGGTCTTTGTCTTCAAGGGCTAGGAGAATGTTTGCTTATCCCCTTGAAGAACAGGACCCGTTCCCTTGGAATCGAAGAAGAATGGTTTGCTTTTGTATGTAAATTACCGAAATGCGGTTTTATTATTTCACAGATTCATAGAATTGTAGGGATTGAAGGGACCATGAGAGTCATCTAGGGCAGGTTACGATGCATGAAATCAATGAGCTACAAAGCCACCATCAATTAAGACAACAAGTAGCCATTAAAATCTTATGCAGAAACCAACAACTATTGCACATTCCAAAAGGGCTGGGTAAAAAATTACGCATTTTTAGGAACTATGTCAAGTGTAAAGAATAGTTAGACCAGGGGTAGCCAACATGATATCATCAATATGTTGTGTAGTCCAACATACTGGTGTAACTATTGCTTACACGTGATAGATCCTAAAAATGCACAACTTTTTACCCATTTGCCAAGCTTATGAACCTGAGCCTTAAGGGGAATGCAACCCAATCCAGAGCAGGATTGCACCCTTCAAGGAATGGGACCATCCACTTCCTTAATGCTTTTGTTTCTTTTCTGGCTATGCTCGTAAATATTTCTAGTAGACTCCTGAATGGAGGGTTTCTCTCATTTCTTTTGAGCCCACAAATTTCCGCAAAAGCAAACCACATTAAACATTTCTGCACTAGATATATTAGGCAATCTGAAAAGTGTGTGCTGAGAATTTTCACTTGCCTTCATTTCTTTTCCAGCATTGCTGTTAAGTGCCTATCAAGCACTTAGCCCCCACCCCCATAGATAGATATAGATGATAGATAGATAGATAGATAGATAGATAGATAGATAGATAGATAGATGATAGATAGATAGATAGATAGATGATAGATAGTTTTGATCCCTCAGATTTGCACAAAATCATAAAACTGCATAAACAAATCGACAATTGGCTGGCAGTGTGCTTTTGCACACTTCAGCAGGGTTTTTTTTAAAGGTATCTGCACATCAATCTACACCGTGTCCTGTCAGTACTTAGCTTGTTGGCATCCATCTGCCTTGAAAGACAATGGAGTGCACCTCTGGGGGTATAGTCAAACCACTGTGTTAACAGCACCAGTGACCTCCCTGGGGCACAAGCCTAGGCAGTGTGTATGGAGGTCCTGGGCTGCCCAGATGACAAGACTCCCCTCTCGGCCTCACTGATGTGGTCCAGAGGAAAGCAGAGCAAGACGTTTGGTACCAGCTTGGTTGCAGGAGTTGCTGGAAGGAGGCGTACAAGATGCCATTAAACTGTCTTAGGGACTCCACTACAGATTTCTGTAGGGTTTGCTCCTTAGCCTTTTTCTTCTCTCAAAGATGTCCTGCAAGGCAGCGGAGGTTTTCCTTCTTCTTGGTGGGCCAACTTCCTGGGTTGGCAAGCCCTATCTGCCCCTCACTTCTCTCAACTGGCATAATAGATTCAACACACAAACACAAAAGGGAATGCCTAATGATAGGACCAGGAAAGACCAAAGTTGTTCCTCATATTAATAATAATAATAATAATAATAATAATAATAATAATAATTTATTTATACCCCACCCATCCAGCTGGGTTTCCCCAGCCACTCTGGGCGGCTCCCAACAGAATATTAAAAACAAGATAAAACATCAGAAATTAAAAACTTCCCTAAACAGGGCTGCCTTCAGATGTCTTCTAAAAGTCAGATAGTTGTTTATTTCCTTGACATCTGATGGGAGGGCGTTCCACAGGGAAGGAGAAGGCCCTCTGCCTGGTTTCCTGTAACCTCACTTTTCGCAGTGAGGGAAGGCCCTCGGAGCTGGACCTCGGTGTCTGGGCTGAATGATGGAGGTGGAGATGCTCCTTTAGGTATACTGGGACGAGGCCGTTTGGAGCTTTCATAGTGAGCACCAACACTTTGAATTGTGCTCGGAAACGTACCAGGAGCCAATGTAGGTCTTTCAGGACTGGTGTTATATGGTCCCAGCAGCTGTTCCCAGTCAGCAGTCTAGCTGCCACATTCTGGATTAGTTGTAGTTTCCGGGTCACCTTCAAAGATAGCCCCATGTAGAGCTCATTGCGGTAGTCCAGGTGGGAGATAACTATTCAAATATATGTGGGTGTGGACTACTCTGGTCTGATTGGATTAACAGCTAAATAGTGCTCAACTGTGGACAAGCTGTCTCTCTAGTTCTGCGGAACTCATTCTCTATTATGTTTATAGCAGACGTGCAGAAAATTGAAGTATTGGCTGTAGAAACTACACCCATTCCCCCCTCCCCCCTTTTGCTTCTGCACCTGTAGTACCGAGGTATAGTAAATCCAGAAACTACTGCTGGTAACTTGAAGAGTAGTTCACTAGGGAAAGGCAAATCAGTTAGCTGATTGAAACAAGAGAAATCCCTTAGAAAAGCTGTAACTTCCAGGCCAATGCTGCTGTTAAGTTTCCTAAATCATTGCTATTGGGAAAAGCATTAGTCCGCAGAATGGCTTTCGCATGCTCCTTATTCTGGCTAGATGCTAGGCTGATGGGAGACAAATTAAAAAAATTGGCTACGTTTCCTACGTTTCCTAAGACTAAGGTTTCCTACCTCCTGGGAATAACAGATTTGGATATTCCACAAAAGAGGAAGGGTATCTTTTTATATGC